GACTACACCCGGAATCGATCTATCTGTTGTCCTCTACTCCGTACATGTATGTACTACTGCCAGCATATGTGAGCTAAACGTTCTATGCTAATCAGTCAATGATGACTTGCAAAATCCCCAACCCATTCATTACTTCGATCTCGTTCCTTCCCTTCCGATGCTCCATGATGCTCCTCTCAATGGCACTGGCCTGGGGCTTCCTAGCCCTGGGGGGGAGGAAGAAGGATTCGCCAGCTGAGAAGCCAATTGATGCAAGCCCTGTATGTACGAAAGCTTTGTTGTTGAGTTCCTCACGCTGTTGAATCTTTTATTGGAGTCCAGCGCTTATCCGCCAAAACAAGGGTTCGATATCGCGGGAGGACATTCCAATCCCTGCAGAATCCGCACCGGCCCTTTTGAAGCTGAGAGAAATTTCAATTTCTCTCACTGTATCCGTATACATTGCGCAACTCCACAAATGTATCATTATCTCCCAAAATAAGGAAAGCTACTTTGTCTTTTTTACAAGGAAAAGGTTCGGAATAGAAAATAGAAGGGTTAGTTTGTCTCAGAGGGAAGTAAGTAATAATGCTGCCATCTCAGCAGATAGCCAATAGACTGACCATTGACCAGCCAGAGTCGTCCGTGACTGAGGCGCAGGGAAGGAGGGATGATGCTAAGAATTAAGTCAATGTAAGAAAACCGGATGGAAACACATAATGCACAACAGTAACAACGTTCCTGTTGGTTTAGCAGAACGGAGACCACGAGGGAATTGACAAACCGTTTCTGCAGATGATCTTTATATTCAACAGTCTCAGCCAACGTTTTCTGGATCACGCCCACAGCACATATACTCTAGAATGGGCTGAGCGTATGCTCGGCCACGTGTACATTGCTAGGTGGAAGCCTGCTGTGTGGAAGAACAAACGGGCCACTCCAATATTCTCGAGACACAAACTGAGGAAGAAGTCAACATATCACTGTTGACGCGGCCAGTTGGTGTTCTCCGTCGTTTGCAGTATGGATTGCATTTGGTTGAAAGTCGATTATTTCATCATGTCCCCGTAAAATATCCAAAATGTATGGTTGGTAAGGATGGGAATCCTTTCATTTCCCAAAGTTTGAAGTCGTAGCGTAGCGTCAGAATGAGGTTAGTAAAGCGAGTGAAATCATTGTCATACCGTCTCAAGGAAATGCGGTTGATGGAAACTATTGCTCATTCGAGGCAATTCCATGGAAGGAAATATTCCTCTGCTCCTTATCAGCAAGATCCACTAGCATCCAGCCATAATTAAAGAGCGAGCGAGCGAGTGACAACATCTGGGAAGCCTCAATGACGGATATGTCATTTGCGTTGCGTGCCAACAGATCCGAACGAGGCCTCGTTCATTCATTGTCTACGGGAATACGCACGTTGTATCTCCCATATAGCCACTAAGATTCGTCGGCAACTTGGCAATGGTCGAGCGGACGGAGATGGAAGAAGACAACTGCCTCGACGTCAGACTTGCGCGAAACACAATACGACCTTAACTCCTCGTGCGATGATAAATGAAGCACATTGATTGAGAAGTGATATATCATATCAAGCATTCTGTTGATTGCACTAGCAAGGATCTTCTATTATCTCAATTCCGGAAACCGGATCACTGGTCCGATGTATACCAGCACTGTCCCCCATCACATATCCAAGCATTCTCTTTCTTATAAATACTGCCTGGTTATCATGTAATTACTGGAGTTAATATAAGAAATTCAATTTATTTCATTGATATTCAGTATTTGGGTCAATATTCGGACTTTATCCAGTTCCGACAGTTATGAGCCCGGGTTAGCTACCTATCGCTATCTATTCAACTATATTGATATCTATCCATACCGACCTCCTTATCGGCAAAGATATCTATTTGATTATATCTATCTGATTATATCTATCTATCCGATCACACCGACCTCCTCATCGGCGACGATTGCAGCAATATATCTACATCTATCCGATCCTCATCGACCTACATATCGGCGAGAGATAGCGGTGAAATATCGGTTATATCTGTACGATCTTATATCGATTATATCCATCCGATTCTATATCGATTATCCATTCGATCCTTTACCGATTTTATATCTATATACAACGACCAAGATGTCAGCAGAAAATTCCTCATCAAAAGCCTCACTCTTCTTGGATTCTCCTAGGAAGTGGAATCTATGGAACAACATGATACTAGGTCTTGCCACTGAGCTCCAAGTACTGGATCTTATTAGTGAGGAAAGTCTCAATAGGATGAGTGAAATACCTGAACCTGTTTCCCCAGAGTTCCCTATTGAGTACACCATGGAAGCAAGGGTTAAATGGGAGATGGAGAACAGCAGACACAACAATGATAGGAATATCTATAAGGAAAAGCTTGCAGGTGTTAGCAAGATCAGGTAAGAGATCTTCAGAACAGTGGCATTTAGTGAGCTAGAAATAGCAATTAATGGAAATAGTCACATTGATATGAAGGATCTTCTAATTGCTCTTAAGAAGAGGTTATCACCTAGAACAGCGGACCGCCAGTATGAGGTATGGAAGAAGTATCAGAACTTACAGAAGGTGTCTAAACAGAATCTAGATCAGTGATTGAATGCTTGAACTCTGATTGAAACAGAAATCAAGCACTCTGGTATAGATGGCAACTTTGATATATGAGAGGACTTCTTCCTTATCAACATGTCTATCAATAATCCGTACGCTGCTATCTGAAAGAGAGAAGTTGAGATAGAAGGTAAGGAGAACTTCTCCTTCACAGATGTGGTTAATGACTTCCGCTTCAAATATTGTAAGAAGGGATACAGCAAGCCAGGACCGCTTCTGTCCAATCTTGCTATCTTTAATGGCAGGCAAGCAGGACAATCAAGATCCAGAACCTGCGTTTGTGGTTCTAAGCATTTCTGAGTCAAATGTTATTATCTCAACCCAAGCCAGAGACCAGAAGGATGGAAGGAGAATGAGCAACAATGTAAGAAGGTGGATGAGGCACTCAAGAATGAAGATATCAAGAAGAAGATAGATGCAGCATTAACCAAGATAGCTGCTTTTAATAATGAGATGATAGAACAGATGCTAGAAGGAATGGTTCTTCTAAAGAAACATGGAGAATCTATCAATCATTCTATCGATCATTCTATCGATCATCCTACTGATCAATCTTCAATCACTTCCGATATCATACCTGTCGATCGATTGACAAGATGCCTAAACATGAATGTTGAGAGCTCTCCTTCCAATCATCACCCCTATCTTCGAGATTCCTGGATATTTGATACTGGTGCTGAGCGACATATCTGCAATAATCGATCTAGATTCCTAACGTACGAATCATCAGAAGAGCAAGTTTACACTGGAGATTCAACAACAAGGGTTATGAGATATGGAACTGTTAGGCAAGCAGTTCAGAGTAATTCTAAGGAACGCCGTGTACATTTCATTCTCTCACACCAACTTGATTGCCTGGAAACCCTGTTATCATATAGGGGGAATCTATCTCGATGGCAAATCGTTCAGATTGCGGAGGATTAGTGATGATTCGATCTTCGCTCGTATAGAAGTGTACGGTGGATTGCTGGTTACTGAGTATCACAGAACTAGTGAGAACACCTTGGTGCTCGCTAATATTGCCCCACCTAACTAGCAATCCAGCAGAACCTACTAAGATAACAAAATCATCAACTACTCCTTCTTACACCGCGAAGAGCTCTACTGCTTCCTCCAAGATTTGGCATCAACGCCTAGGACATCCCTCTATGAGAGCAGTTGAACATCTGCCAACTGATGCCAAAGGGGTTCAGATATCAGATATCAAAGATATTGCAAAGAGCAATGATATTGAAGACAAAGACCTCTGTGAACCTTGTCATCTTGCCAAAGCAAAAAATCAAATATCTCGCCGCCCCCATATACGATCTAAACTACCCTTCGAACGACTCCATGCAGATATTGTACAAGGACCTTCCTACTGCTACAATGGAGAACGATGGCTCATACATTTTGTATGTGATTATCTTCGTTTCCATATCGCAGTAACAGCCTTGAGAAAATCTGATATAAGGAAAGCTTTCGACAAGGTTTTAAGGTGGATTAAACGCCAATTTGATTGTGAATCAAAGGTCATACAAATCAATAATGAGAGAGCTATCAAAGAATCTGATATCTTTAAGGACTGGGTAATTGAACTGGGCCTAGAAATCGAATACTCCTCGGAATATATCCATGAGCAGAACGGTGCTGCTGAACGGGCAGGTGCTATCATAACCACTAGAGCAAGAGCTCTTAGGATAGAATCCTTGTTGCCCCAATCACTGTTTCCTGAGATAGCAACCGCTGCCGTTTACTTGCTGAACAGAACCCCTACCAAGATACTAGAATGGAAATCGCCACTCCGAGCACTAGAAGAATATCTTCATATCAACCACCATTCTTGTGCTCACTTAAATGCCTACGGATGTCGAGCATACGCGAAGATTTCCAATGAGATCCTCAATCGAAATCGATCACAGAAGCTTGATCCCAGAGCTCATATTGAATATCTTGTGGGATATGATTTTACGAACATCTTTAGGATTTGGATTTCTTATCTAGATAGGGTGATAAGGACAAGGGATGTTATATTCAATGAAAATAGATGATACAACCCAGATGAACCTCACATTGAAAAACAGCTATGAGATTGGGTTGTTCAAGAGGTCGAGTTCTTGGATATTGAAGTTCAAGAACCAAGGGTTGGCACTTCTCAACAAGAGAATAATCTATGCTCAGATATTGATATCTTTCGTTCTGATGAGATCTCAACGCGTACGGAAAACGTTGATAAAGATAATGAAGATATCAACGAGGCGCTGGAGGCGCAACTTATGGCAGATATCCTATCTACGCCGGATTCTACCTCTGAACCTGATTCTAACGTTGCTTTCGAACCTGACTTTCCTATTGATACTCATCCGATATTATAATCTAGCAATCGAGCACCTAGGGCGAATGAGATCAGTTCTGACTTCAACGAATCCAATATAATTGAGGGTAAGAGAACGCGCAAGGCAACCCATCATATAGCAGTATCTATTGCTAAAGATAATCCAAATCGGATGATCAACGCTGCCTTTGCGGAACCCCTATCTAGATCAGAACCTTCCAAAATTCATCAATCTCAGTTACCTGACCCACCTCAACATTGGAATGATATCAACAAGCACCCCTATCACAACGAATGGATTAACGCTGCCAAACGGGAATGGGACTCTATAACCCAGCGAAATACCTATGAAATTGTTAACAGACCTTCGAAAGATACCCCAGTGATTCCATTACGTTGGGTGTTTACCTACAAGTTTGATGATGATGGTTATCTTGTCAAGTTCAAAGCTTGTATCTGTGTCTGAGGTGATTTACAACCAGTATCTGAGCTAGATACCAAGGCTCACACCCTAGCTGCGAGAATCTTCCGTATCTTGCTTGCTATTATCAACGCCTTTGACCTCGATGCTGAGCAATTAGATGGTGTCAATGCCTTTATAAACAGCTCACTTGATGAGCTAGTTTATGTTGAACTACCACATGGTTGGTGGAAGTTGAAGGGGGTATGGAACCTCAAAAAGAACACCTATGTTCTACGCCTACGACATGCCTTATATGGCCTAAGAAGATCACCCCTTCTATGGCTTAAAGAACTATCTAATACCCTTAAGCAGTTAGGAATCCCTGAGGATAAATGCCTATTCACCAATGGACGGATAATTATATTCTTCTATGTTGATGATACTGTTGTGGTATCTCACCCTGATGACGGAGAGGAAAAGAACCAGTTAATCAAAGATCTTAAAAATACATATGAATTCCGACAGATGGGAAACCTTGAATGGTTCCTTAATATGAGAATTACTAGGGACCGGAGCTCTAAGAAGTTATGCTCTGTCAAGATGCTTATATCGATAAGTTGGTTGATACTTATCATCTTGCTCATGCTCGCAAAGCATCAACACCCCTATCTAGCATTCCACTAGCACCTTATCAAGGAACCGCATCGCCAGAGGATACCCACTACTATCAACGCCGAATCGGATCCTGTATCTACGCCGCAGTGATGACTAGGTCAGATATTGCATATGCAGTTGGCAAGCTCACAACCTATATGACCAATCCTTCTGAGCGCCATTCTGCAGAGATCGATCGCGTTATCGCCTATCTGCGAGATTCGAAGAATCTAGCGATTGAATATAGCGTACCTGATAATGATGGCTTATCAATGAATGTGGTTGAAGCAGCTAGTGATGCCTCCTTCGCGGATAATTCAGATAGAAGATCAACAGAAGGTTACATCTTCAAACTTTTTGGAGAACCTGTTGATTGGAAGTCAAAGAGGCAGAGAATAATAACAACTTCCACCACCGAAGCTGAACTACTAGCTATATCACAGGCAGGCAAGGAATCAATTTGGTGGAAACGATTCTTTGATCATCTGGGATTCAATCCAGGGCACAAGATTTCAATCCAATGTGATAATCGACAAACAGTTGGCATCCTTACTAAGGAAGATCCTTCTATCACAACCAAATTACGCCATGTTGATATCTACGGCAACTGGTTGCGAGAACGGATACAATCCGGCGATATCTCAGTGCGATGGACGCCTACAACAAGCATGCCAGCGGACGGGTTGACCAAACCATTATCACAACAGAAGCAAAGAGAATTCATCAAACAGATAGGATTAGTTGATATAACTGATCTTGTCAATAAAATAACAAAATAAGGTATAAAAACTCAATGAGCTTGGACGGGAGGAATTCAACATCCTCATATATCTCCTTTATCTATTCCTTTTTCATTCTATTAATCATCATGTCTTCTACATCATTTCCTATTCTGGTAATTTTTTCAGCTTCATTACTGATGTTATTCTGCTGAAGGGGGTATGTGAGAAGTGATATATCATATCTAGTTAGTATTCTGATGATTACATTAGCAAGGATCTTCTATTATCTCAATTCCGGAAACTGGATCACTGGTCCGATGTATACCAGCACTGCCCCCCATCATATATCCAAGCATTCTCTTTCTTATCCCCTCGTGGGTAGGTTTTTGCAAAATTAGCGTGGTTTCAATTAGTGTATGGAATTCTGCACCGGCGCCCTGGGCATAACCAATAGAATCCCATATAATTTTATATGAATGATAATTGGTCATTCAGATCTACTGATGAACAATCCCATGTAGATCTCAACAACGCGTTGAGAATCCAACGCGTTTGAACCCCCTATCCGCGAATATAAAGAACCCCTACTCAGGAATATATGGAACACCCCCCCCACCCCCCCCTCGCGAATATGGAACCCCCTCAACCTGCGAACGTGGAATCCACTGAGAAACCTACTAAATCCAATGGTAATTTTGTTATATTAATCAATTAAAATGACCTAGCTAACTAATTTATTCTCTAGTTCATACAAAAATGTCAAGAAAACGAAAACGGCCTATTGAAGAGGTTATTGCAGAACTTCCACCTCTAGAATCAGTGAAATTCCATCCAATACTGCCTGCCTCACGAGATCCAATTCTTAATATTCCAGCGAATATCAATATTAGCAGTCCTTATGCCTTATTTACTCTATTCTTCTCTGAGGAAAGCCTTCAAAATATCAGTGATTCTACTAATCTCTATGCAAAACTAAAGAAAGATGCTAGAGATACTGATGATGAAGCTCCAGAGCTTTCAGAAATAGAGGAGGATGAGGAAGCTCAAGATATAGAGATTTCTGAAATTTCTATATCCTCAAAGCCTTCTATCCAACAATATTCATGGAAAAATACCAATCCAGCGGAGATAAAGGTCTTTATAGGCATTCTTCTCTATATGGGGGTTCATAAATCCCATCGAACTGATCTATACTGGCGGAATGATCTGAAACAGGGCCCTATTCATTCTGTTCAATCCTATATGACCCATACGCGTTTTAAACAGCTTAAACGATATATCCATATATCTAACCCCCGTGAAGCCCGCCGCCCGGGGGCCAAAAATAAGGATGATTGGTGGTATAAGGTAGAGCCGTTGGCTACTGAGTTCCATATGGCATGCCGAAAATACTACACCCCTGGCTCCAAGATTTCTATTGATGAGATTATGGTTAAATGCTTTGGACGGAGTCAACATACATACAAGATGCCTAATAAACCAATTCCTCGGGGATATAAGATATTTGGCCTAGCAGAACATGGCTATTTATGGACATTTTTCTGGTCTAGCCGCCGGCAGGGTATAATGCCTATGTTTCAATTCCCTACATTAACAAAAACCGGATCTATGGTGGTGAATCTGGTGAACCGGCTTCCTACGGTATCCACGCCGAATACGCCGAATGCCACGCCGAATGCCACGCCGAATGCCACCCCTAATACCGACCCTAATATCACCCCTAATATCACCCCTAATATCACCCCTAATATCGGCCCTAATATCAACCCGAATACCACGCCGAATATCAACCCCCCGAATGCCACGCCGAATGCCACCCCTAATCAAATCTCTATCGCACAGCCGGTCACATCCTATTCAATTTATATGGATAACTACTTTACATCAGTTCCTCTATTCAAAGAACTACGTCAACAGGGGTATGGAGCATGTGGAACCACTCATCCAAACCAGGTTCCAGCAGTACTAGGTGAGCTTCGAGAGCATTCAAATTCCATACCCTGGAATTCCCTGCATGCCATTGAAAAAGAGAATGTTCTCTGTCTTGCCTGGCAAGATAATAATATGGTATTGGCACTAACTACGATTCATTCATTGGACGCAGTTATTGAACGTACTCGTAAATGCCCAGGGGAACTCTCAACCAATGCCAATATTGTTAGGAAAGTCTTTGAAGGTCAACCACAAAATAAGCTGAAAATCCCATTGATTATAGATGATTATAATCATAATATGAATGGGGTAGACCTAGCAAATCAATACCGGGCAGCATATACTAGTCATAGAGTCACCTATCAAACCTGGCTTCCTATTCTCTACTGGCTTGTCGATTCCGCGGCTGTCAATGCATACCGGCTTCAATATATATATATGAAGCAGCAAGGGATTCCGGCAAAGGATCTTTCTTCTCATATAAGCTTTCATGAGAAGCTTTATCAACAGCTTTTTGAATTTGCATCTAAGATTCATGATAATCTTCCTATCAAACGATCAAATCCTGATCTAAATCATCAATGAATTCCTCTTTCAAAACAGTGTGTTTGTGCCTGGTGTCAGTATAAACGAAAGATTGGCCAGCAGGAAGGTAAACAGGCAGGGAGATCAAATTCTGATTGTTCAGGATGTCAAAATACCCTCTTATGTTTGAAAACTCGATGTTGGGCGGAATTTCATAATATATCCTAATATAGATATATTGGCGCGGATCCTTAATTAGGGTTTATATATTACACTAATACCAACAAATACTCAAAAATACACTGATTATTCAATGGGATCTCGTATAATATACACTAATGAAACCACGCTAATTTTGCAAAAACCTACCCACGAGGGCTGGAGTTAATATAAGCAATTCAATTTATTTCATTGATATTCAGTATTTGGGTCAATATTGGACTTTATCCAGTTCCGACAGTTTGTCCATCATGAACTACAGCATCCTCTCAAGAGACGTTGCTTCCTCCGAGAAGTGGGGCCAGTGTTTGCCATGGAAGAAATTCGGCATTTCCCTTCCAATCCAATGTCCTGTTTGTTGTTTGAAAGAAGCTGGCCCTTGAGTCCGTATTCTTCCCCATTGCCCCAAGGAGACGCGCTTCCGCTCCCTCAAAGCTTATCTAATCTTGGAAAGCTCCCGCTAACTTAGTATCATCATGTGATCTAAGATCTGGATCGCGGATGAGCCTTACTATGTAGAGTGTGTGTGGCAATACCAGAACATGGGTTTGCCCCTCTATTAGAACAAAAAAGACAAGGAAAATAGAGACAATTTGAGAGAGTATGTGGTAAAAGCGGATACGCGCGTTCATGATATGTCATTCCACCCATCTACCCATCTACAGACTTATCTCCCCCGCTTGATACCCGTAGGTCAATACTAATATCGATTCGCATGTCCATACCCAAACTCAACACACTTCAAAACCCTTTATCCTTTTCCATAAATAAACCCAATGACGTCTCGGTTTTAATTTTCATCCTCATCGACTTCCATCTCATCAAATTTCAACCCAATCTCTCCCGTAACATCCCACCGATCGCCCGCCGCCGAGCGGCTGACATATTTCACAAACTTCAGTGTCCCTGAATCGCGCAGGACAATGCTCATGCGATTCCAGCCCGCTGCCATGCTGAAGAGGACTCCATCATCGCCATCCGCACCCGAGTTCGCCTTGTAGATTGCAGGGTCGGATTTTACGCGCTTTTTTGTTTTCTTCGTGCTGGCGTCATTTTCATCTTCATTGTTTTCACCCGCTTCCGCTTCCTCCTCTTCGTCATCATCATCGTCGTCGTCGTCGTCGCCGGCCATGTAGATCTCATATCCACCGACGGAGTGGTCATCGGTTTCTGTCGAAGTCTCCGTTGAAAGTTTTCGTTCTTTCCCATTCGTGTTTGACGTTGCTTTTCCCTTCGTTTTGCCATTGGCTTCACCGTGTTCACCCTCGTGTCCTTCCTTCCTTTCTTCTCTCTCCTCGTCCTCCTCCTCCTCCTGTTCCTGTTCATTTCCTTCCTTCTCCCACCCAGATGTCGGCGTCAGCCCAATCGTAAACTCTAGTCGCGGTGTCTCGGCCTCATACCCACTCGCCAACGTATAATCTTCACCTCGTCTGAATCGGCGCGCGAGGATATTGTAGTCGAGGAGGTCGCTGCATCCAGTCGCCACAGAGAGCCATTTCCTAAATGCTTGAGAGGGCAGGAGATTCTCCAGCAGTTCCTGAATAGGAGTCTTGGATTCAGTCTCTTGTCCGGCAATTCGAGGCTGCTGGTACAGATATCGTTGTTTGTGAGGTGGCCTGCTGACCTTCCACTCTGTTTTCTGCTCGATCTCATGCGAAGAGGTGGGCAGTGCATAGGATTCTTTTTCCTGCTGCTCGATATATTCCCGGAGGCGTGTGGCGAACTTATCATGGAGGAACCGTTCCAGGATCAGCGAGCAGTGTGTAGTGAAGTTCTCAACAAGCTCCTCTGTGATATCCGGCGTAAGATAGGAGGGAGTGATATATTTGAGCAGGAAGTCCAGGTCTGCCTCTGTAAAACCCTGATCTCCTTCACCAGCTGTTTTGAGATCTTCCTGTACATCTTCGTAAGGCGTAACCTGTGGCTGTGGCCGGTCAAACGCATCTCCGGAACTCTGCAACTGCTGCAGACTGCTCCGTTCCGCCAACTTCTCCTCCAACCCTTCCTCATAACCATCCTCCCCTTCTTGCGGTATATGATACCACCCACTAATCGCCATGCGCACTCTTTCCTTGCCATCCTTCTCCCCATCAGGACCCGCATAGTACACCTCTTCCACATCATGGAAGCTCTCCCCAGGCTGCACCGTGAAAAAGCTCAATTGATTGAACGCGGGGGGGATCGAAAGGCTAAAATCCGGACTTGGAACCTTTACCTCGTTCCCAGTGTCGTCCTTTTCGATTGTGGTCGGGTACAGGCGGAGCGCCCCACCCCAGCTCGGCTGCCACGCCACATCCGGATCCGTCAGGTAGAGAATGTAGCTCACACGTCGGCTGCCGATCACGTCGTCGTGGCAGAGCAAATGGCATCCGCCAGTGTAGACATTGATGGCCATGTCAGTCTTGCGGCCACTCAGGTCACCCGCACCTGTGACCTCCGACAGGAACTTGCGGAATGGCGCAGAGTAGAGGGCGTCGCGCAGCTCAAGGAGCGAGGGTAGTTTGGACAGCGAGGCATTGTCTAGCCCATCGAGGTTTGCGAGGTCACCGGATTGGAAAATTTTGTAGATGTCTGTCTCTTTCTCGGTGAAGGAGAGGTGTTCTTGGATCTCTGTGCGGACAGAGCGGAGGAGCGTCGGGTTGATGAGTGGAGAGATCACACCGTGTTTGTACCTGAGTTGTAATGGTGTTAGGCTATATAGCAATTATACATATATATACATTGTCGACGGGAAGGATCTGGGAAATTGCTTCTACAGGGCTTACGGTGCGGAGACTGCATAGCTCTGTTTAGATTGATCCAAGGTAGCCCTATCAAGCAGCCCGTCGCGGAATCGGGATTTGATAGTCTCATCCAGCAGCCGCTTCTTGGGGTCCGACTGGCCATTGCCATCAAGACTATTCCGCGTAAACGTTGTTTTGCGCTTCATTGTCTCCTACCTGTATTTTTTGATGGGCAGGTTGTTGTGGTAGGTGGTTGAATGGCGGATTGCGGAGAAAGTTGACAAAGGGCTCTTAGCCGGGCCATGACAAAGAAAACATCCCACCATCATTTTTGTAAACCACAGAGTTTTCGCATCTCATGTGTGAGCATTGCAGTATGGGCCTGGGGTGTGGTTCCATTTAATTAATCTTCATTGGTACAACTATAATAAGATGCTATTTTTGCCTGCTTTGTATGTCTTCAAGTTCTCTGTTTGCATTTTGTCTTTGACTTTTAGAAGCACTTATTGATATTGCCTACAAAATCCAGTCCAGGGTCGGTCTACCTTCCCTACAACTATGTTCTGGTATTGAAGTAGTGAATATGAATGCTATATAACTTATATAGTAAGAAAGGACAAAAAGGAGAGAGAGAGGTAGGGCCGCAGGCCAATGAATAGTAAATGATCATAGCTATTTATTTTGTATGTTTTTTTGATCAAGCAGTTAACCTTGCTCGTGCCCGGTTAGTCACTCACTACATTATCACTTAAGGCTTCCCTGTGAGATTCAGGGTCTGGAGGAAACATTACATCCTTGATCAGCCGATGATTCGGAAGATTTCTACTCGACACTCGCGACGCTTGAGTAAGGTGTAACAGTATTCTGATTGAGAGAGTTGAAACTGCTGATGTTAACCACCTTCATAACCTTCTAACACCTCAGCTGAGTGTTGAACTTGTGCAGTAGAGCATTCAATACTTGAATTCCGATCTAGCTTCTAAGGTTATCACAGACATCTCTAATACAGCGCAACAGCAACATTGCGGCGTTAAACCTAAAAAGGACAACACCAAACTGTTTTAAGCCCATTCCAGGCCATGTGACGCGAACCCACACTGCTTTTATTTCAACAACATATCTCACATCTCTTAACAACAATCATGTTCCACATACCTCAGAGACAGCAATAGTTGCAATGTCATATCTACAAACTATCAATGCTCAGCCTTGTTGTAGAGCAGTGATGCTCTACTCCTCACAATGTATAAATTCAATGTCTTCTGCTTCTTTGAAGCATTTTCTTCATTCACTCTCAGTGATACTATCTCTACTACCTTTACATACACTTATTTATAATCTGTGCAGGCAAAGTTTCATGCGCGGCCATCAAGCACATTTTCTGTAACTCGTCAATGGCGGTACAAGCAGCAAAAATGAGCTCAATTCCAGACAGTCCTGTCCATACTACTTCAATATAATAGCTGAGGAGTGTCAGGAAAGGCCTGACAAGGCAGAGACACAGAACAATCAAGAAGACTATGAATAGAGGAAGCTGTGATGTCTGACAGGATGGCATTTCTTGCAAGAATAGCTAGATTTCCAAGAACAGAGCGGGAACACCTGCATTTATAGTCGTACGCTGCATAACTGCCGGAAAGTTGGAACCCCGAACTGGCATGGAAGTGTGTTATACGTCTTTCTGCTGTTGCCACTACCAACAAGCTTTCCATGCTGCAGCTAGAAAATGCTTGATGCGCCTTTCCATTTACCCATGCACCTGGGAATCCTACATTTGAATAGTGGTCACCGCAGGGAGCCACATGACACAATTCTTGTAAATATAGAACTAAACGCGTTAAAAAATTGGCAATTGCAGACTCTGATTCAGAGGCATAGGCTTTGAAGTCACAATCCTCTGACATGGCCGCAGCGGCCCAACCAGTCAGACGTCAATTGGAATGGAGTTTTGTTCATTCTTCAAAGCCACCAGAACATGCCTACATTTCATTCACGCGCGTACCTGGATGGAAATTTCCCAGCAATGTCGGCCATGACTTGAATTGCAGTAAGTCTCGACTATGATCAACGTGTTAGCTGCGGATAAGTTGAGGTGATAGGAGCTGACTCACAACCCAGCGGTTATTTATAATTGCGTATCCACCAAAGTAGAGGTGCGGATCTGGAGAGTTTTTAGTATGAAGTGCTTCCAAAGCAGAGACTCATGCTGGTGTTACTCACGCCCCGAGTGTGTGAAATAGCCTGGCAACTCCCCTTCTACATCCACACCAGCTTCGCTAACGTTCTCGATCATGGCAGCTGATTTACTGTCAAGGAAGCCCGTCTGTGCATACCGGTCTGGAAGATCTACATCGCGGTATCCAGTGGCAAGGACAACACCGTCGGCTTTTAAAACAACTTCTTTCCCTTGATCCTTGTCGAATGCGACGATGCCGTCTGGAACGAATTTGCGAGCATCACCCCGCGCTATCTTGATCTTATCCTCAAACACAAGATCAAACGTCCTCAGCTGATCCATGTAAGTTGCGTGGCCGCGATGCTCGTATACAAGGGTGACCATGCAAGCGTCATTTTTGGGCATGTATCCCTTGCTTTCAAGACGAGCCAGAAGGTCGGGTTGCGATTTCATCACCATGGATATTATCCCCCGGGACACATCTCGAGCAATTCCAGTAGGCAGCGATTGTTGCAAGAAGTCCGCTGTCGCAACAGGCATATTGCCCTGGTATCGTGCCTCGATGATAGGTTTTATGGCTTCATGGCTAGTGAGAATCGTCGGACTGCGTTGTAGCATGGTTACGCTCTTAGCATGCCCATGGACAAGGTTGCGTGCTATGTCGTGAGCCGAATTCCCTGAGCCAACGATGACGACATCCTTGCCCACATATTGCTCGGCTGTGCTGTATTCCGCCGCGTGTTGGACGACACCCTGGAACAGATTGCGGTCCGATAAGTTGGGGAAGCTTGGGCTCTCTGGGGATATTAGGAAGCCGGTCGATATGACAATGTTCTTGGCTTCTACCGTTTCTTCTTCCTTTGTTTCTACATCTTGGATCACCACCTTCCACAGACCAGCGGTCTCATCCCAATTGTTTCTCACTACCTTGACTCCACAGAATAATGGCAGTTTGAGCGCCTCGACAGCGCTCGAAACGTATCTTGTGAAGTCTCGGCCAGGTAGATATTCCGGATAATCTTCAGGGATAGGGAATCCTGGCAAACCTACCATGAGCTTGTTATGATGAATGGTCACATAGTCTTTTCCGTTACCCGACCAGTTACCGCAAGCGACAGGGTAGGTTTCAAAAGCGGCAACATTCACCCCAATAGAGTCGAGCATGATAGTATTCGCTAACCCACTGCAACTGGCCCCAATTACGACGACATCCAAGACGCCTTGCAGGTGTGGCAGACCTTGCGCTTGAGCCTTACCTCTTTGAGAGGCTGGAACCGATGACGGGGTTTTCCGTGGAAGGGTTTCAAACGGGTGTTCTGTGAGAGAAACAACGTCGGTAGACAGTACCCAGATCTTCCATTGGCCACCTTCGGGGATCAGCTTGACAAGGCCAATATTGTTGGATTTGGGATTGTCAGTGGTGAAACAGAAAGGCACATCTAGGGATGCCAAAGTCGGAGAAAGGCGCTCGAATTTCGGTTCAATCCCGAGTCCATACTCTTGCTTAGAGGTAAAGACCGTGGGCTTCCGGGTCTCGGAGAGTGTCTTCCACGCTGCAACAATCTTGTCTCTCCCGGACAAAGTCCGCTTGTCGAAAGTCAGGGTCAAGCTGTCTTTCCAGAAACAGCCATTGCAGAAGAGATTGCCAAAGGCTTCCCAATCTTGTTTGCCTACAGCCCTAGAGAAAGAATGCAGAAAGGTCTGGGATTCTCCAGCAGCATTCAGGCTTTGTTCATTCTCCAAGACAGGCACCGTGGGAATATACGATGGCAGCTCGGCGACGGGAGCGCGGACACGTTTCTCGTATTTTGTTGCCATTTTGGGCGATTCGGTGCTTGCAGTTTAATATGAGCTGGGCGTTAAATTGTGTTCGTGGTGACTTGGGAACGATTCCGTAGCGAATAACTACCTCAAGTCCTGGTCTCCGCGGGAGATATGTATATATAACTCACAGGGACAGATAGCAAAAGCGGCTCGGAAAGAAACCCCTGTTGAGATTGATAAGCTGACTGACAAATACTTACTGAGAGAACACTAATCTGTAATAAGAAAAGAGGTAACTGGAGCGAGCTATTTGCTGGTATTAGTATAGAATTGCTGATAGTCTTGCGTATTTCCCCTTCTCTTGACCCGCCAGACAATTAGCTAATATATTTACAAATCATTAGTTCAAAAATGGATGAAAGCTGAACTCTTTGTTGGGGGTATGAATTGGTTCGTCCCCTATAGCATCAAGTATGGCTAGAAGTTTGTATTGATTTATAACATTGCGGGATGCTCAGTCACTCTACAGCTAATATGTGACACGGAGTAATACAACTATCCGAACTCTGTTAAGTGTTTATAAGCTGAGTTCATTTTTACCAATGGCGCATACTTCTGTCCAAGGCTGTATTTGGATGTGTTGAATGCCTGGCACTTTCAGCCCTCTTGGGGGCGGAAAAGCAGAGAAAGTGTCCTGTTCGCTCTTGTCAGAGTTAAAGCAATCGCCGTCTGTGACCATCCCATCGCAGATCAAGGAGACTTACGCTATGTGTAACCTGCAGATATTCTAGCCTCCGTATAACAAGATTAATAGTTCTACAACCACTGAGGCGTAGGAGGTTGCTGTTAGGCCACTGGGGCAAAAGAGCTCTCTCACACCCAGCGCCATGCTGGTAGTAGAGGGGTCGAACCAATCCACACCCCCCAACAGTTGCTGACTACGCTCTTAGCTAATCACACCATTTAGTTAGTTAACTAGTTAGTTAACTAACTATTTATATAGAGAAGCTTCAATCATCAGGATAGGTCACTCTAGTAAGAGATCCAGCAATAAAGCGACAGTAATGGATGCTCAAGACAGTCCTCCGCGGCCGGGAGAACCTCCCCGCACTCCTCCCCACCCCCCATACTCTCCCATTACCCCCGTCCTCTCCCACGCCCCCATGCTTCCCTCGCCATCACCAATGCAGCAGGCTATCCCACCTCCCTCCACCTTTGCCGCCACCGCCTTCTCTCTTGCCACTGCTAACCCCGCGAATACCAATGCGCTGCCTGTATCTACCCCTGCAGCCTCATTTATGGTTGAGCCTGCACCGATACCCATATCTGAGAGTGACAACCCAGATGTCATCGCCTTGCGCTCCGCCATCTCCATCCTCCAGATGCAAAAACAACAGGCACTACGTGACATGAAAACGCTAGACCAAATGAAACAAGCTGCGGTGGAACATCCCGAAGAGTTTGCGAGGGAACTCGCCAAAGGGAACCTGGCCTCCAAGGCAGGCGACATCTTCAACCCCACCGCCCTCGATGATGATGAAGGTGAACATGCAGGTGGAACAACAGCCCAGGTGGATGCAAGTACGACTAGCGTTAGGGATGAAGACGCTATGGATGTCCACCAGCAGTCACTTCCGTCCTTTGGAAAAATTCCCACGCCGCAAAAAGTTGTGCGCATGCCGCCTATCAACTGGGCTAAATATCACATCGTTGGCGAATCGCTGGATAAGCTGCATGAAGAGCAAAGACGGCGCCCAACGCCCGGGGAACCGCGGAGGGATGATGTCCCGCCTCGGCAAAGAGCACCGGAGCATTTCATCGCGGCGCCGTACCGGCCATTTACGGATAATCTGGAGCAACCTATGAAAACGCGGAGTAACAGTAGAGCAAAGAAGTGAGAGACGGTATTAAAAAATATATATGCACACCGGGAAGAGTTATCTATGTACAGTATACTTATGGTTCATACGTCGTACGTTTTTATACCATCATCGGGGTTCTTTGTTTCGGCGCTGGTCCCCACATGAATCGACCAAGTAATGTCATTCAGAACCTCTCTGCAATGTTGTCGGAAGCATTGAAAATGGCAAAACCCACCCATATCTTTAAATATGGAGCCATATGGCACGACGTCAATGAAACAGAACCACAGTCTACCTTCCACCTTCTTACCAAGGCAAACGACATACACTCCACTCCATCACTATACCCCACGCACTGCACGCACGGCACGCCTGTCAATGCTCTGTCCGCTCTCCTTTTCAATATCAGTTCCATTTAGCGAACAGCCATTTGCATTCCAATATGCGCCATCGCAATATTTCCCCATGATATCGCCGCTGCGCACTCCGGACACGTCTCCCCCTGGAACTCAAAATCCGCATCCACGCGTCCATACACCATGCTACGCGTCCTACACCGCCCTTGACGCTTCCGCTCCTTCCAGAACAGCGGCTCGAGTGGGAAATATTTTCCACAGGCCATGCACAACCGGCGCACGCCTGTCATCCACGATTCCAACCTGAAGAGGATCTGCAGTCTCATAGAACTGTCATATAGTACGCCGTAACCACCGTTCAGGTGGCGGGTGATGTTTGCCAAGGCTTTGCTTGTCAGCCCTAGACACACTTGGTCGGGAACGTCGAGCTCATTGAAGATCATCATTCCTATTTCGATGGGTAATTTGATGAGAGCGGCAGGTGGTGATGGTGATGAGTTCTCCTTCACACGCCAAACATAATGTATCAGACTGCCTCCTGAAAACCCATCCCAGAGACTCTTTATGATCTGTTATTGAGGGAATGTTAAGACATTAGTTTTCTTTTCTTCTCTCTTTTCGCTTTTTCATTTCATTTTCTGTTTCCATGACATTCTTCGTATTTATGATTGCTTGTCTTTTTGACATAGCATTCTCACGCCCTCCCATACTATACCAGTATGAAGAGATTGAAAATCCACAGGAAGCCTGTCATCTAGAAGAGGCTTTTTTATTTTTTAAACTCACCTGATAATCCACATAGAACTTGTAGATCTCGTTTCTGTTGTCCGTCACGTACCACTGAATGTTCGTGTCAGGGACCATGATTTTAAGCCAGCACATCCATTCTGCAGCCATAGCCTCGGCCGATTTTTCTCCGAGATGATCTTGCTCCGTCTGCTGGTCGTATTGGTCCTGCTGGTTCTGCAGGCTCTGCACGTCCTGTTGGTCGTGGCTTGTTGTCCTCAATTGTGGCAATGATTCCTCGTAGTTATCCGGAAGGATAATTTCTAAATTGTTGGGAAAGCGACTGTGAAATACGTCATAGTCAGTTTCTTTCTAGTTCTTATATCACTGGGCTATGTTCTCTGTCTCGTGGCCATAATCTTGTACTAGGGTCCGGCAGTTTCGCATCACTACTGCTGTTCACCTCCTTTGGTCCCGCCTCTCTTGAGGTCCCTGATTCTGGGAGAAGTTTGGCTCTCTTGCCCGAAACTAGACTAGGAAGGCGAGGAGGGATGAGGATAGCATCAGCCAGAAATCAACTAAACTCACCGACGCTGGCGAATTGTCAGCGGCATCCGCATCTCCTTCACCGATGTCAACGGAGGCATCCTAGCAAACGCGCCCATACTATTTGTCAAGATACAACAATTAGTGATTTGTGTCTCTTCTCTTTGATGTAAAGAATAAAGAATGTGACAAAGGAGCCGCAATCCAAAGCAAACTGCATGCAGCCGCTAGAAGGAGTGAGATGGGGAAAAGACCAGGCAAGGAGGCAAGGGATACAAGACAGAGGCTTGTCTGCCTTAACAACAATAATGTGCTCCTTTAAATAACTAGTGCCTAGTTCAACAAAGGGGCAGCGGAGAATTGGTGTGATCACTTACTCATTTCTCTGCTCCGGGACTGTCAGGAAGCCGGAGGTGAAGCTTTTGGGCATCCGATGAGCTGCAGGCATAGCCATGGCTATGGATTGTCCTTTTCTTTGTTTCTTTCTTCTCCGTGGGCGGTGTTACCTGAGTTTTGTGGTGTTTCATTTATTGTGAACAGATGACAATGATCTCCAATTCAGAGAACAGAAGACTCGCTGTTAAATAGATACAGAGATAAAGTGGTTGTCATCAAGAATGAAAAACTCCAGATGACAAGTTGGCTGTGTGGTAGTTGTCTGAGTTCATGTCAGGGCAAACAAACCGGTGAATCAAAAAAAGGGGGGCTGGACAATGTGAGAGAGCTTAAGATTCAATTCCCCAAGCCCCCTTACAACAGTCAAGACTTAACACTTTAAGTGAATACATTAGAATCAGCGCCTAGACACTGGCATACAGTAGGGAACATGATGGGAGGATTTTATCCAAGACTCAAACCAATCCTACCTTAATCCTATGTGAAATTTTCTGTTGTCCCATGCTTGCTTCTGGCCAGATAAGATAACCCATGGCAAGTCTGCTGTTTTGGTCAAGCTGCTATGCAGTGTAGCACACAGAGAGCCCAAGGGGTTTGTATATCAAAAGAAAAAACTAAAAAAATCCCACTTGCATCCCACCTCGTAGGCAAAACCAGTTTACCTCTACTGCACAAAGAGGGACTGGAGATGGAGTATATATTGTATGGAGGGTAAGACGGTTGCTATGATAGGCGTCTCACAATCATATACATATCCCGCCTCGCATTTCAAGAATATGCCATTTTCACCCAATAGTCAGTGACATCAGCATGGAAAGTCAAGTTGCTCCTCGATCCTTTAGCGAGGCAATAACCCATAACCATGCAACTCCATCTCTCCTAATAAATGTAAACACAAGAGCAGGGGTAACATATAGTAAGAGCTCGAATAAAGTCTATCCCCATAAACAAAAACTCACATACCCTTATTATCGGAATAATTAGTATAAATTCAAAGGAACCAGAGAGCAAGTTAGCGTAGCGTCCGTTGCCCGATGATATTTGACATCTACCCATCCTCGTCGCCCTCCCCGAATGAAACCTTCTTCAATTCCAACGCCTGCTTCAGACTCTGCACTCGTTTGCCAAGCTTTGATTTCAATATCGGATTCGCCATACTCTCCCACTTGAGCGTCTCAGTCTGCACCAGCACCTCCAGCTCGGCAATCTCCTCCCGCTGCTGCTCTAGTTGTCGTTGCTGCTCTAGAGCGTCTTCGTCTAGGTCAGCTTCGTTAGCCTCGTCACCTGAAGAGCCATCCTCGCTTTCGTCATCTTCGTCCTCGTCCCCGGATGTTTCAGCTGGCGTTTGGGGCTTGGAGTTGGGTGTGCTGGCGTCGACGTAAACATCGACTTCGCCCTCCGTATGGCTTTCGGGTCCCATTTTTGTTATCGGCACTGTGGCTTGAGTGGGGGTAGACATATTGTTTTGGGTATCTCTCGCAGTTGCGGAGGTGGAGGCTGGGCCGGGAGTAGAACCGCCATCGGCATGAGCTGCAAGTGCTGCTTCCATCTCGGCAGCAAGCTCATCTTCGAAGTAGTCGGCAGCTTCTTCCTGTGCCGAGGGCTGAGTATAGCCATCCATGCCATACTCGTCTACTTCCCCTTCTGCATCTTGCTCATCATCATACTCCTGGCCTGTCAAACCATACCTCGCGCCATCGTCACTCATAGCACTGGTTTCCCTCATATACTGCGTGTAATCCATTATCTCGAATTCAGGGGGGCTCTCAGCTGCCATATCCTCCTTGAGTAAGCGCGCCACCTCCAGCTCGACCGCCTCAATAGTTCTGTTGCTAATGCGCTTCCGGAACCGTCTCTTGCGCACCCAACGGAGAGGCGGGGTAATGCCATGGGCGTATTGGAAAGTGGACTCGTCGACGTCCCTGGGCAGGGGGTAGGTACGTGCTTCATCATCCGAGTTCACACGACCAAGGACTAGAAGCATCTGGCAGATGTCTGCGGATTTATACCAGCCCCGCTTGTCCCAGCTCTTCATTCCCTCGATGATACAAGGTAGGTCGACGAGGGATGCTGCATATATGTGTCCGCGAATGTTGAGAACAGCGCGCCGTCCGTCCCTTGTCAGTGACTTGAAGCTAATATCGGCGCCACCCTGGCTACGAGGCCCAAAGCGTTTCTCCATCACGGCCTGGCGGAGGTAATCACAATCCTCTCCAGGTAGCATACGGAGGATGAACTGCTCTTCCAGAGCGGGGTCCCTTTCCGTGTCTGAAGCTTCAGAATCATAGCCCACACCTTTTGGTCTCACAGGCGGTTCTCCCTTGCTTCGCAAACGGATGGATGGCGGTGGCCTGGTACTGAGCTTTATGCGCTTTACAGCTGGTTGCTTTGAAGCTTTAGTCGCCGACCCTTTAGCCGTCGTGCCGATGTCCGCATCATTACTGGAAGCTTCTCTTCCTCGTTTCTTTGATGTACCTGCTCGTGGAGTATCCTGAGAGGTCTTGGGGCGGGAGGCCTTGGATTTTTTGGCCGATTTGGAAGCGGAAGCTTGGGCGGCGACGGATTCTTCAGCGATTGGTTTTGGGCCAATTTTGAATTTGAGTTTAGGAAGTGACGAGCCTCCAGGCGTAGTTGGATTAGAGGGAGGAGGAGAAGAAGAAGAAGAATTAGCAACTTGATCGACCTTTGGCTTGCTGAAGGTCAGCTTGAGCACCGGTCGGGAAGACATAGTGATGGGTTTACGGTGCTTTGGGCATGTCAAAGATATCGTGAATATTGCCGTAGAAGAGCCAGAAAAGGTACCCCCTCCAAGTAACAGGGCCGTGAGAGTTGGGTATGTTATCCCCTATCTTACGTGCGGTACACGGATGTTGAAGCTTTCTTGTTGCTGTTGTTCTATGATGCCTAATTGGGCTTAGCGCTCAGCCTCCTGTTAGTTCCTCCAAACCGAAGCAATAACTGAGTGAATCGTCACTCATGAAATCGTGGATGCTACCATGTTGTCACTCTTGGAGTGGGTTGTATATTAAGAGCTGGTGGTGAACATGAATGTGAATGCGAATGCCCATATACTAATTAAAAACACCCTTCTTGCCTCCTTACTGAGCAATCACTCCCCATAATCAACCACCTCGACATCCGAATCCACAAGCCACGGCGTAATTCCTATGGCAGAAAGATGTCAGCGCCCAACCTCTACCACACCTTACTACGTCCGCCAGTTATTCAGATACTTCGCGCTGCAGGTTTCCATTCCGCGAGTCCTGCCGTCATTGACACCGTCACTGACCTGGCCGCTCGCTATTTGATTCTCCTCGTCTCGCTCACCAGCGACCATGCCAACAACAGCCACGATGAAATCCCCATTCCAAACCTCCACGACGTTGTCATGGCTTTGCAGGATGTTGGTGCCCTGAGACCCCAAATGTCTTTCTCGGAGGAGACACTTAGGGGCGAAGAGGATATGCGTGGACTCGAGTCGTTTATGGCCTGGTTTTCAGGGCCAGCCAATAAGGAAATCAGACGGGTAGCTGGATTCCTCCCCAGCGAAGGGGATGTGGTGGATGAAGACTCGCTCGAGAAAGAGGATTACTTGACTGGTATGTCTGGTCAAATTGTTTGCGTTTTGGAACAAGAGCATGGCCACTTTTCCGTTTGGGAGTTTCCAGCTGACAGATGCGACCATTATAGCCTTAAAGAAGAAGCATAGCAAAACCGGTGAGGAATCACGGTACCAAGGTACTGTCCTCGGAAAATGCGGAGAGGTGCATCCCATTGTCATAGAGGGCGGAGCTCAGAGTATAAAAGCTTGGGGTATGCAGGTTCGATCGGGAGAAGCGAGCACCGAGGCCGCCTCATCCGTCATGAGCAGTGTCCCGAGCAGTCTGTCAGATGTGGCGGCAATGGAAATATGAGCGCCTCGCATACATCGATCGGGTCCATCTGAACACATCTTGCCCGTGTCGACTTGCGCAGCCTTTTTAAGAAACTCGTACGTACAAACTTGCTGGAAAAACAGCATTAGAACTACCAACGGACCTGATTCGAGCAATAACTGCGACCCACAAATGGCAATTCTAGTCAGCATAAGTGAAGGAAAGTTCCTAATAATCCGCCAGCAGCATTTATCTGCCATCAAAGGAATTTCCATCTCTTTTCGGGCTGGCTTGAACGGAATAGTGTAGCGGAGGAACAGCAAGGGGGTTAATCAGCACCAAAATTCTTCTCGCAGAAATCCAGTGAGATAGGAGACAAAACAGGCGTTCGGGCACCGCAGTGGTATTCCATCTCCTACCCGGCCGCAAGCGCAGAGAGTGATACTGAGGATAGGCTGTTCTAATAAAAGCAACGAAGGTCAGGGATGCTATATATATTAGCATACCCCCCCACACCCCGGGCGGATGCAACTATTTACTGGGATGGATACCAGAAATCTCCAAAATTGTCTTATTGGGAGCACCCCTCGACATACCAGCAGCACACCAGCAGACAAGTGGCTAGTTACATTTTATATAAACATACTGAATCTCGTTCATTGTATTTTTCAGTGAATCAATTCATAATATTGACATACAGCCATTTCTGGCACATTTTTGCTGCTCTGATTCTATGATAATATTCGCAACCACAGTAAAGTTGTAGATAAACATTAGTTAAATAAACATTTCTGACATCAGCATCACGAAGCCCTGTAATCCACTTCAATAAACTGCATTCCACTCCCTGAGTAGAGCGCGACGGCGCAGTTGACTCTTTCAATTCCAAGGGATCAATATCCCACCTAACACCAAGAGACATGGTCTTCTCTTTCGCCCTCCCCACAACTTCCCACTTATCCTTCCAGTCCTATCTCTCCTCCCCCTCCCACCCCTCCCTCCCTCAGTCTGCCTCCACAGCTCGACACGCGCTCCGTCTAGCTCTCAAGGAACACAAGCGCCTATCCCCTGCTAAGCAATCATGCCACTTAAAGCTTGTCCTCACTGCCCTAAATGAGTACATCCCGCTCCTGTTCACCCTCTCGCGCAGCCTCAGCCCTGATCCTGGCCCGCACGACTCAGAGCAGATCGGTATCCATCTCCGCTCTGAAATTGAGGTCGAATGGCGCACCACGCTCTCGTCAAGTTCTTTGCTGCTCCGTCTGCGACGGGGTGAGGTCGGTCTGGGCCGCTCTTCCCGCGTCCGTGGCTGCGGATTGGACTTTGAAATAGCCTTCGTGCTCTCGACGCTGGGCTATACGCTGGCCAACCTTGGGCGGGCTAGATATTTGCAAACTCTCTACGCGAACAAAACACCCACGCCAGAAATGAAGACGGCGGCCGTGCAAGCGGCGACCAAATATCTTCTTCAGGCTAGCAGTGTCCATGCGTTTCTAGCTTCGTCGTCATCCCTCTCGGGCCTGTGTTCGGCGGCTGCCGTTACTTGTACCCCGCATACCCCTAGATTTCACAAACATGCAGCTACAGCTACAACTACCGCTACACCGGATTCGCCGCCGGTTGAACCAGACCCTTCTCCAATTCCCATTCCAGACTTGGACCCGTCAACGCAATCGGCCCTCGCAACCCTAGCCCTCGCGGAAGCGACGCTTCTTGCCGTGGTCAAGGATGACGCGTACCTCTCGGCCTGCATCCAGGCCCGGAACGCTCTCGACACGGACTGGATGGTCAAATCGCCTGATATCCCGAAGGTGCGTACGTTGCTTTTTGCGCGGCTATGTGTGCGTGCGGCGGAGTATGCGGAGCAGGCTCTCTCCAGCGCAGGTGCTGTCGGCGGTCAGCGAAACGACGCCAAGGTCGACGAAGATTTGCTCAATTATATGCATAGTCTTTCAAGGGTTTGTCGTGCCAAGGCTTGTAGGTTCTTTGGTATTGATGCGGAGATGGGGGGGAAGACGGGGGAGGGGATTGCATGGCTGCGGGCCGGGAGGGGGGTTTTGGGGTTTCGTGGCACATTGGAAGGGGATGCGAAAGAGAAGGGGAGAGGGGGATTTGGTACCGGATTCTCGAAATTGAAAAGGGAATGGTCGGAGCGGAGGGAGGAGAGGAGAATCGAGAAAGAAGCAGCGGCGTCGTCGAGGGGGCAGGGGCTGGAGCGCGAGGCGGAGATGGATTGGGGGGATGATGCGGGGAGGGAGGAGGAGGGGAAAGTGCTGGATATGCTTGAGGCGAAGTGGGTGAAGATGAATGATACTGTATGTCTATATGGAACCCTTGGAGAGAAATATCTGTTGCTAATCCGCTAACTAACTGGCGGGATGCGTAGGTAAATACCCAACTCATACCCTCGTCATCCTCGTACATAGCGAATCTGCCCTCAGGTAGAGACATTCACTCCACGCCTGCAGCATATACCCCGCCGCAGCTTGACGCGGAACAGATAGTGCGCATGCGTGCGCCGCCAGACACTTATGAGTCCCTAGACGTGGCGGAAAGTAGCGATGAGGACGCCGTTGAGGGAGAAGCAGCTGGGAGGGGATATTTCTAGTGTGTGTGTGTGTGTGTGCGTGTGTTCTGGCAGAGTTAGTTGGAGCCATTGATTGATGGGTGAGCGTGTATATATATATATATATAATTTCTACCCCATTTCTATATTTCAGGGAGAAAGGGGTCTTTATGGACTTGAACTAAAACAACAATGGCTTCTTAAAAATTTTTAACCTTTTTTGTTGTCCATTAAATCTATCCATTATATACAGTAAGTGCACCGCCGGTCTATTCATTTTTTCCACACTGTAACTGGCATCATCGACACGGAAAACATAATCCTGGTCTGCGGGGAGGAAAAGCAAGACCACGAAGGTAGTTGACTACTTGACTGTGAACAACGTCCTTTGTATCACAGCCAGAACTGGAAGGAAAGTACAAAAAACCGCAATTGAGAACGATGATACCAGTCGAGATGGGTTTTCGAAATGCCGGCGGGAAACGAAGTGACGGCTCCGTCACGAACAAGAAGATGTCCTTCCAACCCAAACACAACACCAGGATAGTGCCCCGTAGCGCACGTAATCCGATTCCACCACCGCGTTTCACCCCAGGTATCCAATTATCTGTTCGAATACAATCTCGGAGCGTCCACCCTCGAACACGTCACACACACGCCTCGCTGTCCCACGCACCTCGACAGGGTCAATCCCCAAGTTATCACTGTCCTCCGTCCTCCGTCCTCCGCCCTCCGCCACTCCGCCACTCCGCACGCCCTCTCACGACGGCGCCGATTTCGAGACGTAATTCTTCTCCTGGAACATATACCCCTTTATCTTCGCCTCCTTCAGAAGCTCGAAATATCGGTCTGCCCCAACCCAAACCCTCCCTCCACCAGCATTAGCAAGAGCGTAGAACCATATAAATGAATTGCAAAAAAAAAAAAAAAAAAAAAAAAAAAAAAAAAAAAGGACAATTGTAGAGAGAGAGAGAAGACAAACCCACCCCTCAACATCCCGCACTTCTCCAGATGATTCACGCCCTCACGCCGGTAGCACTTGCCCAGCTCCTCCCCGACCAGCCGTGCCATCATGCTGCGCACCCATTGCTCGCGGATGATGGCGTCGCGCGCGTTGTGGAGCGCGGCGGTGTCTTCGAAGTCGACGCCGTCGTAGCTGGGGGTTACGGTGGGCTTTTTGGCGAGGAAGGCGGCGGATTCCGGGGTGGGCATGGTTTTTTTTGGTCGGCGTGGATCGGTCGGTCGGTCGGTCGGTCGTTTTGTTTTGTTTTGTTCCCTGGCTTTCAAGGGGTTGGTTCTTTCTAGTTTTATCTTTATCGTCTGTTCATTTATTATTATTTTTATTATATTGGTCCCCCGTGTAATTTTGGTTGATGGTAGGATAGGCAATGGTGAGCGAGCAGTTTGGCTCGGTATAGCTTGTTGTCTGGTTAGGTAGTGTAGGAGGATAACGTTCGTTGATATTACTAAACTAACTACGCGAGAGCAATACAATATGTTGGGGGGCACGTGATAGGGTAGCCGTCCACGGGTAGTACCCCTAACAGGTAGAATAATCACGTGACTTATAGCTTCGGCTGTTTGCAGACAAATCAGAGGAAGCTAATTAAAATTTTACACTTCATTTTTTTTTTTTTTTTTTTAATGAATTCAAGAAATGAATGAAAGAGGCAACAGTACACTTTCAAAATGCACAGTCCTGCATTGCTATGTTTGCTTGTCTGTATAGCTAAGGTATAATAAATTTACAAAAAGCACACACAAAGTTTCAGCCAGCACATAGTTGAAAAGAAAGAATGAAGAAAAACAAACCAAACCCAAACCCAAACCCAAATCAAAACCCAGCAAAACAACAACACGAAGCATAGAGCATAGGAATGTAATGTCCAGGAGCGCTAGAATACATGCATGTTAGAGCAGGGATGCGAATGTAAAACGGGTAGAAGAAAGCATGGACAAAATCAATAAAATACAAGAAGGGTACAACAAGAAGGCTTCTCGATGCAGAGATGGAAAGGGAAGGCAGGGAATTGCGGAAATCGCAAACAAATGCCTCTCATGCAGGGTAAGGGGTTTGGGAGAAAAAAAAAAAAAAAAAAAAGGAACATCAAAGGTCATGAAGTTCGAAGCAAAAAAGCACCAAAAAGGAAAGGGAATATATATATATATAGTTAAAATGGAAAATAGAGGAAAGAAAGAATGGTAACAAGAAAGGTCAGAAGGAATAAACACCATACCGCCAGCAAAGGGAATTTTTGTTGACAAAAAAATGAAAAAAAAAAAATAAATAAATAAATAAATAAATAAAAAAAGACCTAAACAGAACAAAAAATAATCCAAATAATCCAGATATATATACATATATATATATATCAAAACTGCCTCTTTAGCGGCCTACCAATCATTTTGAAAAATATATCCGCCAGCCCCTCCTTAAAGCGCTCCCACCAGGACCGGTTGAGGAAGTAACCCAGCTGGCGATAATACCACATCTCCCCCCAGCAGTCCCTTCCCCACTCGCAGCCGGCCATGTTGACGATGAAATCTCGGTCATTGCGCTGGTAGTGGATGCGCCGGTCCGTGCCATTGCCGCACGCGCCCGGCGGGAACGAGTTCATGCGCCGCTGCGGCATGAAGGCGACGTGCGGACGCACCCACGGATGGTTGATGTAGACATGTTGCAGGCTATCCTGCTCCTTATGAGTCCAGGCCAGGTGCTTCTGTTCGTAGAGGGCGGGATCCCACCATATGTCGAGCAGGCGCTCGGTCCAGGGGCTGCGCCGGACGACGAAGGAGCCCAGGCTGAAGCCAGAGCAGTCCTGCGTGAGGATCAGGTTTATGGAGGAGGTTTTGTTGTCGCCGGTCATGGAGCGGGAGAATGGATCCAGGTATGACGCGTTCAGGGGGTGGGAGATATTGAGCGGGTTGAAGAAATTGATGTCGCGGTAAGCGTTGGTGTCGAGGTGGTTGAGGACGTGCGATTGGAGAGGAGTAGGTGGGTTCCATGATGTAGGTGTGAAGGTCCAGCCACCAGAACCTGCATGCAGAGACAAAAAAAAAAAAGATTTATTAGTTGCTTTCCTGTTTTTCCATAATTTCTTTCTTTCTTTCTTTCTTTCTTTTTTTTTTTTTTTTTTAATGTTTGGTAGAGACGAACCATTCTGCATTAGGATATCGTCGAAAAGCCTGGCGGAGGGCGTCGACTTTCTCCCACCCTTCCCTCCATTCATGTGCATATCGCTTCTGCGTAACCATGTTGACGATTTCGAGCTCGTAGCCCCAGCGCTGAACGTATTTTCTCTTGTTTTTCAAACTATCCCGCTCAATCGCCCATTCGCGAGCGCCTTTCCATTCCATCACTCCTCCGCCAATATTCGCACCCACAACCAACACAATCTTCTTACCCCCACCCATCGACGATGCGCGGTAGGACTGTATGATCCCTGTTAAATATGTCATCAGTGGGGAATTTCCGTTTGTACGTACATATATATAAGATCTTCAAAAAAGAAAAAAAAAAAAAAAAAAAAAACAGAAAACGAAGAATAAGAGGCTACTCACGAGTTGAAAAGAACAGCCAGAAGAAGAACAAGAACAGCAACAGGAGCATGAATCTGAACCTCTTCCGGCGAAACAAGCTGCCCAGGAGAGTTTTGAGGCGGACGCGCAACGGCAGGTCGCCGGGGCCGCACGCCAACCATCGCCCACGGCCCAGCTTTTCCTTCTCGCCGTAATCAAGCATGGAATTGACACGGAACCGCGGCAGGCTCGCGGAGATTTTTCGCCGCTGTCTGGAGAAGAAGCCATTGTTCCGGGTGGAAAAGGAAGGGTAGGCGGCTATGCGGTCACTCTTTGCCTTTGCGGAAGCCCAGGTGACGGCACCATTGCCGGGGCCAGCACCGGCGATTGGTGAACTGTTTGGGTGGAAGGCTCCGCTCCCACTGCTTGTACTGCTGTTTGCGGTGTCATGGTAACCCCTGGGCGGGCTGGAGCCTCTAGAGCTGCCTGTTGCAATGGTCAGACCGGGACTGGACCATCCTCCTCCACGGCGGGGGGAGGGTGATCTCGAGAGGGACATGGGCAGCTGGCCCGTCTCCGAAGGTGTATCTGAAGGTGGGGAGGCGATGGAGGGGAGAGGGGTAGACTTGGGAGAGAGGGAGGAGGTGGTTGCTAACGATGTAGCCTGAAGAGCCCGATTGGAGGACGAGGATTGGAGACGCTGTATTGAGGAAGTGATGCGGGCGGAGGAGCGTCTGCGGTGGTGCGGACCGGGAGAGCGGCTATCCCTCGAGGATTTCGAAGCCAGGATGAAGGTGGATATGGAGGAGCAGGAAGAATAGGGAGAGATGGAAATTCTCTCCCTTTTCCAACCCACGAAGGAGCGGAGGGTTGGTGTGTTTCTTGGGTGAGTTTATATCAGCCTCTCGATGGGCAGTGGTAGTGTGCCACTCAAAGCCAAATTGCGTCTTTGTATGTTTGTATGTATGTATGTATGTATGTATGTATGTATGTATGCGTATATATTAATAGACACGAACGATTTTGACGGTTTGCGGCAAGGGTAGCTATACTTAAAAAGTATAGCTGGGGGGAAGTTGTTTCTTTTTTTCTTGGTGGAGAGATCCGAGATACACTGAACAGGACCAGGTAGAGGAGAATCTAAAAGTCTTAAGGGTCTGGCATTGAAAAAAAAAAAAAAAAAAAAGAAAGAAAGAAAAGAAAGAGAAAAAAAAAGAAGACAGCAACGAGAACAAACTCCCCTCCCCCCCCCAAAAAAATGGACACGGGATAGTAAAAAGTCCCGAGGAATGTTGACGGCCCAAGGAAGCAGATGAAATGTACTCTGTAGTATATACGATATTTAGTCGAGATAGTCGATATATATAGGAAGCCACGGCAAAAGGGGAGGACGAGACAGATGAGGCAGAGGCAGAGGCAGAGGCAGAGGCAGAGGCAGAGCGGTTGAAGGACGAGGGCAGTCAAGGGAGGACAGGACGTCTGGCGAATCGTGAGAAACGGGCAAAAACCAAAAAACCTGTAGCGACTGAAGGACGACGGTCGACAACGTAAGTTGATTCAATCGTCTTGCTGTTGAAATCGAGTGGCGGGATTGGGATTGGGCGACCAGGGCAGAAGCCTAGCGGCGAGACAAGCGGCCGGGATGAGCTAGACGACGAGCCACAGGAGGGCGGGTGAGACACATCGCAGCACTCGCAGGACCGGAGGACAACGGAGGGTACGGAGTAGAGATGGCAGAGACGGGGGAGACTTAGGGGAGAGAGGTTAGAGGTTAGAGGTTAGGAGACGGGGGAGATTGGATGAGAAAAGGAGAAGGAGAAGAAGAAGATTTCCCTGAGCAAGGCCTGAGCAAGGAACCGTCGAACGGGCCGTACAGCGGGTTGTTGGCTGTTGTCTGGGTCTGTTTGACTCTGTTTGACTGTGGTTGACTGTGGTTGACTGTGGTTGAACTGTGTTTGTTGTGTCTTTGGGTGGAGAACCAGCCGGCGATTTGCTGCAAAAATCTTAAATGGCGGTCCCATTTCCCATTTCCCAAAAAAACCCACACCAAAACCAACACCAAAACTCCAACACCAACCCCTGGCCTTCGCTCCTCTTCTTGGCCGGCAATTTTAGGGCGAAGAATCTGGCAGACTTCATCTCTGCAGGTGTCATTGGCCAATCAGGGCGCCTGTTTGCGATGTTTCTTCGGCCTTCAACCATGGAGTGACAAGGGAGTGGGGAGATCTGGTGCAACTGGTGTGGTAGGCATCCGTTGACAACCTACGGAGTGCTGGACAGACTTCCTGAGTCCGAACCTGAAGTCTGAACTGAAGTCTGAACTGAAGTCTGAACCTGAAGTCTGAACCTGAAGTCTGGACCTTGTACAAATCTCTTGTTCCATGTGCCTCCCATGTGTGCCATGTTCCACCTGCGCCTCGATCTGCCCGCGCGGTCTGCGTGTTGCACTCAGTTATTTTGCAATAATTACGGAGTCGTTACCCAAGGCTCCACGCGGCCCTTGGCTGATCCCGGCCAAGGGATGTCACACTACGGAGTACTCGCTTACTTGCTTATCATCCTTTTTTTAACGAACTGACCGGCGTAGTTGACTACTGTTTCATTGCCAGTTTGTTCGAGTTGAGCTCTTTTGCTCCAGCGACAAACATCATCATTCATCAACGACAAGAAGCTAGAGAATGGCATATGGCATTCGAAATTCAGCCATGCTCTCGAAATATTTCGACATCTCCATCGTAGATCCATCCCCCCTGTCCCGTTCGGCGGGTTATTATCTCATCTGAAGTGACCGAATGCATTATCAAACAACGGCCCGTTTTCGCCGTTGGCTTCTGCGTCCACCCAAATAGTTACCATATAATCAGATCAGCCTATGCAGCAGTCTTAAAAGTAAATGATCAATTATGATTAATACATACATACATACATACATACATACATACATACATACATACATACATCATAATGACAATAAAGAAATAGACGGGGGAGCTCACGCGTAGTGATAGAACCTGCAATCCCCCCTTTCACCGCGGCCACGAACTCCCTCCCGCCCGCCATGGCTTCGACCTTCGTCAACAACCGCATCGCCCACCCTTCCACTCCAAACATCTTATATGTATGTATGTACTCCGTATTACCTGTGTTATTCTTGCTTATGGGCGCATGAGAGTGCCGTCCATACCATACCCCAATTGACTTGCGCCGTCACGAACCTTCTTTCCTGCGTATCAAACTCGGCACCTGTTGGCGGTAAGGGGTTTTGCGCAATTTGGAAAAACTACCAGCACTACTAAGCCGCACACCTGATATATTCCTAAATTGCCGTTCCTCTATTGTCGCACCTAACTACGGAGTAGCTATATCGCTATCTATCAACGGATTATCTAGCTCCAAAAATATTCGACCAGGGGAATGCTATGCTATGCTATGCTATGATGCTATGACCAATAACCGCTATCACCCCGGCGCGATCCATCGCGTGCTCTTTCTTGTTCGCGCGCCCTCGTACCCGCTACGGAGCGTGGTTCAGTTCAAAAGCGAGGCGAAATTCCGCGAATGGGAAATATTTTAAATCCTTCTTCATTGGCTGGCCAACGAACGCCCTTACCCTGTCCCTACTCCCAGCCGGCCAGATGCACACACTCCAGCAGCTCAAGGCGGGCGGATAGCTTTGTGCGGATTGTGTTGAGCTCATCAATGGCATGCCGGATATCTTCTGTTGAGTTCGGGGACAAACATGCCGGGATTTTGAAGTACTTTTGCCCTGCTGGCTTTGTTTTCTTTCCGATTCCCTTGCCGATTCCCTTGCCGATTCCCTTGCCGATTTCCTTGCCCGTGCTCTTCGACGGAGACGGAATAACAACGGCAATACTGCCGTGTCCTTTGGCTCTCGAGGTCGCCCGTGGCTCCGCTTGCTGGGGACAGTTTTTGCTTTTGATGCGGCTGTTCGACTTTGACAACGGCCTAGGTGGCTTTTTAGAGGTGGCCTTGGTTATTCGCCGGGTTGTCGTGGTCTTGGAATCTGGCGAGGGCGGGGGACTCTGTAAATATGATTCTTGTTCTGCATTTTCTTCGTGGTCATCTTCGCCATCTTCGTCCTCATCTTCGTCTTCGCTTTCATGTCGCCACTCCTCTTCGCTCCCCCCGGACAGGATTAGCAAGCACATCAACGCAGGTTCAACCAAACGGGAAAGAAAAGTGTCCCAGGCTAGAGAGCGCAAAACAACAACAAAAAAGAACACCCACCTTCACTATTCCCCTTGAAAGTATCGCGGAAGGAGCATTTACAGGCCAGACCACGCCATATACAGTTTCCACAGGCTCCAGAGCTGGGATATTCACCATTGCTCGTCCTGGCAACCACACATGTCGAGAACGGCCCTAACCCCGACTGGCACCTAGTGCACATGTCCATGTCGGAGTACACTTGCTGACCCCGTGTCTGGATGAGAACCGCATCTCGCTGGAATGCGTTCACAATGGCGCGCACGTTGTACTCGTGGATCCCGCTCCTCCGCCGCCAGATAACCCGCCGGAGACAGGGCAGCTGCGAGATGGAACGTACAACTAAGCTCTCCGGTAGGACGGTAAATTTGCGGATATAGCTTCGATTCCCGTTGGATTTGTCATGCACCACTTCTTCCAATGCCGCGCCCCCCGGGAAATGGGCGCCTGTGAACACGTCAGACGAGCCAGCGGTGAACTAGAGTTGTGGACTTACGTGGGGGTGGTGTTAATGCCACATATGACTTTTTACAAGATGTACTGGAACTCCCAGTCGCAAGGGCCATACTGGTGATGAGAAGGGACTGTTGAGATGGGTGTCACCATTGGATTTCGACACATGAACATGAAGGACAGGAAAACGATGCTGAGAATGTGCAGCGATGGAGAAATTTGAGAGCTGTAAATGGGAGCCAGAAGGAATGGGAGCCAGAAGGAGAACAAAGGAGGAGATCGATTGTCGGATCTGGCGTCATTTGATTTTTTTTTTTTTTTTTTTTTTTTCTTTTCATGGTGACCCAGGCACAAACGCCTGGTGGCCGAATGGTGATGCGGGGTAACTTAGACCTCCTTTAGCTTAACTATTGTTCCGGGCTGGGAACCTGCATTGCATGTACTAAATCCCTTCTCTCTTTTAATTTTCCTATGTTCCTGTTGGATCTTGGTGGTGTTGTTCAACACTAAGTATTCCTCCTTGTATCCTGCCTGTATTTAACATTTAACATCAGAAGAAGAAAAAGAAGAAGAATAGTAATAGCAGCACACACACATAATTGGCACACGGTGTGCGGAGTTATGGTTTAAGCAACCACCAGAATTCTGGTAATGTGCAGGAGAAGAGAGTAAATCCACTTTAGCCAAAACCCCTCCTGGAAGGTAACAACAACTTAGAATACTTCTTTACAACAGGGAATAGATATACAATGCTCACGATCTATATCAGAGGGCTTCTGAATATCAACGCTATCAAAGCAAAAACACCGCCCTGAAAAAAAGTAGGCCGTAATCCCGCCGCTGCATTCCCCGTCGGCATATTCGAGAAGGCGAGAGTTGTTTTCGATCCACTGTGAACCCCATTATGCCATGTATGATTCACATTCCCTTTCCTCATTCCTGGGTGCACGGTGAATGGTATTGTCGCAAAGTAATTCTCCGTATCATTCCCTAGCACCGTCACAAACCGCGTATACGCCGTCTCGCAATCCCGCCCTTGTGATGGAGAGCACGGTATCTTCTCCTCGCTGACGCTGTACAGCTCCCACCAACAAATGGTCCCTGTAGTCTCGTTCCCAACCATATACCACACAGGAGTGATCCATGGGTGCTTGCCTGCTGGATACTCGTTCTCCCAGGGGCCATTATCATGAGAATCCATGGATTGCCAGGTGCCATCAGCGGCCAGATGGCCCTCGGACGAATTGAAGGTGTCTGTTGAAGGATATATTGGCTCCGTTCGTCCCTTTTTGGCGCATCGGGAGAGCCCGAAGCTGGGTTTGGGCGTTCGGAAGCCGCCCACTACGATATCATACTCGTAATAGTCGGTGATGATCGGGGCTGCACCTGATGTGTAATCCGAAAGGGTCTTGCCTGCTGGAAGGTTTGGGGGATACGACCACTGGGCAGAAGTGGACGGCAGAAGAGATATCAGAAAAAGCAGAAGCGTCGGATATGGATGTATTGTCCGGAGAACAGACGCCAGGGGAAGCAGTCTCATTTTGACGGGGAAAAATCACTTTGTTATCGAACGATTGGATCCGCGAAGCGCATCCCAATCGATCCACTGGTAATAAATGCACTGTGAAACTTCTTTGGCACCTAAGATTAAAGGATCTCTCCAACAAGCCCAGCGCCCAGCTCGAATCTAGCACGTCCCTTGGGAGATCTAGATCACGCTAATCTTCATGGGTGCCATCCTGTCGATTCAGGAGGCGAAAAAAAAATAAAATAAAATAAAATAACGTTGAAGCGGAGAAGACATGATCTGGGGGAACAATAGCCAGGAATCACTATTTTTTGGTAATTAGTGGTAATGTTTATTAAGTCTACGACAATTTGCGTTTACATTGCTATACTATCTGTTTCACCCACTTTACTGCCTAGCTCTCCTTCGCAAATCAGAAATATCGTCTTCTCTAGAGAACAAATCCCACTAGCTTAAGAGCATAAACAAAAGAAAATATCATCAAAGACGGTAAGAGTGACCAACAAGACCGTTTAAACAATATGCAAATGGAGGAGATAAAGTCAAAGAGTATGGCAATCTAAGTCAAGGAAGTCTCAGCTAATATAAACGAGGCCTAGAGCCCTTTCCATCGGGAGACAAGTTAAACAAAATCTCATCGCTTGAACACTAACCAAACCAAAACAAAAAAATGGGGGATACCAATCAACTATGAGTTCCTGCTCTCTCCTTTGCCTTTCCAATCCACGCTATTTATTCTATCGCCCTCTGGAGCCATGGTGGCCGCTGTCGTGCTAGTGTCGCCTGTAGTGCCCTGTAAAGTCTTTAAATTCTCCTCTCCCCTGCTTCTACTTTTCGAATATTTCGCCGTTTGAATAATGAACCCTTTCTCCTCCAGCGGTCGCTGCTTTATGCTTTCCCCATGATGAAACTCGCATCGAAAGCGCAGATAGCGTTCACGGTCTCTAAATACCGTGATTATATCGCCGGTGTAAAGTTTCCCGAAGAGGCGTGCATCCTTCGCCGGTGTTTCCTTACGTAGCTCCACGTCATTAACCCAGATGCAATTGCTCGCCTTCGTGGAGAGTATGGCCATCACACCGGGAATCTTTGTCCAGTCTTCTCCCGCTGCGATGCGAGATTCGATCGACGGTGCCCAGAATGTGAGTTCGAGTGCATATGCCGGTATTCGGCTGTCCATGGGATCGGAGTAACGCACATTTACCCTTGGCCCTCGGCCCCATGATGTCATGCGTGATTCGAGGTGGAGGGCAATATCGGCGATAGAACCAGGTAGTGATACGAGCGTTCCAAAGGGTGGAGTGAGATTCATTACATTTACGGGAACCTTGGCCTTTGGAGTGGGTTGCGTGTTCGCCTCGCCAGCCTCGTGAGGACCAATCGAGCCATCAGATTCTGTGACTTCTTCTCCAGTACGCTCGTCGATTGTGGTCGCGAGTTCGAGTAGATGTTTCGGGTCGAACGATTTCGAAGTTTGTTGACCCGAAAGACGACATTGATTCGCGGGAATTCTGGGTGTAGCTTTCGGGGTAGGGAAGGATACCTTGTCGCCCGATCTTTGGTGCGTTTGATTAGTAGAGTCGAGGCCGTTAGGCTTTTGGCGCGAGCTTTTTCTCTTAGTGTCGCTGTAGCCACCGGATCTTGGTTTCTGGATTTGGGACGCGGGTGCATTATCCCCTGGAGGCTCCGGGGTAGTTGGATCGTTGCTATTAGGGGCTGTGGAGACTGATGACCTGGCATCAGGAGATTCCATATTCAATTGGCCGACGAGTGATTCCGCACCCATTAGACTTGGTGCAGATGCGCCCCGCTCCAGTTCGATAGGCAGCTGTTGATGGTGCATCTGTGCTGGGTTGTCCAGGCTGCTGGAGCTATCATAAGATTCTATATCTGAAGAAGGGTCGTCGTAGCCATCATCATTTTGGAAACGAGGTTGAAAGTCAAACATCGTTTCTGGTCGGTTTATTTCTCTTTCGAGTAAGGCAGAACCTCGCAGAGCAGACCCGGTGATTTCTCCAAAAAGCCGTGCCTCTGGCGGCTGAGCTCCTTGGACATTGAAACTCGAGTCTAGATCGTAGCTACCAAGGTCCGGTAACGAAGGATATGTGATTATAGCGGGAACTTGGGCCATCACGACCTGGTGGCTAGTATCCTCAGGGTAATGGGACAGTCGCTGTCTTTTGACGTCATTGTGGCCGTTGGATGATTTGCCTTCATCTGCATCATCCTGATTTTCGATTTCTTCATCTAAATCTCTATTAATATTATCATTAAGATGAAGGCCAGAGGCGTCGAGCCGTTCTGCTTCTTCATCTTCGTTGACCTCACCCACGACAGCCAAAGTCGTGTCAACGCCCTGAACTTCTGGGAAGTCGAATTTTGTGTAATCAAATTCGTCTTCAACGTTAGCGATCCACGGATGTTGAAAGCATTCGGGCTCCTTGGGTCTAGCTCTTGGATCGCGGTTAAGAAGCTTGGAAACAAAACTAATGCCATTTTCCGACACTCCGTGTTTTCGAAGCAAGTCATAATCAGCATCAGTTGTCATGATACTTCGCAGCATCGTTGCACCCCTATCATCCCCTCTGCCGATGTATGGAGCAGTTCCACAGAGAATATGAAATAGAACCGCGCCAAAAGACCACATATCGACTGATTGATCATACGGGGAAGTTTTAGGGATCCTGAAGCCGATTAGTCAGTACACACAAGTGCTCGATTTTGTGCAAGGTAAAGAAGAGTACTCACGGATCAGCAGCACGTCGTCTTTTTCTTGCTTCGCCTCGTCTATAGTTGTCATATTCCGGATAAACTTCAGGGGCGCAATACAAGAGTGTTCCACAGAACGTTTTCATGAATGATTCTTCTTGGGCGACCTTGGAGAGTCCAAAATCCGAAAGCTTAATATGTAAGGGTTCAAACGACTGGATCAATATATTATCGGGCTTGATGTCCCGATGTGTTATCTTCCGTCTGTGGAGGTATTGAAGGGCATGTAGAAGTTGCCGAGAGATTGTTTTTACCTGCTCCTCCGCAAGATGATGACATTGATTAAGATAAGCGGACAATTCGCCACCGGGAACATATTCCATTATGATGTAAATCCAGCGGTTATCGTGATCATGGTAATCTCTGAATTCAACAATATTCGGCTTATAGGAGTTAGTCATCGTGGTAAGGCGATATTTGTAGGGGAGGGTCCTTACATGTCGTAATCCACTCATGATGATCATCTCATTGTTGACTTTGTGATCTGAGATATTGTTTTTCATAAGTCGCCGTTTGTCGAGCTCCTTGCAAGCGTAGACCATGCCGTCGTTTTTTGTTGCGAGTTTGTACACTGTAGCAAACGCGCCTTTCCCAACCTGTCCGGTAACGTTGTATTTGGAGCCACCATTCCAGTGCATTCCATGGCTATTTCCACCTTGCTGGGAGACGATAAGATAACCATCACGAGGTTCGACTTTCATCGGCTTCCCTCCACCATCCCCCACCTTCTTGCACGCATTTTGCATTCGATTCATGTAGTGAATCACATTCTGAGTGTACTGACGCTCATAACCATCCCTGGGGGGAATACGGACTATAAACCTGATGCCAGCTATTGAATCATTCGCCACCTGAATGATAGAGCCGGGAACAAGCATTTGGGTGGAGGAGGTACCATTTTTATTATCCCTCCGAACAACAATATCATCTACAAGGGTTCCATTGGTTGAAGTGTCTTGGAGCATCAAGATGTTGTCGCGTGTTAGATAGATCCGAAAGTGCACATTTGAGATCATTTTTTCGCTGTCATCCCGAGCGAGGACTATATCACAACGATTCGGATTGCGGCCGAAACAAAAACCCATATTCACATCTTTTACAGGAGATGAAAGCCTCAAGGCGATGTCTCCGGAAGAGGTGTTGGGAAGCCCGGCTTCGCATTCAAGATTGGTCCTCTGTAATATATGCTGCTGGCCAAAGCGCGCAGTGGCAGTTACAGCATTGTGGGCCGCCATGGAGTTAGGATGTAAAACACAAATAATGTCGGGAACATCGTGTTCATCAAGGCCGGAGTTGTTGAGGCCCATCCGCCGCGGATCGGCATATGGCTGGGTTGAGTGCTGCGTTGCCTCATCCATTGCTTTGTCGCTTCAAGTTGTGGAAAATTCTAGTTGCAAGACGAAAAATAATGGGCAGAGGTTCCCTCACTTAAATACACGAAAAGGGTCTAGTATATATGATTCTCAAAACGGAAGGTATGCTGTACCATGTGCATTTGATCTCGTGCGTTAACTTCGGAAAAGTATCAGAAAATATGGGATACCTCTGCTGAAGAAGAACTGTGTGTCGTGAGGGGTTGACTCCACTTTGTCCACTGAGGATGCTTTGTTTTAACGTCGGATGAATATCAATACAAAGACTTCTCACCCCAGTCGTAAGGCGCAGCGAGGTTGCATTACAAGCCGCCAGTCGAGTGCCGAAGGGAGTGGAAATTGAAGGCAAAATACCGTGAGAAATATGGAATCGCAAACGAGCAAGATTTTGCCTGGTTGCTGGGCAACGGATGTAAAATCGGATATGTAGAATTTGGGATTCAACTTCAATATCATCCCACCAAGAAGACTCCGCAAGTCACCAAGGATAGCCTATCTGGGATTTGGTACTTAAGCCGGAAAGTTGGCGGATCTTACCGTTGCTCTGCAAGCGGCAATGAACCTCCGAAGTTGATCAACGACAAGATATATTTGTGACAGGCAGCCACCAGGCAGCGAGAAGGGCGGTTAGAACGGTTTCCCTTCACGCTAAGCGTCGAGTCACACACTCAGTGTCAAAAAAAAAAAAAAAAAAAAAAAACAATGAGTATGAGCAGCCGCTCACCTGGCAACGTGTTGTCGATGTGGAGATTACAGCCAAGCGACGTTGCGTGAAGGAGAAAAAGTCACCCCCAAAGATATTCGTTTCTGCCTGGGCACCTCAGGCTCGCGACATGTCCAATAGGGATGTCCACAAGAAAATAACCAACAACCAGAATCACAGTAACCAGTAATCTCATGTGCCTTACAGAATGCAACTTAGATACGCTATATTGCTATCTGAAGGGGTGGGCAAATGGTGCACAACGAGGTACACTTAGTGGCCCGAACAGAACAGCGTCGATTAACCTAACCAATGAGACCCGATTTCCATCAGTTAACAACGTACATAGCTCAGGATGGAAAATAAACATGTTTCAGGAGCGCAATGGTTTAGGTTCGACTTACATATACCCATGGACCGGAGCTGTCGCCAGGACAGCAAAAAGCCTGGGGGAGCTCGCACAAAATATCGCAGTTACGCGGCCGACAAGGCGTGCCAGCATGAAGGCCGCCGAGGCAGCTAAATGGATTGCAGGATAACTGTACCCGTGGACAATGTCTCTTGGGGCGAGAGGTTGACATTCATTCAATGCTCCAGGTTACGGTCAACACAGCCGCGGCGAGGTCCTTCGGAACGCCGGCGTAAGGATAATCCTCGACAAAGCCCAGGCATCGCCATGGATGGTCCGTGCATGTGCCGGCCCCGGGTTCCACGGCCCGAGTCGTCCCTGAAGCTAAAACCAGGCTGTGTTGCCAAACTTGGGGCCGGAGAGGCGCTACCGTTGCGCCCGTGGCCCGCCTTGGGAAGTTGGGAAGTTGGGAAGTTGGGAAGTTGGGAATTGCACAGCACTTTTCGAACCCTTCATTTCAGTTCGTTGGTGTCCGTTCTTGTGTAACGTTGCCAACGTCTCAATAATCCGGAAGGTTGGCACGTCATGGGCGTTGTTTCAAACATCCTGATGCAAAAATTACACCAGCGCATATTCCGTGCAGAAGACACTCCTCGGGAACGACTTTGCAAAGCGGTTTCCACATATGGCGGACATCGCCCAAATCATAATCCCGTTTCTCCACTGACCTAAATCAATTCCATCTCCGTCACAGTATATGTATATATTCTGTTATTATCAATTTCACTCCATTCCATTATCATACTATACAGGGTAAGGTGGCCATCTTCCTCATGTGCCAGAAGCACATATATTCAAATTTTCAATGATAGTCCGCAGGAAAGATACCCAACTCCTGGCTACTTTCATGTTATTACCTGAGCCCCTCACTCACCCAGAAGGCTTCTACGGAGAATTGGCTTTGTTTATATTCAATGATGTGTTTGAATAAGCAACTATATTTCATATCACTTGCTAGTGATCCATTTTCGATTATCTATGGACCATTAGAACTGCGATTGTGGAATTATTGCTATCACCTGCATCGTGGACCAAATCCGGGTGATTGCGCAAAAGCTGAAATTCCAGCCAGACACTGATATATGGGCAAGAGTGTGGAATACTAACCTAGATTTTCAATCATTGCTAGTTGCTGTCCCAGCATAAAATGAATGATCTAATTTGGCTTCAGAGTCAGTTCAATACACTAATATTGAGAATGTATGTTTCCTGGACATGTATATCTCATCTCACACATTGACAGGAAATGTCTTGGCAAGCTTCTCAATTCATTCAACTATTTTATTGACTGCCAAGGTCAATGTTCAGACATGTTTTCATTGACACAAATTTTTTATAGCTTCAATTTGACTATTTGTATAGTTGCTGTGTCCTCTTAGAGCTTGAAAGGTTGAAGCAATTCCAATCTAGCCACAGTCATTTCAGTGCCGCAGATTTTGTCTTATTCTGCTAAATGCGCTTACGAGTATTCATCATCTTCAACATAGCTCTCATCCATTCAATCATTCAAATTAGCATCTGTCAAAAAGATAGATTTAGATAAGCTAGTCAAACTTCTGTTACAGAGATGTACAGAAATTTATAAAAAAAAAAAAAATGCAACTTTGTCTGGTCAACTTCTTGATGAATTTTGGTAGCCGCTTACACATGATTGAAGGCAATGAATCAGACGAAGTCAACACACGCATGAGATTCCATTTGCTATGTAAGTCAGCATATGGACGTGTTTATTTAATGTTTCCTTTTTTGTTCTCAATTGAATATAAAGCTTCTTCGTTTCTTCTTTACATCTCCGAGTGTGCAAGACGCGTGTTAGTCAGCAACCCGCGCGTTCTGAAATCAATTCCAACATTCCCTGCAAAAACGAGGATGGACAAGTGGCCATACATTCTGTTTATCATCAAAGGATAGCAAAAAATACCTGCATTATTTTTCTTGCTCTACTTCATGGCTGACAATCCCATCATCTCGTCAGCGGCCTCTCTCCTAGTTCCTTGGGAGACTTGCAAAACAGTAACTTGCCATTGCCGCAACTGCGACACTCTGTTAGCTATCGCCCCGAACTCATGGGCTAGCTGCGACCCTTACCTATTCACGCCTGGTTCAATTTGCGTGTTTGATGATAACATTTTCTCGAAGCCCAATTGTGAACCGCACCCATCCGAGGAAGCACAGCTTCAGCTGATTATTTGCAATCATTGTCTGCAAACAGTTGGACACGGCCTGCAGAAGGACCTGTTCAAAAATGGATTTCCGTGAGTCGACATCATCACAGAGCTTTATCCATCAGTATGCGTATTAATAGTTTCAAGTCTGTTCAACGTCTTTTGGACCTCGCATGCAATTTGCCTACGGGATATCACTACTCGGGGTCTAGTCCCTCCCCGCGTGGATGCCGTAATGCGAGAGTCGCCTCTGAAACCCCCTGACCTCAATAGATATCAGTCAAGCCGTCATCAAAAACAAACAGATGGCCCATCCGACAGGAAAGACAATCAGGGACATAACTTTGATATGTCCTCTACCAAAGCTACGTCGAATGGAATGCATGTCACTATAAATGAATTAAGGCATCAAATCAGCACTCTACAGGACGAGGTTCAGTATTTGAAAACTGTAACCCCATCCACAAACCAAGTACCACAAGAACTCCATGACGGTTATGAACTAATCGCCACCGCTTTGAGGGAGGTCAGAGCGAAAGGGATTGAAATAGAACTTCTTAAACAAGAAAACCATTCTCTAGAGCTCAAATGCAAGCAGTTAAAAAGCATTGCAATAAACCGGGTTGAGCGATCGTCTACCATTAATGATCGCTCAGTTGCCGTGGATCCGAGCAGGACTGGCCAACCCCAAACCATGAACCCAAGCGGTTCCCCTTTGGGCTTGAACTGCAATGGGAAACGGCCGTTCCCGGAAGAATTTCCTTTAGCAAAGAACGATAGGAATTCACAACCACTTGATGCCGAGAGCAACCAGCAAAATTCAGCGGCACGCAATTCGTCAGAGAATGCAGTCTCTCTGCCTCCTTATGGCTCACAATCGACCCCCGTCGTTTCCAAAGGATCCCATCGCGAAGCCTCAAATTCTGACACCGACGAACTTGCTGAACCATGGCAAGGTCCAAAATATCGAAAATTATCGAGCAACGTGAATTGTGGGGAGAATATGATCCATTGCAGTGCAAAGCCTTTCCACTCAAGCCCAAACCAACGTCGAGTACATGAGCTAAACCAAACTTCCCAAAATGACCCTGCTAAACCAAGAAAGAAAAATGCTCTCGCGAAGGCATCCCGTGGACGGCCGAAAACTAAGCCCCTACCCGCAAAAGCATCTATGACCACTAAAATTCCCTTAAAAGAGTCGGCTCCTAACACCGTGAACCCAACAAACTCGCCGGGCATGGCCAATCCCATCAGTCCCCAGAATGGAAGTGAGCACCAACCCGGGGACAAACTACAAGCCATGCGCAGACCAAGAAGAGCCAGTGCGCGACTCTCAAGGCGATCCTCTCTTGTCTCTCCAGACCATGAAAATACTGAACACACCGCTAGCACCAAGCCGAATCAGTCGCATTCGGTGGAGGACTCGACACCACAGAAACAACACGACGAAAATCCGCCCCTTCCAGCCCCAGACACTGGTAACTCAGAGCAAACTATTCCAAACTCTCAAAGCGATAGTGATAACGCAACACTTGACCAGGAGGATTCTCGCGCTACTGTTAATGAACAGGAAGAATCTGCACAGACCGCTGCAAAATCCAAAAGCCCTCGCAACTCTGCCAATGACAAACGTAAATCGCAAATCGCAGCTCGTGACGCTCTTGCAAAACTGACTATGCAACGAGAAGAAGCGCTGGAAATGGCCGCGCATTGAAGAAAGGAAGAACGGAAAATCAAGTATGTTTGCATTTACGGCGCTAAGTTTTGGTTACATGTTATTGAGCTATACGTTTGGCAACATGGGAATATGAGGTTTTTGCCAAAATGTTCCCCTAAATTCACGGTTCTTAACCCCTTTACCCATCATTTGAATAATTTCCTAGGATAGTAGAATCTTCTACACTCCGGGGAATACTGTCCTTGCCTAGATATTATTCCCATCTTTAAGAGTGAGCGGAGGGAACTACCCGCCCGCATTAGCTTTGATATTAGTTATGTGATCCCCTTCATCCCCGAATCCACGTGTTTAAAATATATGTTCGCTCATCAAAAGTTCATGTCGGCTTTAATTACGGAGTATATGCAACTAGTATTCAGCATGGTAAGCCGCATATATATACTGTACATGGAAGGGCTTTTTGTAGATGTTTATCAAGAAGGATAATAATAAAAGAATGTTTCATTCAGATCAAGCCAGGGAGCAAAATCACTCAGCTACTTTACAGTCATGAATCCACACCCCTCCCTCGCCACCTGGCAAGCCCTCTTCAGCGCTTGCTCTTCGGATCTGTCCATTTCACACTGAGTTCATGCCACGGCTTCCGGCTTCGAAACTCCTGCATGTAGGTCTTATGGAGCTCCTGAAGACGGGAAACCTCCCGCGGGTCGCCAGTACCAGAGTACACCATGAACAAGGTGCATGGCGGTAATGAGTCAAAAATTCGCTGGATACATGAGACTGTTTTCGCTACGGTGGAGGCGAGGCAATCGGATTTCGAATCGTCAGCTCCAGCCAGAGCTTCTCTATTCGATGGGTCGAATGGATCTGGGGCTGGAATTGCCGCAAACTCGTTTGCCTTTGTCTGACCAGGGATGCGGTTGCACCAGCCGCGGAAGACTTCGAGTTCACGTAGGCGCGCCCAGGTAAAGTCTACACCACCGCCAGGTACTAAACGGCCGTCTTCATCACCATTTACGGCGCGTTTCACGGCCTGAACCACTTCATCATCGTTTTTGCAGCCCAAGGCAACTGTTGCTTGAGAGCCGAATCCCCGTTCTGGGTTGCCCCAGTCAGCAACAGCCCCTGTTCGACCCTCTTTTGTCGCACCACTAGCGGTTTTCCCTGGGACAGTGGCGCGGGCAAGTCGGCGGAATATAGTTTCATTAGAAGCATCACATGTTCCCCATAGTTCGCCTTTTTCGCACTTTTGCTTGACAAGTTCGAGTACAGCTCGCGCGTCTTCGATGGAGTCATGTCCGTCTTGACCCTTTTGGATTTCTTTCCCGAGATATTTCTGTGATAACCATTTTAAGCTTGATTTCAAGGGGGGTCCGCGAGGGTGGGGATAGATGATTGAGGTGTCAACGATAAACGGATGAGTCAATTTGAGGGCTGATAGATCGGAATTGAGAGAGTGGCCAATTAAAATAGTACGAGGGGTTAATAAAGTTAGCAACTTCTGCTGGACGTCTGGCAAACGGGTAGTTACAGGTTCCAACATTTCTTTCGTTATCCCGGAAAAGCGTGTCAGGTAATCGATGATAGGTTTATCCGGTTTGACCAAGTCATCCAGCACCACTTCCCCATCCCAGGAGACGAGACTAACGCGCGTGAGTTGCGAAGACCCTCCTTCAGTGATGCACATTTCACAGTCTAGGGAAAGGATTTCTCGCCCCGCTGTTATGCTACCTAATTGAATATCATTCTCGAGTGCTGTTCCATCTGAGTACTTGTCAACTTTGGTGTCCACCCAGCCATCATTGGGGCCCTGCCTCAACGATACTCGTAGATTCGCATTAGCAGAAGCATCTTCTGGTTTATCAAATAATGCGGGATGTAACACGTATTCATTATCTCTCAAATCATTTATGGAACTAATGAAAGTAGTAATCGGCGTCCGTTTCGATGGCCAGTTGTCTATGCCACGGGGAGGCTTCGGGCCCTTAAGTTCATTTGTCTCTTTTGATTTCGGCAGAGGAGACAATAAAATAGCTTGCAGTGGGGAGTGCACTTTATTATATTTTGAGTCTCCCGGTGTTTTGACAGGCCAAATATGTGGGAAAATATCAGCTAACGGTTTAAGAGCGTCGGGTAGCTGGTCCACCGAAAGTGGTCTTGGGTTGAATTTAGCTTCGCTCGACACCTGGGGAAGACCTGTTTTCCACCGATCAAATTCACTTGTGCTTTCCTCGCTGACCCGGACTTCGTTCCACGTATCCTCAGTATTCTGCGCCACAGAATTGTTGCAATCATTCGTATCCGATGTAGAAGCATGAGGATTGTCAGCCATTAACGGAACAGTACCATCAAACATGCCAATCTCCAGACCAGGGACCATTAGTACTACCACTTTCCTGACATGGCCAGAGTGCTTCATTGAGATCCATTGCGGTGCAATGCCATCACCGAAGCAATAAAGTAGCAGCCCCTGTAAATCTGCTATTCTGATGGAGGATTGCAATCGACCTTCCACATAGGTCAGTGTTGGGTACTTGGTTTTATCGTTTCCTGCCCTCTTTCGCTTCTTCATTGGTGCCACTTCAGGTTTCTGGGATGGATTGCTATGGTCGTTGCGGAGCATCGAGAGAGTCTCAGCTACGCCAAACCCATTATTATTTTGGGGAGGAAGTGATGCACTGTTGGGGCTGGCATTCGCGATCTTCACAGATGATTGCGAGCGTTTACGCTTTCTACCAGAAGTCATATATGCCGCTGGCTAGAGTGGAGGCCAAATAATAAGCTCCGAGGAGCAATTGTATAAATTGCGCAGACTGACACGGAGCGGACAAATAGCTTTTTCGTGAGGATTCTGAGTATCAATACAGTATGCGAAACGGGAGTAGCCACAAAATGGTCACTGGAATATGCTCGACCCCGAAAGATACATGCGCACATACAGCTGGGACGTACTCCAAGTTGTGGGGGTTTCTCAACACGCCAAATAATTTTCTGGAAGCTTCGTGTTGATGTGTGATCCAAACAAGCCGGGAAAATTTCCAAGGATGTTGTGTTAGGGGGTACTACGGCTACCCTATCACGTGCCCCCCAACATATTGTATTGCTCTCGCGTAGTTAGTTTAGTAAAAATGAATGAACGTTATCCTCCTACATGTTGTTACGTCACATGACATGGTTGGTGATGCTGACCTCGGGAATTACTGTACATCAAGGTTGAAATTCAAGATTAAGATTTCTTTATCCATTCACCGGCAATTGAAGAGATAAAATAAATCAAATTGAAATATTGCCATTTAAAGGTGATGTGGTGTAGTAACTCCTTATTAAATCCGTAGAATAAATAAACCTTTCTAGTTATACCATCATCAGCCCTCCCAAATTCCAGTGGTCGATTCATTTCAGGACATATCCTCAAAAATTCGCTAAGTGTTTCTGAGTCCTTTATTTTTTCGTTCATTACCTTTTGCCATCCAGAAACAACTCTTGTTTAGCCTGAAGCAAAGAAAAGAAAGAAAAGAGAGAAAGAGCAATCCAGCTCGAAACATTGAAGAGAGTGGTTCGAGATCAGCTACAAGTTGCGAGCAGTCATCGAACAGGAGTTTCCAGTTAGCGACCTCTGGCAATATGATAATTAGATGGCGACGACTAGCTGAACGAACCCATTTGGACTTCTATCTACATGCACACTAGGTGGTTGTTGATTCGACTGATTATCACTCACAACTTCAAGCTCTTTAACGTCTCTCATTGTCGGAAACGGGAGATGTGAGTCCTAATACGTGGGGTCAAACACGTTTATTCTCCAGAGCAATGGGTTAGCTGGAACATTACAAAACGGGAACTGGAGAGAGTTCCAGCGGGTGATGGTTCCGGGCTATATGAACGCCCGGGGTTGGCAAAGGAAACAATTATGACATTAACGGTGGAGATGATTCAATCATCCGCGATCCGGGTTGCCTGTTGGTCTGGCTGGAGAAAGGCTCTCTCATACTAATCAACAGGGTTGTACGACTTGTATGACCCCAAATCAGGGAAAGTATTGGAAGAGAAACCACAGATATTGACTAAACCCCAACGTCGAAGTTCACGCCTGTTTCCATTCAGCTCGACTCTCGACTCATTGGGTGGTGGTTTCGTGGGTTGTGACTGCGAAGGACTTCCAGCAATTTTCAGTCTCAATGTTGGAACAAGAACTTTCTTTTCGGGTGGAGCGGATACAGAAGTTGCAAAACATGTATTTTTGGTAGGGATTTTTATCGTTACACCGAAAGGATCAACCCTGAAGGTGGGAACCCATCTTAAGATACTATAAGTACACAGAACTAAACCATGAGGCGAAAACTACGAAACGCTTGGCGTTGTGACCGCCAAGAAATCCAAGCTCTTGGCCATACAAATCTGATAACAAGCCGACCATCTGATAAAATAAAATCTCATCCGTCAGGTTGGAACAGCAAATTCATATCGTAATGAAGACATTGCCCCTGCCAACATCACCAATCCGCGACATTCCAGTTTTATTTTCAACTGTATTCCGTATATCTTCTTGTTCCTCATTTATCAAAGTGCTTACCTCCTGTCTTTCTGGGTGCCCCAAAAGGACGTACCAAATCATACACCAGTCATCCCCCGCCTTCCGACGAGATAGCCAGCTTGGAGCTCAATTATGTCAACCCTGACCGAAATTGCTTCGGAAGAAGCCTTCAATAATCATGTCTCCTCCATCCCTCCATCCGCCCTCTTAGTTCTCTATTTCCACACTCCCTGGGCTGCGCCGTGCACCCAAATGCGCACTGTGCTCTCCACCCTCGCGTCCACCTATCCCGCCACTACTCCTCCCGGCATCTCCTTTGTCAGCGTAAACGCTGAAGAGCTCCCAGAGATCTCTGAAGAATATGGCGTTACGGCGGTCCCTTTTGTTGTCCTTGTCCGCGACGGCAAAACCCTCCAAGCTCTTTCCGGCTCCGACGCAGTCAAAGCCCGCGTCGCCATCGAACAGCATGCCGGCGTGGATGCAACAGGCAACACTACCGGTGCGGGAAAGCAATCCATCCCTCCTCCTCTTCATGCAGAACCAAGAAAAGATATCTCCACTTCCACTCCCAGCACCTCTGATACCCCTCTCGCTACCACAAACGGTGCAGTCTCAGCCGCCGCCGACCCATCGCTGCCACCCACGAAAGACGAGCTTTTCGCCCGTCTCGATGAGCTTGTAAAGGCCGCGCCAGTCATGTTATTTATGAAGGGAACACCAAGTGCCCCACAGTGCGGATTCAGCAGGCAGCTCGTCGGCATTCTTCGCGAAAATGGTGTGAAATATGGCTTCTTCAATATTTTGGCGGACGAGGACGTGAGGCAGGGTTTGAAGGAATATGCCGATTGGCCTACGTTCCCCCAGCTGTGGGTGAAGGGAGAATTGGTGGGTGGACTTGATATTGTGAGTTCTCCCTTGGCCCTTTGGTGTGCATTTTGACCACACAATCTTCCAATAGGTGTATTTTGTATCAGTATCTAATCAGCCGCTATTCACGTCCGAACAGGTCAAGGAAGAAATCGCCACAAATCCAGACTTTTTCAAAGACTATTCGGTAGCACCCCGAACATAAGTATTATCCTCTTGTCTTTCCATGATTAAATAACGCAATTACCGTTAAGGTAGTAATATGATTTCTTCCCACTAACTCTTCTGTAATCAAACTCGTATTTTGTCACAACCCTAACAGCCACACACATGTCCTTTCTTTCCTTTCTCTCTCTATCCGATATCTTTTCTTTTCTTTTCTTTTCTTTTTTCTTGCTTTCTTTTCTCCCCCTTTTTTGATGACCGGGCGACTTTTTCCTTTGTCCCAAAATACTGTTTCCACCCAATCGGAATCGGGCATTTTAGCGCCCTACAACCAAATCGGGCACTTCAAAAATTAAAAAAAAAAAAAAAAAAAAAAATTGAATAATGAGGGCGATGCATGATAGATATAACGCATGAGGTCACAATGCCCAAGATCATATAATAATACAAAATCAATGGAAGCATGGAGAGATTGACAATCATATGCAAATACCACTGGAAGGGAGAGCAAAAAGATCGAGCAAAAGTACAGTGCGCAATCGCAGGTATAAGAATTTCAAATATCACAATTCCTGGCTCCTTACTTATTGAGTATTCTACTCCGCCAACGGGAATAGAAGGTTTGGGTCTGAAACTAAATCAAAAAATCAAAATCGCCCTGATCGGAGTCTGGATGACCCACCATGTCACAGGAATAACTAAATCTACCCAGATTTCGACAATCAACTTCTCTTTCAAAAAAACGATTTACGGAAGTAATGACGCGAGGCCCTGAATTCCTGCCCGCTGGTCGCCTTGATTTTGATCCTTAACTCCATTGGCATCCTCCGTCGCAGCCTGCACATTCCGTGAGTACATATCCTCCACAAGTTTGCGCGTGGGGTGGTTGATCCAACTGAAGTAGTCCCGTTCGCTTAACAGGCGGAACGTCGACCTCAACGCATCCTCATCCACATACGCACCACGCAGCCACCGTTCGCCGCCGCTGTCCCCATGACCTGTCCCAGAAAGGTCAAATGCGTTCCTCGCATGCACCACGCGGCGATTTTGGAATATTACGCATTGGCCTGGCTCCAGTTTAACTTGGAATATGTTTTCTTGCTTGCCAAGCTCAGCCGCAAAGGCTTTCATGGCTCTGACGTAGAGTTTTATATCTCGACCGTCAACTAGATGCTTTGTGAGATAGGAGGGTGCTTGGAATGGCGGGGAGTAGTTAACGTAGTTGACGTAAGGAACGGGGTTTTTCTTGGGTGGGTTTTTGAGGAATTCCTCTCCACCCTCGATCTCGATTGTAGGGTGGGAATATTGGTAATGCTGGTTATTGTTCTTGTACTCAAAACGGGTGGGAGTTTTGCAGAGAATGTCGAATAGAATGGGGTCGTTTCGTAGCAAACGTACCGCGGCCTGGAATGTGTCTGAAAAAAGCGATTCGCCGCCTGAAAAGGAGTTTCTTAGGCAGTGAAGCAACTGGTATCCAGGTGGATCTTTCATATATAACAGGTCCATGTGAAAGTCAAGATGTTTGTTGGTATAGGCAACGTTTTTGGCATCTGGAACACTGCGCACATCCCATGTTGAGCCGTAGAAAGAGTTTCGCAGAGGGCCCATGCGAGTTGCAATCTTCTCAACCATCTCAGGCGACTCCGGGATATCCTTGACAAAAATTAAACCCAGGTGTTTCAAAGTACGCATGGCAAGGAAGAATTGTAAATCATCCTCCATGTAATCTTTGAATGATACCCAATGCTGGCTCTGGTCCATGATAGATTTATTCCATGACGTACGACGACCCTCCTTGGCCCGGAAAAATTTCTCAACCGCGGTCAGAGTAGACAATTGCTCTGGGGAAAATGTTGAGACATGAGATTCGTCATAACCAGGAATGTCATTGCTCCATGTCACAACCAATTGACCATCTTGAACCTCAACAGTACGTGCGGCGATGTCACTGGGTATATCGGACATGCGAAACTCACGTTGTCTTGACGATAGGTCGACGCATTTGGGGCAGGTACATGCATCCCGCAAGCGAATGCTATCGATGTGAACGAGTTGTTGATTTGGGGTTGTAACTACTACTTTTCTAAAATCGCCTACCGTGGCAGACTCGATGGAGGAGATGACAAAGGACCGGATGGACGGAGCGTCGGGTGTTGTGAGCATCCGCACGAGCGGTTTTTCCGTGGTTGATGATTCCCTAACAGGCGGAGATGGAATCTTCCTCACAATCTGTCTCGATGCCCTGGGAGCCGCATAGGCTTCGGTCGAATCACTGTAACTGGCTCGTGGAATGGAAGCGTAAACTAGTCTGCCCGCGGACCGCCGAAGCTGGCGTGAAGCAGCCAGCTTCGCTCCAGCCTGGCGCAGAGGGGCGAGAGCAAGCGACATAGAGCCAATCTCCCTGGAGATCTACGTTGTCAACGGGCGGGGCAAGATGGAGTCTAATTGAACTGCTTGCGTGTTTGTCTGTCGTCTTTGTGGAAGATGCGTAGAGACACTTGAGTTCAAGGTCTCAAAGATTGGAGGTGGACAGGTACAAATCATGTGATCCGAAAAAAAATATCCCAGATAATTCTCTCGTTGCGGCGAATTCAATCAATGTCTCTATTATTATTATAATTGGCGATGTTGTTAGGGTTTCTCAAATTCCATTCCTCAGCAGGTTGAGTATTTTATGTACTGTTCAGAAGGGCAGATTGACTCATGCTCCCTTTGGAATACGGAGTTAACCCTTCAAATCCTTACTTTCATCACCACTGGCAAGTAGGGGGAGATCTTTCTTCTGCCCCTGTCACTACTTTGGCTGGTCTCCGTATGTATGTCGGCTGGGGGGGAACATCTCAATGAGGAAGTGAGTGGGGCTATTTATTAAATATCAAGTATTATTCTGCAATGGCTTTTCTATCTTAATTTGGGTACTAATACGTCTGGAGTTTTACAGGGCAACAGAATACAGGTAGTGGCTGCCGGTGCAACCGCTGGGCTGGTCTCGAGGTATACGCCCAACTAGACATACATATATTTCATCCATGGTTGAATCTCTAACTGGCCACAGATTCTGCGTCGCACCACTGGATGTCGTTAAAATTCGCCTGCAGCTCCAAATCCACTCGCTATCAGATCCCCTTTCCCACCGTGACATCAAAGGGCCGATATACAAAGGCACCATCTCAACCCTCAAATCCATATTCCGCGATGAGGGCATAACAGTGCGCTTATTCCCCATAGAGCTAACCAATTGACGAACTAACTAAACAAACAACTCCAGGGCCTCTGGAAGGGCAACATTCCTGCTGAGCTCCTCTACATCTGCTACGGCGGCATCCAATTCTCCAGCTACCGTGCCATATCCAGCGCGCTCCGCACCCTCCCTCACCCCCTCCCTCAACCCGTCGAATCCTTCATCTCCGGTGCAGTCGCCGGCGGCATCGCCACCACCTCCACATACCCCCTCGACCTCCTCCGCACTCGTTTCGCCGCCCAAGGCAATGACAGAATCTATGCCTCCCTCCGCGTATCGGTCCGCGATATCGCGCGCACGGAGGGCCCACACGGGTTCTTCCGCGGCGCCACCGCTGCCATTGCCCAGATAGTACCGTACATGGGCCTTTTCTTCGCAGGGTATGAAGCCCTGCGGAGTCCCATTGCCAGCTTGGAGTTGCCGTTTGGCACGGGCGACGCGGGTGCGGGTGTCGTGGCCAGCGTGATTGCGAAGACGGGGGTGTTTCCGCTGGATCTGGTGAGGAAGCGGCTACAGGTGCAGGGTCCAACGCGGCGGAGATATATTCATACCAACATCCCCGTTTACGAGGGCGTGTATAGGACTATCAGGGCTATTTTGGCTTCGCAGGGGCCTAAGGGTTTGTATAGGGGGTTGACGGTCAGTTTGATCAAGGCTGCACCAGCGAGTGCGGTAACGATGTGGACGTATGAGCATGTTTTGGGGTTGTTGAAGGACATGAATTGTGGTGATGATGAGGATGATGGTGGTGGAGGGATATAGTGGCGAGGCCATCCTCTCTTGGTTTGGAACTTTTTGCACGGGTACACGGGTACGAATTGCTTTTTGTATAATATAAGAGCGGCAACGGTGGAGTTTTCTGTTTCTCTATGGTTCATGGTAATAGAATCGGCCAAAATTGCTCTGGCTCCCTATGGTATTCAACACACAGGTTTATGGGTGCATATGAACTCTGACATTAATTGTATTTTCCATGACATCTCCATAGTCTACATATCAAGTATTCAATTCATCCTTGCAGTCCAGTCCCCAGTCCCTCATTTGGATTTTTTTTTTTTTTAATGCACTTTCCTACGGACTGCAGAATCCTTTCCATTTTGCGCTGTTGCACAAGAAGCGGTATTCCTCCACATCATCACTCTTGTTAAACAGCCACGACCCCGACAGATAATGTAGATGATTATCTTTATGCGACTTTCATTTTCCGCTTGCACTTTAGTTTCCTATGCTCTATTACTCTTATTTCCTTCGCTCCTGTACGATGCAAAACATCCCACACACAAAACAAGTTACAAAAAATCAACATCTCAAAAAGAATAGGATCGAATTAGAAGCAAGAGGATATAGTTCGAAAGGACGGCACTCGCACAAACGCTGGCGCTGGCACGAGTAGATATTAACCACACGAAAAGACTCAAAAACAGGGGTTGGTTGTTTGGGTTGGGGAAAAGGGGGGCGGTGGGTGTATCATAAACTATTATGTTCTGTTCTCTCCCTTTTTGTCTTGTAATTCAAGTAAAATCAAAGAAAAGAATCATTTAAGTAATGGTTACTCGTGTCATATTTAGTATTCAACACCCTCATCGCCCTCGGTGTCCAGACTATCACTAGCAACCTCCTCATAATCCTTCTCCAACGCGGCAAGATCCTCACGTGCCTCAGAGAATTCGCCTTCCTCCATTCCCTCACCAACGTACCAGTGAACGAATGCACGTTTCGAGTACATAAGATCGAACTTGTGGTCGAGACGGCTCCAGGCCTCAGCGATGGCTGTGGTATTTGACAACATGCTGACGGAGCGGTCGACGGGGGCGAGCTCACCGCCTGGTACACGCATGGGTTTCTGGTAGTTGATACCAATTTTGAAGCCAGTCGGGCACCATTCGACAAGGTTGAAGGAAGTCTTGGCTTTGAGTGAAGCGACAGCAGCATTACAGTCGCGAGGGACGACGTCACCGCGGTAGAGGAGGGCCACTGCCATGTATTTTCCATTGCGGGGGTCGCAGACAACCATCTGGTTGTTTGGTTCGAAGCCTGTATGCATGTTAGGATTTAATTCATTTGACTGGTCAGGGGGTGTGTATAAAGAAGGTGATTAAATTTACATTGGAATGTAAGGTCATTGACCTTGAAGCTTTCGTGGGAGCTTCTGTTGCTGGATACAACGGGTGCGTAGCTGATGAGGGGGTAGTGGATACGAGGGTAAGGGACCAGGTTGGTCTGGAACTCGTTGAGATCGACATTCAGAGCACCGTCGAAGCGCAAGCTAGATGTGATGGAGCTGACAACCTGAGCGATAAGGCGGTTGAGATGTTCATAACCGGGTCGGGGGATATCCAGGTTACGGTGGCAGATGTCGTAGACAGCTTCGTTGTCAACGAGGAAGGTGCAGTCAGAGTTTTCGATGGTGCTATGGGTGGAGAGAACGGCGTTATACGGCTCGACAACAGCGGTGGAGACACGAGGAGCCGGGTAGACTGCGAATTCAAGCTTGGACTTTTTGCCATAATCCGTGGACAGACGCTCCAGGAGGAGAGCACCGAAACCGGAACCGGTGCCGCCGCCAAAGGAGTGGAAGATCAAAAATCCCTGGAGGGACGAGCAGTTGTCTATTGCAAGAGCTTCTTAGCTTCTGGTTTATTCAAACAAGAATCTATATGTATAACATCTATGCATATCTAGAATCGACAGAAGTTGACATACCAGCAACGCGGCGAATGCGGTCAATGACACTGTCGACGAGTTCTTTTCCGATGGTGTAGTGACCACGAGCGTCTAGTAACGGGGGAGTCAGCAGTCTAAGTTCCCTATCCTGGGAAATAATTCCATATCCATACAGTTGTTTGCCGCATCTTCCTTTCCGCTGATCAACATCTCAGGGTGGAAGAGCTGTCGATACGGGCCAGTTCGGATCTCATCGATTGGCTATATAGTCCGTAAGTAGCCAATCCTGCCATTATTTCTCTCTCAATTGAAACACTGGATAGACATACGGAAGGGTCCAAATCGACGAAGATGGAGCGGGGAACATATTTGCCGCTGCCTGTCTCGGTGAAGAAGGTCTCGAAGGAGCCTGCTTCACCAACATCTGTGGCTTCAGGGTCCAGACGCCCATCAGCCTTCAAGCCGTGCTCGAGAAGATAGCTGGAATTTAATAAACACGCCGTATTGAGGGTCAGTTATGGGGGTTAAAGCGAGATGGGATCGTCGGGACTATGAGCAAGCGGAAAGGCGGTGAGGAAATATGTGCTGGATGGTAACGTACAGTTCCCAAGCGCTGTTTCCAAGCTGGGTACCAGCCTGGCCGATATGGAGATGGCAAACCTACAGGAGGAATGAATTGTCAGCAATATAAAATAATTAATTAATTAATTAATTAATTAAAATGATGTATGGTGGGCGGAAGGGATTGATAAAATGCATGCATGTGTGGTTTTTAAGGCGAGGGAGTTTGATGTGTGCCAGCAAACGCGGGTTGAAATCGGGCGTGCAGGAGGTAAACACAGGGGCTCTGATTCAACAACGTACCTCGCCTCTCATGATGACAGATGTGATGCAAGACTTGGGGGAGTGAAGAAAGAGGAGCAATGGAATCTGCGAGGTGAAGGAGAGCAGGCAATCACTAGAGACGGCTTTGGAATGGAGATGGACGAGAGAGAGAATCGAGGAGAGGAGGAGATGTTGATGAACGCCAGACGAACAGCGTCCAACACGGTTAGCGCGACCTGTCGCCAAGAAAGGGGGAGGGGAGATCATGTGATGAGAGGATGCCGCACGGAACATCCATGGATCTCTGGATCTCTGGATCTTTTTCGCCAACAACCTCTTTAACTATTAGTATAACTAAACTAGAATAGTTATTAATATAGCTGAGGCAAGGTTGATATCACAAGCACCTTGAAATGGCGCTCACTTAAACTTAAAAATGAATTCTCACATTTTGCTCTCCGTGTTTTTAATTTTCGATTGACCACGCAGCAGCGGCTGTGCCTAACTTATCAGAAGTAGCTATATGAAGACGCCGACAACGAGGACAGGTCACAGAAGTTGCCCTTCGGCCCCCAATTGCGGCAACGTCCATCCCCTTCGCAGGTGACACGCGAGAAGCGCGAAATCCAGTCCAAAGCACCTGATGCCAATGCCTCACTTACATACCTCGTCTAAGCCTTGCGCATTAGACACATATTGAACCTAGGTTGTCGCACATTCCATAGAAAGATGGGATGGAAGCAAGTGGAGGAATTAAATTAGTTTTCGATCCATTGATCCTTCAATTAGAGCACTTGAAGGTCAGAGGATCTCTGTGTCAGTAAGAGATTAAGCTCCTTCGACAGAACATTTAACTGATAATATCAGACTCAAACATATTTTTTCTGAACACTCCGCCGCTAAAGAGATGTTGGCAAATGCATAACGGTTATCTTGGTTTTATTTTTGATGGTCGCGACGAAACCTATGTACGGTACGGTCTGTACTATGTCGGGCAATCCCAGGTCCCCAACACATGAAGGCAGTATTTGACTCAAAATGTGACATCCTACATTACTACATTATCTGCAATGTCCAGGCTCATTCGGCAGGCAAATTTTATCCGTTTGGGACGCTGGTTCCTCCGGAAGAGATGGGCAAAAGTATTCATGCTATATTCAACAATGCACCTGAAATAATCATGGCGTGCATATTCCAGTCACTTCCCCCAAAAGTATTGGAATGGCGGTTCGGTGCTATAACTTCTTGGTTATTTTTAGCCGTATGCCTGACGTTGTTCCTCCGATATACCAACGACTTGGCCTACCACCGACCATCCGACAAGAGTTCAAATTACACGTGAGTAGAAGTTCTGATCTGGAGATTCGAGCGCGGCCCCGATTATAGGCGGAAACAACTAAAAGAGAGTCCAAACTCCGCCGCAAAAAAACCACTTGCTGCCTATGCTGAAAGAATTCAGATTATCCCAAGCATTTAGAGAGGCAATAGCCACCCCTATTCTGATAATTTGGAACGAAGGCTGATCTCAGAGTAGTGCGGCATTAATCGTTCCAAGCCGTGGCGTTTCTTCCTTATTCCAGAGGTATACATTATTGCTCGAAATCGTTGCATCAAAGTCCCCGACGTTCCTTACCTCCTTTGGTACCAGTCAAGCAACTATCGGTCTCATATTTGGGGGGAAATACATTCGCCGTGGATTCAAACAAAAACCATCATCATCTAAGAATGCCATGCAGCTGCCTTGGGGATTTCTACAATGTGGTTTCACGGAATCCGATGTCCTTGTGTGGCCCTTTAATTCAGGAAACTTCAATTGACCTGAAAGCAAATCGGGTTAGGCCACTAAGCTCCATTGAGCTCCGGCTCCTAAGGAATGGCCATGGCGAAATTGTCCGAAACGGCTCAGAGGTTATTTTATGTAGTATAACTGGCAGGAAGGCTTCTCTTAACAGAACTTATAACAGACAACGCGATCGATTGAGAGATACGTAGATACGACTGTAAAGGATACTGTGAAACGCATGGGTTTAGCGTATCACGCATGCACCATTATCGTGTCTCCGGGCGAACAAGTGGACGCAATCACTATAGTTGGGCGAACTTTTCTAGTTTGTCGCGGCTATTACCAGTGTCCTGGAATTTCCTCATGGCTTTACTCGTCTGGCTGAATTTATGTTGCCACTTTTCGCAGGAACAGCAGGGAGCTAACAAGGTTCTTTTCGAAAGGGATATCACATTCTATTGATCCTCATTTTCAAGCTTGGCTGAACAGTAGTTAAACGGTTCATTACATAAGACGACGTTGAGTCTTTGGAGTTAACTGTTGGCCGATGGTTCTCCGATCGAGTTTCCCCCGAACAGTATCGGCAGGCCCGTCTACCACCACCACTAATTCGGAAGCGAGAAAGGAGAGCCTGGGACCCAGACCGGAGTCAAAAAAAATAAAGCTTCTTGCTTTATGAAAGCATTTGGTAGTCGGTCTTGTGGACTCAAGTCACGAGGACATTGAAGCGGGTACTGAAATTAGCATTGACCCTTGCGGTTCCTTCCAAATGGTTCTTCGCTCAAGGGGTGATGATATCCCTGGTGAGTCGAGAGATGGACATCACCAGAAAAGAAGAAGATGCATCCTCCCATGTAAGCCGTGGACACCTCTGACAATGAGCCAACAGCTCGTTGGTGGGGGGGGTTTTGTGTCACTACCAAAATCTCAAAAAATTGGGAAGAAGCTGAATATTACTCAGCATCAGCACCTTACGGAGCCGCGATGAGGGCCCATAGCTTAATTAACTAGATGTCTAAGCGCAATAGAGGAGGAGATCGCGTCAAGATCAAATAGATATGCCTATTTTGCTCCAAACCAGACCAGGTCTATGTTATTGATGGCACCATACGTTACACCAATGGTAGTTATCCATGGTTCAGTAGTAACACTTATTACACACAGCAAGCATATGTTATTCTTGTATGCAGTTGAGTGAAGATGTAATCTTGATATATCATGTTCTCTGGGAATATGGAAGTGAACGGACTGATCAAAATCTCGGAACACGTTGTGTTTTCAGATAGTTTATAACCTTGCTCGGACTATCAGATGATGATAACAGATGATAATAACAAATTGAATAAACCGCGGTATGTAGCATGTTTTAGAGAGGATCAGGGCCTAGAATACACAGAGGATTAATCTTGGGTGTTGGCCTTTGCCCTGCACGACGGCCCCCGCCCAATCGGCAAATACTTTAGGACGGCGATCTGCACGAGAAATGATTCGAGGTGATTGGATGGGTCATTATATGACAGGAACCCAGAGACAAGATCGACAAGAGTTCGATTGATCTTGGGGGGGGGGGGGGCAGCAGCCTGAAGGTGGCCCTGTACCTTGCTCCAGATGATGGTTAATACTACCGGGAGGCTGACTGGTTCTAATAATGAATGAAAAGAAAAGTGGTTTGCAAGAGAGAGACACAAACATTACCCTTCATGTTTGGAGCGCAAGGACTGACAGGATTCTCTAAGATCCTCTCTGTCTTCGAGTGTGCAATGCGAACAGCAAAATAAGGGTGCACGCAAAATAAGGGTACACCTGTGAGGCATTCATACGAGTCATCCCGCCCCTCTCTTTCACGAATTGTATCAAGTCCTGCTGGCTGCGGGATGTTTTTCACCAGCCGAATCACCTCAAGACTCCACATTGGGCTCAAGCTTAGGGAGGCAGCCCACAGCTTGTGGACTCAGGTCTCAACGTCATTGAAGAAGCTGGTATGGTTTGCGGCACTAAACTTGCTAGCGATAAGGAGGGGGAGCAATGATGTTCACAACTAACCTGACAATATAGGTATGTGTGGTCGCTGGTTGGCTTGGCTCGATGTTAAATGTCAAAACAAACAGTTTTGGAGAACGAGGTAAAAAGGGGAAAAGTAAAAAGCAAAAGAGAGAAACAAAAAAGAAACAGAGAAAGAAACCAAGGATTATCACACTTGACAGTCATCGCGGTCGTTCTGCAGTACCACACCTCCCATTGCTCACCATTTCGGCCTTCAACCTTCAATGTTCTCGCCTTCAAGTCATGGCTTTATGTCCTTGATGTATGAGAGAGTAAGCTCTCTTATCTATCTTCTGTAAAGCTTTCCAGGCATGGTTCCGGTGGCTTCCATGAGCCCACACTTTAGACCCACCATGAATGGCCATATGTTGGGCCAGAAGTGGATGCGCAGTCCTGTGGGGACTGGGTCTTTTCAAGAGTTGCTATCTGGATTCTGTTCTCTCCCTTAGTGTGTACATAGAGATCTCTCCAGCGTAGCGAGTACGCACCACGCAAGCCGTGGGCCGTATCCACCGACCTTCCTCCACCGACCTCCACCGACCTCCACCGACCTCCACCATTCCTCCACCATCCCTCTCCACCAACTAACCCACTTCACCTGGCTTGGCGGGCTTGTCGTCGTCAAGCCGTTGCCGCCGTTAGCTCGCTGGGCATCAGTCTCGACCCGTGAGCGCGGGACGGCGATGCAGGGAATAAAACCCCTCAGCCTCCACCAGGCGGGAGCAGGTTTCCTCTCCTCTCAAAAAGTTCTCTACGAACGTTTCACCTGCCATTGACTGGCTTTTTGTCTTCTCATCTCCTCCTTTCTTATTCCCTCGCTTGTCCAAGTTCTACCTCCGTTTTCGATCTCTCATTGTCCCCACCCCTCTTTTTTTGTTTCTTTCTTTTCTCTCTTTTTTTTTTTTTTTTTTTTTTTTTCTTGCTCTTTCTTCTTTTGTTGTCTTTACCTTTGCATATTGCCATTGCCAATTCTCGAACCCCCATCGAATCCGTCACAACTATTAGTATCTATCCTATTCCAATTACAGCGGCGCCTCAATCGGCTTTATTCACGGCTATTCCAGCTCTCTATTTCTCGTGAATACAACGAACGTCAAAAATTTTGTTGCATCTAGCGCTATAACTCACGCCCGTTTTGCGTCTTAGTAACTACCTTCGCATTTGGGTCGGACTCTTCGCCTTCACGGTTTTATATAGCCCGATCAGTGAATGAAGGAATAAGAGGGCAAAAGCTCAGTAACATAAAAGGGTTACAAAACGCCGATCTGTTTCAATATGGCTTCACCTGTTGACGAGAACCGTGAAACGAACCCGCTCAATGAGAAGGCACGCGTTCGGAATAACAGTTCTTCAGAGGACGGCACAGTGGTGAATGATAGCTCACAACCTCCAAATTCGACAACCGATCATCTGGCTGTCCATATCGACCCGGAGCAGGAATCAAACCTCCCGTTCTCCTCACCGTCCCAAAGGTTGCACAAGAGGGAATTGGCCCACCGTCTAGATGACGAATTGGCCTTGATGGAGGCAGAGCGTGTTGTGTCGAATGAGGAAAAGCTCTCTTGCCGTGAGAAACCTGGCCGCACCTTGTCCATCACTCCCACACGCTCCCGACGTTCGGAACCCGTCGACGAATTCGACGCTGCAACAAACCCTCTACATGAACATGCCGCCATCTACAACCCGCCCGAAAATCCCTCGACGAGTCTGGCAAAGTTTTTCAAAAAGGTCCATGAGTCTAGTTTCCTAGTCCGCTACTTCACCTACATCACTCCACTCGTCTTGATCCTTCTAATCCCGCTGTTGGTCGGCTTGCTCGCTTTTCCGGATGCCAATGTTGGAGGTGTGCGATTGCTATGGTTCTCCGTCTGGCTGGAGATCGTCTGGCTCACTCTTTGGGCCGGTCGTATTGTTGCTAAATTTCTTCCTATCCCCATGGGCCTGGTCGCCAGCGTCCTCACCAACAACTCGAAAAAGTGGCGTGATATGGGGAAGCAGCTTGAACTTCCTGCCACCCTTTTCTTCTGGTGGCTCGGAATCGAAATCTCCTTCTTACCAACCATGACCAATCACCATATCGACGGCAGCCGCGGGACGAAGTCTTGGGAGGTCGTCGTTAACAAAATTATCGTTTCGGTCTTCGTCGGCGCGACTCTCAATTTTATCGAGAAAATCATCATTCAATTGATCGCAATAAGCTTCCATCTACGCACGTATGCTGATCGAATCGAAATCAACAAATTCCAGATCGGGAGCATGGCCAAGCTATACGCTTACTCAAAGGAAAAGATTAAAATGGAAGATTGTGACTTCGAGGAATCCCCGCAACAGACTTCCGGAATGAGAACCCCAATGCAATACGCTGGTGTGGCCCAGCGGGTTGCCCGAACTGCATTGAGCAGGGTTGGGGACGTAGCTGGAGCTGTCGCAGGTGACTTCACCGGCAAAAAGGTGGCAAGAAGCAACCACCCTCACCAAGTCGTTTTAACGCTCTTAAGCACCACGTCTGGCAGCCAGGTTCTTGCCCGCCGTATGTATCGGACTTTTGTCCGCGACGGATTCGATACCATCTTCTCTGGGGACCTGAAAGCGGCCATTGACAATAGTGACGAAGCGGAAGCTGCCTTCACCATGTTTGATAAGGATATGAATGGTGATATATCTATGGAAGAACTGGAGGCCGTCTGCGTGGAAATCGGCCGGGAGCGCAAGTCCATCACGGCATCTCTGAAGGATCTGGATTCTGTGGTTTCCAAGCTTGATAATGTTTTTGTCTTCATCGTTATTGTGATTACCATCCTTGTGTTTTTGTCCCTCATTTCTGCGTCCACGGCCGGTGTCTTGACTTCGGCGGGTTCCACGCTGCTGGCCCTCTCCTGGCTTTTTTCTGCTACAGCTCAGGAGTTTCTGCAGGTAAGGACCATTTATTCCTCTTTGCTGCCATTGCACCTATTTTGCTATGCTTAACTAAGCTCCGTCCTCAGTCTATCGTATTCGTTTTCATCAAGCACCCGTTTGATGTCGGTGATCGTGTTTCTATATATGGAAATACTGGCGCAACTTTAACTGGTGATGACTATTTTGTGAAAGAAATTGCGCTGCTATACACAGAATTCAAGAAGATGGAAGGGCACGTGGTGCAGGCACCCAACAGCTACCTCAACACTCTTTTTATTCTGAACCAACGGCGAAGCGGTGCGCTTGCCGAAGCCGTTCCAATCGTCATCAAATTCGGAACCACCATTCAGCAAATTGATAGCCTCCGATTACGCCTTACAGAATTCGTACGGTCCGAGAACCGTGAATATCAAGGAAAAATTCTCACCGAGCTGCGGCAGGTGACTGAAAATTACTCCCTCACTCTCAATGTGGTGTTCTTTTACAAATCAAATTGGCAAAACGAATTGCTGCGTCTTCAGCGACGCAACAAGTTCATCTGTGCTCTCATGCTCGTCCTCCAGGAGGTGGGCATCGAAGGACCGCGCATGAACACGATCGGCGCGAAGCATGATCTACCTTACCACGTCAACCACCAGGGAGTTCTACCCACCTATAATGACAGCACGAACGCACCCGGCCCTGGGCCCGGACGTTCCGGGCCCGAAACCGCAGATCCACACATGGCGTCGGAATCCCGTGACGCACTGGGAGGTCTGGGCCGTGCCCACTCGACGGGTATCGGTCATCATGCTTCCATCCTCCGAAACCGCGCCGGAACGACCTCCAGCACACGTGGTCGTGGTGAATCAGTGTCAAAACACGTCGACTTCTCCCTCGGATTGTCCGAACTAAGAGCCGCAGACTCGATGTCTGACGTCCACGACGACCGCCAAAGTAGCAATCGGGTCAACCAGATCATCCGCAATGCAAATCGTGAATCTGCAGAGCGCCGCCGTCGTGAACAAGACGAAGCAGAGGCTCAGCGCCGTCTCGACTCCCTTGAACAGTCCCGTTCCCACGCGACTACCCGCACCTCTAGTGATTCCCATCCCCCCTACCTCCCCAACCCCGCTACCCTAACCCCAACCCGTGGCAGCATGTCGTCCTCCATTCACCGCAACCACCTCTTCTCCCGATTGGGAACCCGCTCTGTGAGTTCCAGAGAAGGCAGAGATCGATCCCGTAGTCGCTCTGGTGATCCGGAAACGGCCGAAACAGAGCTTATGGAACAGGGTCGCTACAATCCAACTCGTCCCAATGACTTTACTGACACGCCGGAACCGCGTCCAGACGGTGTTCCGTTGCGTAACCCGCAGGATGATATTACTTCGGACCAGGGTCGAAGACTGCCGGCGGATGATAGAGGTTAGATGGAAATGGGTCTGCGTGGCGGGTGTGGTGAAAAAGCCGTTTTGCAAAAAAAAAAAAAAAAATAAAAAAAAAAAAAAAAAATTAAGGCATAAAGCAAATAGAACTTGTCATTTTCCTTTTATTTTCTCTTTTCCTCTTTCCTTTTACCTTTATCGTCCTCCCCTCCTCGCCACGCCCTATCCTCCTGCAACGTTGCCGGCAAGTTGCGAGCCCTCCATTTTCATTCTTGCTTTATTGTATACAGTTATCATTTTCGTTTATAGATATACCTAGGTTTTAACCTTCGACATTTGTAGCAGCCAATGACCCCAAAGCTGCTGGAGCCATTTGAACGGTCTCATCTAGCAGGGTTTGGGTGACAGGTGAATGAGTCAATGACATATTTTCGACGTGGAAACGTATAGCCGTATCATTGCGTCCTCACACAATTTAGATACTTAATATCCCTAATTAACTATGAGCTTTTCTAATTTTTGAGGAGGTTTTCGTGCGAAATTCTTGAAACAAAGCCTATAGACCAGTTCTGTTTAATATTTGGCCCGGCCACAACCACGGAATACTGCAATTCATGTACCCTGCACACTAACTGCCGTGATAGGTTATGAGCAAAAGTCAAGAAATTAATTCCCCGAACCAGGAGATATTTTCGGATAAATTCCAGGCCGTTAAAGTTCCGGCTGAACGCTGCCAGCTACCTCCTTTTCCGCGTGCTTATGCTTTAATTCACTCATCTCAGTCATTCATTGATTCACTTATTCATTCAATATTGACGGTTCGTCTACACAGCAGCTGTGTTTGATATTACTACTATGATTATATACGAACTTCCTCCATCATTACCTGTACAATTAGTGTTAACAAACTGCGCCCCTCCGACTGCCTGTTGCCGCATGCCGGGTGGTTGCCGGTCGCGGCGACTCCTGCAGTCCTCAAGTCGTCCAATTTCGAGTTGGAATATCGGGGCACATGAGAAACAAATAATTGCATTGGCAATACGTAAATAGGCAAGATTGGGAAACGGCCATGAAGTTGGTCGAAGTTGATGGAGCGGCAGTAACACCCCTGAAGGGTACTGAGGATGACTTATCTGTAGCTCCATTGACAGCTACGTCAACAGTGACGGGAGCTGGAAACGCGAAAATCTTTAGTGGGCCTGCATCGCCTCGCCCTAGAGGACCTGCTTCCGTCGAAAGCTTTACTGCTCTGCCACCGATTGTTGAGGATAATCAATACCACCACCATTATCATCCCCTCTTCCCTCCCCTGCCAGAATACAAGCCACCTTCCGTCTTCCCGAGGATTCAATGGCACGCGTTGCGCGCCGTTTCATTCTGCCTGTCTTTGGCTTTCCTCACTGGCATCCTGCTGGCAGCATCTGTCAGATGTAGTCTGGTTGCTACAAGAAGGCTACATGGCTGTCTTCTCGGCGGGGACCCAGAAATGGATAGGCCCTTCTGGCAGGAGGAGCGCCTGCGGCAGGAAGCAAGGGAGAGAGAAGCGCGTGCGTGGGATTATGAGAAACGGAAGCAAGTATCAGAAGCCTCAGCTCCAGTATCAGGAGGAGGTGCCGAGGAGCGCAATGTGGGCGTTGCCAAAGCTCCCTTCGAGCCGTCAGAAGGTGGCCAAGATTCTCTTGTTCGTGACATTCCCTACTATTCCAGACGGGTTGGGCTGGATGCAGAAAGCTATAGAGTTCAGACAGAAGATGGCGCGGTAATTCCTCTGTGGCATCTATATGACCCAAAGGAATACGTGCCATTAGCCTCCAGTGATAAGAACTGTATAGGCCCTCCAAGTGCCTTACAGACACCGAGATCTAACCCACAGAGCGCCTCTGCTGCTGGTGGCAGGAGATATCCTATTCTCATGCTCCCAGGTCTATTTCAGAGCGCCGGTGCGTTTTGTGTCAACGATGACGATAGTCTTGCCTTCTTCCTGGCCAAATCAGGTTACGATATCTGGCTAGGCAGCAATCGTTACGGCTTCCATCCCGAGCATATCTCCCTGACTCCATCCGATCCACGCTTCTGGTCCTGGACCATCAGGGACATGGCAACCTTCGACCTGCCAGCCCTCGTCACACGTGTCTTGTATGAGACTAACTTCCCGAAACTAGCACTCATCGGTCACTCTCAAGGCGCAGCAGAGACATTCCTCTCACTGTCTAAACATATCCAGCCGTCACTCGGTTCCCAAATCAGTATCTTCTGCGCACTCTCCCCAGCCGCCTACTCTGGTCCCCTCCTCAAAAAATTCTACCTGAAATTCATGCGCCTGATCCCTTCGACTGCTTTTCGGCTCATCTTTGGCATTCACGCATTTATCCCCTTCACTCATACCATTCACACTCTCCTCCCAACTTCTTTGTACGCTGTAATGGGTTACATGGTGTTCTCATACGTGTTCAAGTGGTCGGATTCCCGCTGGGATCGTGGGCTTCGTTCCCGATTCTTCCAATTTAGCCCCATTTACGCGAGCGCGGAGTGCATGCATTGGTGGCTAGGTAGGGGCGGCTTTGCGGACCACGGTTGCATCCTGAGCACGAGGGAGCAATTGGCTCAAGAGGCCAAGGAAGATGCGCGTGACGAGGTAGGTGTCGTAGAGAAGAAGATGGAGGATGGGTTGAGTGCTGTCAGACTCGCGCTTTCGACTGATGTAGATGCTGGTGCAGCGAATGCGGCTTGGTACGATGACCGTGTTCCACCCATAGCTCTTTGGATTGCAGGATCGGATCTGTTAATTGATGGCATTCGGTTATTACGGCGGCTGCAAGGCAGGCGTGAACCATATGTCCGAGTTGTGCATTCGAGGGTAATTGAGGAATACGAGCATTTGGATGTGATATGGGCTATAGATTCTATTGAGAAGGTTGGAATGGAGGTGAAGAGCGTTATTTGGGAGTGTGTAAAGGACGACGTTCGAGGATTTTGCCGAACTCCTGAGATGTAGTATAAGGAAAGAATTGCAATGAGCTTTTATTGCCCATTGGTAGTGCTGTTGTAGACATATGCATAAATACGTATCTGAGGAGTTCTATCTCATTGTGTGTACCATGTACTACGTTGGAATATAAAAGGGAAGGGCTGTTTACAGTGGTATATTTTCCCAGCGGGGTGGCACATATCTCTCTTTCTTTCTTTCTCCTTTTCTTTTCTTTCTTATATTTCAAATACACTACAATTACTCGAAATTCCACTGTTCTTGCCTTCCTCCCTCTTGACATATGAGCTAGCTGACTTGTGGTCAGCGTCCATAACTGTGACAATGCGACAAATAACCCTCACAGGATTGCCAGCAACATCATGAAACGGACGAATGTCCTGGAAACGCAAAAAGTGAGCGCTGTTCTCGTGCAATGGTAGCAGAGATGAAAGCTTGTAAACGCATTCCATAGATTCAGTCATGGCTGTCACGGATTCAAAGTTGACAAGCTTTATTGAGATCTGAATCACATTGCCCTCCACAGTAGCTCATTTCAACCTGGCGATTCGGGATCGCTATTTGGTGCCAAATGATCGGTTATTCCCAATGCAACCTCGGCGTGCACGAATTCCGTCCAGTTTTTGATTTCCACTTGAGGATAAATTTGTCGTTAGGCTTGAAAATCGCGTTGTTGCCGCGATATTTTTGTGGGAGGGGACTCTGACTTTGGAGCCATAGTCAAGTAGAAAGGACAACAGAAACTACAGCTTTTGCTCCTGCTAAGCTGACTACTCTGTTGGTAGTCGATTCGGGGGAGGACGACTCCACCCCACTCTTCACGACGTTTGGAGTTGGCATTTGCGCTGAGAATGAGGATGATGATGAGTAAAGCACCCAGTTCGTGGGCGATCAGTGGATTAATCACCGCTTGAGCCTCATAGGGGACAGACAGACTAGAGGGCCTCAACCATCATCACACCCAACCCAAGATCCCGTCCCAACTATGCGACTCCTCATGATGGCTCCCATGAGATGCCCACACTGCCACACGGCCCTTTACCTGAACGTGGGGGCTAGCTCGGCGAGGCTTTTTTCTCGCCAATAATGGTTGACTACCGGGCATTGCGACATCCGGGCTGCAACAGCTCCTCTCAGGGTTCGTTCCCTTCCCAGCGGCCACGATGCAAGTCAGGTTCCGAAAAACCTCTTTCAGTAAGGGCCCTTGGTGTGCCAGGAGAGGTCATACCCAAATAGGTTTGAGTGGAGGCGCCTAACTCAACATGGGAGGCAAGTTGAACACCAATCAGACACATCTCTCCTTGGCTGCTGTGCCGTCGTCAGAAAGGCAATCTGTCCCAAGAAGGAGATACAACCATCCTAGATGCCTCGTTTATACACACCGACCGAAGAATGGCCTGAGATTCAATGTCCTCTCAGGGTTTGATCGCTGAGATCTTGTTGCGATGTTCTGTAGGCTGCTTGGCTGTCCTTTTGCAAACTGGCACTAACAGCCGGCAGCTGATAAATTGATCAGTAGTAATCCAGATCTCGAACAGGGAGGAGAGTACGGAGTAGGAAAACCTTGTTGTGACTTGAGCACTAGTATGGGGATCTGTTACAAACTTCCGAATGTTATTGAAACTCTACATTTAAAGAAGCTGGCTAAGCTTTGAAGCCGAGAGAATATCAGAATTCGAGGTATTCTGTTTTTCAAGAGGAAAGACAGATTAACTTGTCGAAAATTTTTTGGTCGAGCCCCAGGGAATCACCCTCTTCCAAACAAACAGGGTAGCCTTTAGTGTTATGCGGGTGCGGGATCAAAGAATTGGTGGTTGGTTTTTTCTGGTCTTGAAGAGAACCATGATTGGGGAGGCATACTGGATCAGAATTACACGGTAAATGCCCTCCGATCGCTACCTTTCAGGGCCAGTTTTGCCAAACGAGGTCCAGTGAATTATCATCCTTGACAATTACCCAGTGGCCACCAGTGGCACAGTTGATTCATCATCCAATATCAGCCGAAATGGACTGATAGCGCCGTAGTGGCGCCTGGGCTGAGCGCATGGAAAGCGCCTGGTTATGCCGAGTGTAACATGGAGCAGTTGTTCCTTTGGCGGGCGAAGCTTCATTGTTAACCAACAAGAGCCTTCTTTCGAAAACCCCTAGTCAACTCTGCCAACGAGTTTGTCTCAAGTGGAAAGGCACCAGTTTGCCTTGCATGAATTGGTGTCATGCTAAAACCAGAGGCTAGAGCCAACAAAATGAATTTGACACTCAATTTTTACGATGAAGCAAACATTTTTAACCTCGTTTCCTCTTGTCTCACTAGCCATTTTCGATTACGAGGGACCCAGAGTGATAATCTTGGAATTCATGGGACAGAATGCGAGCCATAGGTCCCAGGCCCACCATGGCGATCCAGTTCAACCTGCAGGGAGGCGGCCCGAATCCCGACATGGCTGACTGGCCATCCATACCAGCACAGTATGGAGTTCCTGTCCAGCTGGCACGTTATTCTTCTTTTTGGGGCGGGGTTTTCAATCCTTGCTAATCTCCACCGTTAGCCCGCACCCTGGAGGGGAGCGAGAGCAGCTGTGCCTTTTGCTCAGAGACATGTGCAATAACGACAACCTCCGTGTTCAATCTCAAAATGTAGTCTCTTGGAGGCTGAAACCTCTTTCGCGAAGGTGCTGAGATTCTACTTCACATATTTATCTTTCTGATACGTAAATCCGCTTTAATCGGGGTCACCATGCTGATTCTAAGAATAGCTCGACGCGAAGATCATGGGTAAATTAGCTCTCATGAACACGAGCAGAGCACACAACAAGCTCCGAGTCTCCTTTGGGTTCCCGAGCAGATCTGGAAGCCTGACGACGATCTCCGCCCCGACTTTCCCTTCAGAACACTCTTGCATGCTGTTTTCTGAGCTTTGGGTGATTTCGTGCGCCACTGACATTCATACTTGTGTCTTAGGGGTTTGAATGCTCACTTGCCAGTGTCTGCCGATATCAGTTGACCTGGCGAACCACTTTTGGAAATCAGCCCCCAAAGACAGCATCCTGCCCATGCAGGGGCTAGCCTCACTCGATTCGACCAGAGGCAATGACAGAAATTTGTTTTTATTTTCATTTTTATTTTCGCTTTTATTTTTATTTTTATTTTTTCGACGAAGCGGTTATTATTACTCGTTTTGCGGCTCCGCGAGTAGTTTAGTGATTGGAATTAATCCTTGACGTCGCTCTCGATTCACAATAAGCCGCATGCGTCGATGTTAGTATCCAACAAGAAATTCCTTTATATTAAGAGATCTTCCCTCCAGAGGAGTCCTCCGAAGACCACGCCTTCTTTCGTCTTCTTGTTCAATTCATGTCCGATATGAATCATGACGAATACTTACACGACCGTTGTAGTTTAATGTTTGTTGTGTTTCTGCGTTAATGTCATCTTTTTGCTCAAGCTCCAAAAGTATTTCCTCGAATGTCACGATATTGAGGTTATCAGCTTGAATTTATAATAATCGCGAACGTCGTCGAAATGGAAGCTGAGGTATTCTATCCCATTGACCTTCCTCATACTCGCTTTTGGGACCTCGAATATTCTAGTGACTCCTACTCCTCATTCACAAATCCAACGATTCTGGCCCCTGTTACAGCTCTAGCTAGCTATCCTGATGTTGTTGATACCCAGGATCTCCGACAGGACGCCAGAGTGCCAAGAACAGCATACATAGAGAAGACTCAACTGCCATGCTGGGTAAAGTCTGTCAACGATTGCACTCCAATTTCCGTTGCAGATGAGAATCCACAAGCTACATGTGGCACGTTAAACATACCATCGGGAGAGAGCGATGGTAGTGCATCTGGTGTTTCTCCCGGTCTGAGATGGATATGCGAATCTCCAGGTGGATCATACGGCGGTGATCTGACGGAAGCAGATTCAAGTTTAAGTGAACAATCGTGGGGCCATGTGTATACATCCAGAGACTCCCAATGCACTACAAGCTACAGCTCATTTTCCTCCCCTCTCAGTGATACTTTCCAATATCGAGATCCATCGAACTGTTTCCCCTCCACAAACATGGAAGGCTCTTACTGCGGAAGTGAACACTCAGTCAGCCTTCGGGAAGTCCAACACTATCCTGACCCAGACCCAGAACTAGAGACAAAATTCGAAATTGGCATTGGGTTGGATGGACAGTCATTTTCCTTCTATCCAAATCTCCCTGCTAGCAACCCGTTCCCTGGAACTATAAAACGCTCTCTTGCAAACCAAGACGGGCAAGAAGATAGGGGGCGGCCAGGTGAGATCGATGGCGGGACGGACTCGCCAACAGCCCAAATTCAATCCGACCAGTTTCCCGCAGCAGAACGGAGAAGGCCCCCTCATAAGCGGATGAAATATTCCACTCAATCTCCACAAAGAATTCCATCGCCACGGAAATTAAACGACAGCCGCGGTTCAGTGCGGAACAGTGCATGCCCTAAGCGGACATCAAAGCAGGGCCGCAGCCTAAAATCAGCGCAGTCTATTCGAGGTTATTCATCCTCTCAGTCTCAACAGAAGACCGCCGATCGTCAATTCATCTGCGTATTTGCTCGATATGGTTGCAACAGCACTTTCTCCACCAAAAACGAATGGAAACGCCATGTTTCATCTCAGCATCTCCAGCTTGGCTTTTATCGTTGCGACGTAGGATGTTGCAATGTTTCCACCTTACAGGCGTCCTCATCGCCTGATATCCCATCCTCACCTTCGCATCCACCGCGCTCCCCCAATGACTTCAACCGCAAGGACCTTTTTACGCAGCACCAGCGACGTATGCATTCTCCATGGGCGTCATCTAACGGAGTGTCACCCAAAAAGCCTGATCAAGATGCCTTTGACAAGAGCTTAGAGGATGTGCGCAAGAGGTGCTGGATTGAGCGGCGGAAACCTCCACGACAGAGTATGTGTAACTTCTGCTGCCGGGAGTTTTCCGGCAGCTACTGCTGGGATGATCGCATGGAGCATGTTGGGAAACACTACGAAAATCGCGACGTAGAAACCGGCGAAGATGTTGCGTTGAGAGAGTGGGCTCTTCAGGAAGGCATTCTCAAAGTGGCTGGTAGAGATGGATGGGTGCTTGCCTCTCCAAAAGAGATAGCGGAACGGCGCGTGGAGGACTTCTAACCTGCCGTGGCGTGAGTGAGTGATGAGCTTTTTTTTCCGTTGATCGATGCCATGCAGAGTATCCCCTTTGGCTTTTCTTTTCTTTTTCTTTTCTTTTTCCTTTTTTTAAAGTCTATTGGCCTATTCTGTACGGAAATATACATGTATACCCTTGATATGACGATGACCCACGAGAACTGGATATTCTTCTGTCGTATAATTTTAATATGTCTGGAGTGCAAATTTCGTTCATCTTCAATCAGATCTCATACCCTGTATAGTACACATATTACATCGTTCCGCACTAAACTTGAGGTTTTTAATCATTTTATTTATTTAAAAATAAGATATAGGATATAAAATATAAAATAAGATAGGATTCATAGCCGTCAATTTATAATAATTTTGTGAAAACATACAGAATGTATTCCTCTATTTCAATAACTAGTTAGTTAGTTAACATAAAAAGCGTTTAAATAAGCAACGACGGTGGTGCTAACTTAAGATCATGCTAACCAGTTGTGTCGGACAATTTCAACCCGGAAAATTATTCCAAGAAACCCCACCAAGCATAGAAACCATCAACCAATTGTATCATGGCCCATGCAATAAGACAAAAGGATTGTAGCTAATGTATATCAACAAAAAGTTACCCCATCCCAGAATACCACAATACATATAATAATGACTGTACAAATGAATGTGGCAAGTATCCCTGTTTTTTTTTTTTTTAAAAAAAAAAAAAAATTCATCACAGCTCCGCAACCAAGCAGGATTTAAAAAACCTAGCAGAAACATGTGAGACAATCAATGCAGCATTCGCATCCTTCCTCGCAAAGGAAACAACAACATAATGTTGCAAGACTTGGAATTCGTCGGGAGATATTAGCGAGGCGGAGATAACAGGTTGTTTCGTGACACCATGACAACGGTGGCACAGGGTGAGGGATATTAGACGTACCAAGCCATCAAGCATCCGCGGTCCTTATCCTTGGGGACTGCTTGAGGAGGGGGCTGTTGATATTGCATCTATGAGACGGGATTAGCCGCAATATTGGGCCACGGGGTACACAATACGCAAGACAAGGACGGAGGGGAAAAATGGTACCGGAGGAGGGCCTGGAGGGGGATATCCTTCCTGCGGTGGATAGCCCTGCGGATAGCCACCGTAGCTGAAAACGGGAGGCAAAAGCTGCTTGTTAGCCGGTTGTCTTTAGGGAAAGGCGACAGGAATATTTCCAGGACGTACGCTTGCTGAGGAGGTGGCGGTTGTTGCTGGTAATAACCCTGAGAGGCCATGACGATGTCCAGAAACCGGTGTGACAGGCCGTAGGGATTGGGTTGGAGCAGGCGACAGGAAGTTAACGCAAGAGAAAGAAAAGACGAGAGATTATAAGAAGGAAAATATGGAGGGAATCACAAGAGGGTGAAGAGAGTTTTCCACGGGGTGTCAGCAGACTTGAAATGGGATGGCTGAAATTAGACGCCGATGCAGCGATGCTGCGGTGAAACATGTCTTATCTGTTTCCTTATGGTTTTTATTATGAATGCTGCTGCTGGTGATGATTATGATATGCTCCTCAGACGAGTCGTTTACTCCAGCGCCACTTCTCCCAGTTTAGGGATCCAGCTTAGGGTTAGCGCCGCTCCAGCCACGCGACGAGCCACATCCTGGGCCAAGGAAGTTCTGGACAGAGGACGGATAGTTAACATACGTACATAGTAATTTCAAGGTTGCTGAACTGTCGCATTGCGCACGGCCGCACTCTATGGACCATGAATACTCGTACGAGCAGCCAATTGGCGGCGGGGATATGCCGCAGGCAGCCCCCTACAGCAGCTGGTGGATTGGGAGGAGAGGAGAGGATCAGCCAGTTGGTCGTGTTTGGGTCCATCCAAGCAGAAGGGAGGGCCTGTGATCTACACTCAACTTTTATTCATCTACGTCTGCGCCAAAATATCCAATATATACTGTACATATATATATATACGGAAGAATATATCGAAAGGAAAAGCCAAGTACTAGTTAGTATTAGGGTTACAGAGTGATGTTGGAGCGGTAGAGGACATGAGGACTTTTTATCACGTTCTCGTTGCGTTAATATGTGCTAAGATTGGGTTATATAGAACATAAATTTGAAGATGAAATTGGGCATCGTGATGAGATGTAACTTGGGAGAGACTGAGAACGGGCACTAAACAGACAAGCCAATGACAAATTGACAACGGAAATTTGAAAAATACAATTCGTCAGACAGATCGTCATACTCGTTACAGCCGTTAATTCAGATTATGTAGATAGATTCGTAATCCGTCGAACATGGCAAAAAATGTTGGACGGGAATGCAAATATCTGAGCAAAGAGAGAAAGAAACGTGGAGATAATAAAAAGCTCCAGCTTTGAAAAAAAAAAAAAAGAAAAAAAAGAAAAAGAGAAAGAGACCAGAGAGACTAAAGCGAGAGTACCAGAACAAAGAGAAGAAAGAGAAAAGGATAGAACATGCACAGGAAGGAAAAGCTAAAGAAGTAGAAATAGATGAAAGTTCGGACAAGTAGATCAAGTGTTCTACAGCATAACAGGAATAAAAGGATCGAGCTCATGCAACTGCTGAGCATCGAAAATAGACGGGTCGAATAAGGATGAATCTAGAACATTCATCGACATTTGCTCAGCACTGTCATGTCCACTAGGGGACCCATGACCGCATAGATCCCAGTTCGAAGAGGGCCCGTTCATGCTGTTATGAAAATCAATTAGCATCGTTGAGTAGAGATCTGGTGCTTCTGGAGCGATGGAAGCCTGGCCAGATTGACTCGTGAACGTGGTTGCGGTTTGGTGGTCGTGCTGTGCTGGGGACACATTTTTACTGTCCATGTCGTCGTTAGGTTCGGAGGACCTAGCATCGAGGGTTTCCTCGGCCACGTTGTCACTGTCGATGACGTTGTCGATGACATATTCTTCCCGCTGCTCCATCCAATGCTTTAGCACATCCATGGGAGGAAGAACCCCACCGCCTTTACCGCCGCGTTTTTCGCTGTCTTTGCCGCGGCCCCCACGCCCACGCTGACATGGGTTGAAGTGAGTCCGTCGAAGGTGAGCTGCCGCGTTGTAGTTGGCACCGTAGCGCTTCCCGTTACGACATGCTTTGCAGTTGGCGAGAAACTGTTTGTCAGGGGAAATGTCAACGCAGACCCAGACCTTGCGGACCACTGAGTGGACACGTTCAATGTGCCTTCTCAGTTCGTGTTCGCCGTGAAAGCCCTCTGGTTGCTCGTTGCAGTAACTACAGTACGTCTTTGTTCTCATGGGACGGCGAACAGACGCTTTTGGGATTGCCGCTACTTCTCGTGATGTGCCATCGCCCGACGATATCCTAAGCATTTTGTGCTCCGCGACTTTTGAGTGCGACGCATATTTCTTGTCTTGTTTTGGCGCGATGGGCCGTGTGCCTTGCACAATTTGCTCCTGAGTCCTCCTCACAGCCCTTGACTGATTCGACAGCGACGAGCTATCGCTCGCGCTGGACAAAGAATGCTTCATCTCTGAAGATGAAGGGGTTAAAGAAAGGGGTGTGGGGGATGACGGCGAACAAGCAAGGGAAGTAGAAGGAGAAATGCTAGGGAAAGGAGGCCTGGATTCAGGCAACGACTGAGAAAAGTGAACATTATTCATGTTACCAGAACGAAAATTTGAAATAGGAGATGGGGCAATGCAATAATTAAGGTCATTGTTTAAGTTTAATGACTGATGAGAGATACGAGAAGATGGATTATTATCTAGCTTTGCCAGATTATTAGAGACTGATCCGGTCGAATCGAAACGGATCATGCCCATTCCTCCGCAGAGAGAGTCTGCTGTTGCAGTTCGACTCATCTCAACAGCTGTGGTCGAACTACATTGCGGGTAATTTTGAGATGTTGGGGGAATCAAACAATCAGAGGTGGTATACTGGCATTTTTCGTTGTTCAACGGGGAGGAATCGGAGCCAGGCTCAAACATGAATAGCGAGTCGGAAAGGTTATCCAAAGACTGTTGCTGGGTGAACTCTGATGGAGAATATTCGTTGACATTGTTCATGTTGAGTTGTTGGATTTGAAGGGAATAACGTTTCTCGGAAGCCAAAGGTGTCCGTGGCGCGGTAGCGGAAGCGGAAGGGGGGATAGTTTGCGGTTGTGGAGGTGAAACGGTGGTAAGCATCCCGGCTTTCTGGAGTGGTGAGTTTCCATTCTGTGCTCGAATCGAAAGACGGCGATTTTGATGGATGGGAGCAGGAGACTCGCGTTCAGGAACCGGTCTATTTACATCTGCCACCGTTGGAGGTTCCGGAGTCTACATGCACCTATGTTAATCCAGTGAGTGGCAAAGGGGAAGGGACATGAGACCAAAAGGTGGTGTGACCTACGACGGCCCGCCGTTTTGCTGGGGGTAATGTTGAAGGAATCGTGCGAGGCACATCTTCCCGAGACCGTTTCCCAAAAGAGTCGGAAGTTCCACTCCCGTCGAGGGATTTCAACGTGTTACCGCTGAGTACATTTCGGTGAGGCATAAATGAGATAAGGAGTTGACCCCAGAGTTGTTCACGTTCGGACTCGGGGAGGTGCGCATTGTTGGCCAAAAAGACGTTCCGGGACGATGTGAGAGCAGATGTGAAGAGACTGTCGTCAAAGGTAGAGGCCATGGCCATGTTTAGCAGTGTAGGCAAATTGATCTCTAACGAGTGTGGTTCCGGTCCCGTCCTGGGGTGCTTGCAGTGGTTTTGAGAAAGGGATTTTTGGAAAGGTAACCTGGTTGAAATATTTGGTGTTCTTCAAAAGCGAGGGCCTATATAAACATACAGGAGGGTTATGGGGAGACTCTGTTCTGATATATGAGCCTTGGCAACAAGTCAAATGTTGGTAAAGATGGACAAAGTCAGTAAAGCGAGGAAATTGGTTGAGCGGTTCGAGAATGAGAAGAGCAGGAAAAGGGAAGAAAGGTGAGAATCTCGTGGGGATGAGAAGACATCAAGATTATAAAACTGAACGTAAGCTCTAACTGGATTTGGAGCGCAAGTTCCCATGAAAGAGGTGCAGCCAAGCCAGCAAACTTAGTCCCCATGGCCAATGATGATAGTTTTCGAACCAAGCCCTCCAGCCGGGGTCAGAAATGGTCCTCGTGCGCTTTCATTGCTGAGAAACTCGTTGCACTTGGTCTCGGGAAACAATGCCAACACTAACCAAGATGGAATAGCCCAGAATTTGAAATGTTGTTCGTCCTAAGCCAAGAGGACACTGGACTGGATGAGGACACATTCCCAGACTTCTTCCCGGTCCAGTTTGAAAGTGAGGCGAACAAGGCCTGACACTCTCCCGCAAAATCGGGCAACATTGGAAATCGTGTATGGGTCTTGGCCGGTTTGGTTTGCCAGTGGAGATTGGGGAGAGAGGGCAGCTGGATTCTTTGTCGAATTTTTTCGGCATTTGTCGAAACTGTTCCTGATATGATAGAATTTTAATAACTCAACTCTTGGTCTGATTCTCTCTTCTCTCGTCCCCGTTGCCATTAACCCTCATCCCAGGTTGACTCCAGGACATGTTAACGCAGCGAATCACGGCGTGTTTGGTTATGAAATAACTTCTGATTTAGTTAACCAACTTAACTAGTTAGTGTTTGGCTGCGAGCATTTCTGCTTTGGAGAGCCTAAATTCGTCACTGTGACTGATGGATCACAGAAGTATGAGACTGTTGGATCGGTTGCGTTCCTAATTCTCCCGTGTCTACTCGTGATCATCGAGGGACGGAAAATCCGCATGGGTGCGTTGCGCAGCAGAGAATCAAATTCGTTTCGTTTTGGTGGGGGGAAGAAAGGCCGTGAGCCTGCCACGTAGCCAGGCGGTGCATGTAGTGTCAAGTTGTTGGATCTCAGCCAAACCAGGAAGAGATCCCAACCAGTCATGGTTTCTTGCTGAGAAACGCTGTGCTTCGACAAGCGTTGACGTCTGTTGGAAGGTTTGGCTTGTCCCCTCTCCTACCAGCCATGGCGCGGGTGGTTTTTATCCCACACGCCTAAAGGCTTGCTTGATGTTGTGGGGAGGGTTGTCTGCTCAATGGATACACTTGAACATGGTTTTGACAAGGGCGACCCAACTTTTAAACCACACTCACACCACTCCTCCCACTGATGCGGAATTGAATTACTAATTCTGCATGCATACCGCCCAGGTCACAATGATAGGAGCAAGCTAGAGTTGAGCGGTTAGGATTAGGGTTAGTCAAGGGACTAACCGTGCCAAGCATATTATTAGTGAGTGCACTGCAAAGGTAATAATATCACTGCAACAGTAATTAAATATACCATCATCATTCTTCATCTTCAAATATTCATTAATCACCGCAATCATGTCTAAATCATCAAAATACACCAAATATCAGCTTCAAAAGATCATTGACATGTTAAAATCAAATTCAAAATTAAAAATCATAAATGTGGTGTGAGAATTTGGAGTTTCATATACAATGTTTTTCTTAATTGAACAGATTAAAGAAAGGAAATCAAGAATGATGAGAGTTCCAATCAATCAAATATTGAATGACAGTTAAGAGAAAACTCTTAAAAGATGAATAATACAGTTGAATAGTAATTTTTATTGTTTCATTATCAAATATATTGAAGCTTCATCACTTCAATTCTGACATCTCTTCTTTGTAATGCACTCGCTTATTATTTCCTTATATATATATATATATATATATATATTATCTTCGTTTATTGTTTCCCAACTCAGCTTCTAAAATAAAGAGATGTGAACTTGTCAAGAAGGTATCTTCGGGTGGACCACTACCTGATTTAACTTATTGTTTCTGAGCTGAAAATTTGTATTGTGTGTACCAAATCCTGTCTTTCATTAATTTTTCTATGTTCTTGCTATATTCTTGGCATCATTCAACACTTATCAACACTTGTCTGTATTTAAAATCACACAAGGACTCCATTGGCTACTACCTATTACGCTGTAGTTCCTCACTATATCCCTATTGAATCTCTAAAATATCGCAATTTTCATCAATTAATCTATCCATCAAATATTCACTGTATCTCTACTGAATCTCTATAATAAAGTCCTCACAATCTCTTACTTATCCATTTTGCCTGCAGGCCCTTATTAATTCTATGTTAGCATCCTCACACTTGCTAGATCGTTATAATGAACCTTCCATCTCCTTCAAAGATATATAAAATGTAAAAACTAAAAAATTTGGATTATTTAGCTATTTTTTTCATATTTCTATAGAATAAGGGAATGGATATATTATATAACAATTAATAACTGATTCTAGATATATAATTTGAAATAAATACTTTACATTTTTTTATATTCAGTGAATATATTAAGTACTGAATGTAACGGACTATTGGTGACTGAAGTGAGTGTTATCAAGCATGAAAAGTGAAGTGAGCGAATCATGCTTGTTAATCTAAATATACGTGGGATTATTGAATATATACATTGGTATTTATATTTGATACAAAAAAGTTATATGATTGACGCAGCTATGAATATGCATTGAAACATTGAAATCGGAAAGATACAAGCCATGAGACAATTTCTCACTCTAATCCACCCGTTGCAGGATGCAGTGCCATCACCAAAAAGCTATTCTACAACTCCCCTTTCCCCTTTCAAGCCCCACGCAATTACCAGCAAATTGCTTCATTATCCACCTCAAATAACCCGTTCTTCCTCTTCTCGGCCTCCCACCTTTCTACCCATAACTTCATTTTCTCTCGGCTTCTTTTACTGCCAACATTAACTGTGGGGATCACTTTGGTTATCCGCAGCGCGCAGCAGAACATTGTTAATTCCCTAAACGAACTATGTTCGCTATAGGGAACTGAGTAGCACGAGCTTATTTGATTGCTTCCACGTTGAGGGATGAGGTCCTTAGTGGCAAAGCGAGGTTTCCAGGAATCGGAGTATAAGACCGAAGACACTGTGGGACTATCGGTCATCCTTCCTGCTGGTGGTCGATAGCTCCAGCCAGTGGGACGGAATCCAACAACTCGAGAAAAGTGAGGTTTGAGAGAATGAAGGTAATCAAGGAGCGTTCCAGTATGTACGTCCATCATGGTTACCATATGAACTTGAGCTTCTACAGGATTGTTTGTGATCAGTGCAGAAAGTTCACTATTTTCCAAACATGCAAGGATCCGTTGTTTCGCCGCTGGGGCATATATTTTACAATTCAACGCATGTGCAATTGCCATACATAATCGCTCCTTGCCAATGCTGTAAGTTCCAATGACAACAAGTAGCCGATTCCTAGACTCCGATTGTGCATATGGTAGCAAAGTTGGCGCTTGTGGGGCCTTTAAACAGACGTCCATGTCGCTTTGTCCGGAAGTTTTCAAATGGCTCAAACGGCATTCTGAATCTGTGGAATGGCCATGTTCAGTTACATTTAAATCAGCACAAACAGCTGCACATGCCGCAACAACGTCGTCCTGGCTAGGGAACGCATATTTGGGATTAAGATAGGTTGTATCAAGGTAGCAGACATCGATAATTTGTTGCCTGACTTTCCCAGTCAACGAATCGGTAATATCAGGGCGGAGTATGGGATGTTGAACATGGGTCGGAGATGCTCGGAAGTCGCCGCAATGGAGTATGCGACGGACCTTCGGTTCATGGCTCTTGTTAACTCGCTTTTCGAATAAAAATATGGAGCTTCCTGGACAGTGGTTCGCGGGCAACATAGTGACCCGGGCACCACTTGTCCGCGGGATTTCAAATGGCTTGTCGAATTCTATGTCAGTAACCCATTTTGGGTCTACTTTGAGCTGCTGCCGTACCAAATTCCCTGTGACTGTGCTGCAATAGATTTGCCCATGACACCAGGAAGGCGTAAGGCCGATATAATGGTCGCTGTGAAAATGACTCAGGAAATACGCAGTGCATCCCTCGATAGCGCCGTATCTAAAAGCATCGACGCAGGTAGAAAACCCAGGGATGATTTTATAAAACGGGCATGTACGTTCATGGGCTTGTTTACCTCTCGATGCTTCCTCTTTTGCCGTTGCCGCTTCCCATGCAGCATCTTCGGCGTTACTAGACATCATTTTTGAGAAGGCGGAAATTTTTTCGCCTTTCAATTCCATCGCGAGAGGATTTATCTGCCCGGGGCGGGGGATAACGGCTTTTTCCTGCCTGTTAATGGAGATACCAAAATTCGATTGGACGGGTGGGGTTGGAATTTTAGAAGGCATTGGGCTTGGGTTCCCATCTAGACAGTTATTCACATGAAGTAGCAGATCCTAGAGATTCTAATCAGCCTTGGGAATGAAAATATTAGCGAATCACATACGTCGTGAGCGATACAAACAAGAGCTTCATTGCAGACCGGGCACACCGTGATACTGTTATCATGAATATGTGCAGAGGATTCTGAATCGATTTCTTCTATTGACAAGGAGGTGCCCAGCCCGAGCCGCTGTTCACCATACTTTTCCAAGTTTTGATCTTGAAGACTCCCCCCTTCTCGGCATCCGCTATGGCCGCTATGTTTACCACTGGACGAATAAGCGGTTGAGGTAGCCAGAGCATCGGGGTTTTCCGTGAAATTCACATGAGATTCATTTGATGAATCCGTTGGTGAATTATAATCGAATTCGCTAAGCGTCTCTGGATTGTAAACGCCCTTGTCGTATCCACGATTGGATTCGTGTTCACTGTCTGGTTCATCCAAGAATGGGCCGACACGAGTAGGTCTGGGTGCTGTTCCCACAGATGATGGTAAGCCCTTCGTTCCTCTCGGCCTTTTAGGAATCCTCCCTGCGTCGTTTCCAAGGGCGGACGTTCCAATGTGACACGCGTTATTCACCCTTTGTCTTTTTTCACCAACATTGTACTTGGCATTGTATCTATCCTCTTTGTCAAAACTTTCCGCTGCGTCCCAAAATTCATCGGACAGTGATTCTGTCCCCGCTTGGACCTCATCTGGAGCATGCTTGACGGAGCGATCCACAACGTTCTCCTCAACCTCTTCCGTAAAGAATAAACTCCCAGAGCGATGTATATTGTCTGTAGACAGAAATTTCTTCTCTTTACTATGTGAACTGATCATGTAATTGGTTATCCGATTCTGTGACGATGTTGAAGGGGTTTCTGATTTTTTGAAGAAATTCAGAATCGAGGTATTCCGTTTTGAAACGGTTCGCTTGGAGGACGACTGTAAAAATTTGGAGGCCTCACGGCCGCGATTCCTATTAGCATTGAAATAAGGAGAAGGGGAACTCATTGTGCGCGTTGAAGATGGAGCCGGCAGGGATGGTGAGGAGTTACTGCAGCTGGCGATGGCAACTCAAAAGCTGTTTCGTTGATGGGACGGTTCGTCCATGGAGGACATAAACAAGCATAACTAAGTAGTTGAAACAATCATGGGAGGTCGATTGTTGATATTCTCTTGATCAGGGGAGACGGTTTGGGAACTTCTTCGTTCCGCAGACACGTTTCGATCAAGCTTGGCGGGGGGAAATCTGTCAAAGCATAATACGCGCTCTCTGATGGATGAGATAATCATCCACTTGGTAGTTAGTTACTTCTAGGGCTTAAGAGTACCTACGCTATAGTACGTACTAAATTCTTTTCTCAAAAATAAATAAATAAATAACTACATAAGATGGAAATGATGCTCTAACGGTCTCAGGCCGGATGAGATCTTTCTTTCACAACCACATTATCTCTTCGTCATTCCACCTCGAGTAGTTAGTGAAATCACAGCGAGGTTATGTGAATCATGCATACATGCATCTTGAGGAATGGGTGGCTGCCTTAAGGATTGATCCTTTTTGGCGTAGTGGTAAAGCCTTCCTACAAGATTGCATGTTTTACAAGGTTAAACGGTAATCACAAGCGGAACAACAAATTTTGCCCAACCACATTCAACCGACCGATTTGTTGCAACGATCTTTTGGTGTTGGATCAAACGACGCGCGACGCGATCTACATGTACTGTACATCGCAGTACCCAATTACTATACCATGTGTGTTAGCAAATCCAAGTCGGCGGCAATTGTTGGGCAAAAGCTTAGGACAGGATCTAAAATTGTTCGGTACTAGTATAATTGGTAATATCATTGGGTATCGTCGTTTGGTATTATTTATTTATTCATTATTATTATGAATTTGCGAATAACAGTAATCGAGCACTGCTGCATATGCTGACAACAGTGACATACATTGGAATTTCCACCCCAAAAGAATCCTGTGAGGCTTAGCAATGGGTTCCAACGCGCATCTTTGCCAAGTTGAATAACCTTCTGAAATATTTCAATCGACTCATGCCACTTCAATCCGCATTCCTGCATAGCTTAATCCTCTGTTCATAATTGGGTAAGATACACCGGTGATGTTTCTTACCGAGGAGCTCCTAGAATGGAGTTCTTCTCATTTGTAAGATCTATTCAAATCTGTTCAAGGCGACGAAATGTATTTTGAAATCATCGGGTTTTATGCGCTTGATTTTCAGCTTCTATAAAGAAGGATAGAAGTTAGCTGTAGGGCTTACGGTGCATTACATTGATGGCCAGTTTGGTCCAGGTAACAGGACTGGATACGATATTAGGAGAGGAGAGGAAGAGGGGGTGTATTAGCTTGGGGGCAGGGAATAACCTGTACCTCTCCTTGTGGCATCCTCCAATAATCCCCTATCTACCTCCGCCTGCGGTAAGACGATATATCGGACCACGCTCCCTCGAACGAAAATATTCTTCACACTGGAGAGATGTGGGTATTCATCCAGGTCAAGAACCTCAATGTCATCCAGCTTGATATTCAGATATTGGTCAACACTTTTAAGAGTGCCACGTATGCGGATGTCATTCTTTAGTTCAATTGTAACTGTGTGGTTTGTGATAGTCTTAAAAAAACTGTGTAAGAAATAGTTAGCTCAAGAGCTCTGGAGCAGGCTGGAAGGGATATTCAAACCTGAAGAACAACATCGCTGCAATCGGAGGTCAGAAACAACAGAAAGGAGCGGCCTTGGGAAACCAGGATGATGGGAACAGATGTGCATACAGCATTTGTGTATCAGCGAATTAATGTGGAAGTGCGGCTCCAGATGTTGCCAAGAAATTTTGAACGACCACAGCCAATCAAAGTTGGAGCCATCTACATCTGTACAGCGTAAACCATATGGACTTGATGGCTTTCCCCCCCCATTATTCACGTTTTTTAATCCAAACTATTTTTCGCTTACAAAGTACAATACTGTAGTTAACTAGTTGACTAGTCAGTTAAATTTTACTCCTTAATATTCCTCAGGAATTCATCAACTGAATCACCGGGTTTCTCATTTGAAAATTTAAGAAGCCAGAACTTTCTATCCAATAACTTCCTACACACATAGACACTAGAATGATCAATCAATAGAGAATCTTCAAAAGTAATAGATCAATCACAATGCCGTATTTTGGCTTGACATTTGCCTTGAAGATAGCAGACTAGAGAAGCAAGTCACAAGAGGAGTGAGATGAAAAGTAAGGTAAGGGGGATTAAGCTGTAATGAGATGAGTTGAGACGGAATCAAGCGTGATAGCCAACATAAAAGAGATATAGGAGGGAGTGTAAAATAACGCATGTAGATTAGATATACAAGATAACAAGGAAAGGGATTGAATGTGAGACAGTGAGTGACTAACAAAAAGCGCAATGGATATTTAAATGTGGTCGTGGGTATTTTTCGGTTTCATCGCCCACCCAGTTAAGCACCTCCATCCCGCTCCAGACTTTTGTCCCTCTGCATAAACGCCAGTGACCTCCTCGAGCAGCTTGCCCTTCTCACGTCCCATTTCCATCTGGAGTTTGACCATCCATTGTTCCCACATCCATCCGCCAAGCAGGCCAGTAGTACCAGCAATATTACTCGTCGTTCCCATAGATTCACCGATATCAGAATGGCAACCCGGCTCCGTCTTTGGAGTAGAAGTTTCGGTACCAAGAGGCAGAAACATCCATGCTCTCTTGGCTGGCGCAAAATTGGCATTATGGAGCCGATGGATGAAAGACTTAGTAGGGGACGGGTCGTACCCACGAGTCTTAAGGTTGAACCCAAATTCAACAGATACTGCTGCACCGCATGGTCCAGCACGGATAATCTCCGAATCCATCAAAAAGAATTCGAGGATACCACCAGGTTTGAGACATCGAAAGCATTCCTTCAGACATAAATTATACTCGTCCTCCTCTTCACCGCAAGGGTGATCTGTTTTTAGCAATGAGTGGAAGGTACGAGAGGATATGACGTCAAACTGATTGTCGCGGAAGGGAAGCCGCCAGACATTAGGGACTGAGATTTGCCGATGGTTCGAAGGCCCTTTCATACCTGGATTCACAATTTGGTGTTTCGTGATCGTTGTGTAGACTTTGACATTAGGGTAGTCGTTAGAAACATGCCACGCCCAGCCGCAGGATGGCTCGCCACCAATGTCGAGGACTCTAATTCTCCGGACAGAAGCACTCTTTGGATCCCCGCGGGGAACCTTTGCTCTAACAAACCGCTTTACCGCCGAGGTAGGGAGGAGAGATCCACCCTTCAAAAATTTCAGGGCTTCAACTGCCCACATTGAATTGTGTAGCTGATGCGCTACATCTTGTTCCTTTTCTAAATTTGAAAATTTGGCTTGATCGGCAAGAATCTGGGGGACAGTAGAATTTCGGGGGGCTTGGGAGAACGGCCCGCGATAAGGAGGACGGAATATGTTATTCAGAACATATTTCCCGAGAAGGCCATCAACGTGCTTGTCCATGAAACTGAGCCGTATTGCCTGAATTGATTCGTAGCGTAATTTGTTGTGGAAAAAGGCATCTTGGGCCGTTGACTGGCGTACCAGGCGTTGAAAGCCACGATAAAACAAGGCATCACCTCCTGCAGGATGAGAATGGGGCTTTAAGCAAACGCCGTTTTCCCGAATGTTAGCTAGGACTTCTGATTTTCTCGATGTGTTTGGTGGACACTCGTGAGGGGTTTCTACAAGAATTGTGACTGGCGCGCCCTCAAATTGATTCGCGGGGTTAGTCTCGCGTAAAGCCGATAGGTATGTAGTTTGAGCTGCCAGCCAAGTGGTTGTCCTATCAAGGTTAGAAGCCGCTTGAAATTTCAATTCTTCATCATATAGCTCGTCATACTCATCCGCGATATAATCTGCGGCTGAATTGCGTTCGCCTCCTTTCGAAGGAAGTGACGTTTCTGAACTGTCCCAGGGATCAAATTTTGGTGTTGGCGTTGCTAGAAAAGTATTGTTGCGACCTAAATGAGGTGTAGCAGGAAGGACGTCGTCGGATATCGCAGGTAGGTTCCAAGAGCAATTGTAGAAATTCTCCGCAGTAGCAGATAAGGGTTGGGGAATTATGGGGAAACGCCAGGCCTGTTGCGCATCACCTCCTAGAGAAGAAAAGAAGCCTCCTGGGGATGGGATGCTGAGAGGAGTGAAGGGAGTTGAACCGGCTGAAGCGGGTATAGCAGCATTCATGCTCCCAGGACGACTTGAGAGGAGCTTTACTTCTTGCATTTCGACTATTTCGTTAACCCCGGATATCTCGGAGTGGCGGTCGCTATCACTGTCAAACTCAATGCGTTGAAGAATAGCAAGAGCGTTCGTTGGAAGCTCAACGCCCTTGTTCGAACTGTCTGTCGACGCAGGCCTATTAATTCCAGGGATATCTGGAACACCACGTGGGCCAATATCGCGTCCGTTCTCCGGGATGAGCGGGAAGCGACCGAGGACGTGACTCCAGTCCTCAGGATTATCCATTTCAATTTCAACCTGAGGACTCATGGTTGCACTGCAAGGGGATTCGACGCACCCATTAGTATCGGAGTCAATATGAAAAAGCAAATACTGTGAATCCCAATCAACGTCTGACACTGCTTCTAGTTGAGGGGTTAGAGGCGCACTCAAGGTAGAAGGATGGTCCGAGGCTGCACTGCCGTCTAGTGACGGCGGGGCATGGGCTTCAGGAACAGCCCTTGGGATGCGTGAGAGGGCCTCAGGCGACACTGGTATTTTCGGTGGCGGAGTCGGCGGAACAGGAGAATTCTTGTGAAAAGCGTTGATCTTGGCCCTATGTAACGAAGGCGGAATGATAATCGCCGGGTATTTGTTGCGGCTGCTCGACGAAAGTGTGGATAGCTGCGATGACTTGGTGGATTCGCTGTTTCCCTGGCTGACAAGGGACGGACAGCTGTCGCTCATTTCTCCTTCGTCATCCTCATCAGTGGCATCGTAGAGGTCGTCGAAATCGTGGTTCCGTCTCAGCCATGAATTCCTAGAACCGGACGAACTGGTGGATGCGGGGGATACAGCGCGATGTGCGAGACCCAGACGCGAGAGACGAGTCGATCGAGTTTGATTCACTGGAACTGCTGCTCGTCGGCCAGCGGCTGAAGGCTTGCCATCAATAGTGCTTTTCGTATCAAACTGGGACTCGGGTTTATCTTCGACGATTGTATTAAGGTGCCTATTTCGGCCCAGCCGAATTTGTGATTCTGTTTGGGTGAAACGGTCCGCCATATCAGATAAACTGGATGCCTCGGGCCAAACTTCAAATCCGGAGATGATCAAGGTTTCCCCAGCACATCGAATGAATTACCAAACACGACGGCTTATCCGTCGAAACCTTTTGCGAAAATTTACAAATAACTCTCCGCGGGGGTAATGGTGCTAACGGGGATGATATGGTTTTTTTTAAATTCCCACCTCCGTTAGAAATTTGGAAACACAACAGGAAAATCATAACCCGATCAACAGGTGAACTCAAGAGCAAACGGGCAGGGAATGAAGGACTTGGCTGAGCGGGACAAAAAGGAAAAATAAAATATTGAGGATTAAAATGTATAGTTGAAAGAGATAAGAGAAGCAAAGAAAAGGAAAGAAAGGAAAAGAAAAAAACCAAGAAAGTCCAAGCTGCACACTCAGTATGCACTCAAAGAGCTACCAAAGCCGAAAAGCAGGAGAGGGGGAGAGAAAAAGGGAAGGACGTTGGCAGTAGGCACAGGAGAATATCCAGCAGCAAAGAAGGCAGCAGAGAATATGGTTATTTGTACTTTGTCCGTTGCCGCGGGACCACTGGGCTTGAAGCCACAAAAAGCACCCATCTTCAGCGGGGGGTGCTGATTTGCCCGGGGCGCTAGGGCCATGATTGGATACGGAGCTCGTCCCCAGGGCTGCAGAGGAACTGGGTGGTCTCCGGGTGTGCCTGGGCTTCCAATCACTGCGAGTCCCACCGGCGCCAAGCAATCATGCAGGGTTGCTGGTCCCCGGAGCTTTCCAAGGTTGCGAACTGGATTGCCCAGGATGCCCTGGGATACCCAGGTCACAGGGAGACAGCGTCACGGCGTCACGCCGATCTGGAGTTGCTTGTACTGTACATGTACTGTACATACAGAGTAGGGACACATCGGATTTCGCTGGTTGGCTGAGGTTGCTCAACAGATAACCGCCCACCCAACCGCCACCATGTTACCCAATAAGATTCCATCACCGATTCACTCCGGATTGCTCAACGTTCAAGTGAATGAATACTCCTTACGTTCTCTGCAGAAGGTGGACCTGGAAGAGAAGGAAGCGCCGCCTGGGCATACTATGTATGGATCATCCATGAACCCCTACACTATAGTACCTGGGTATTAGGAGCAGTTACTGCTAAGTCCCAATGACTTTTTCTCGCACATCCAATCGAACTCCCCATTGTGTTCAATTCTGGTGTATGTGATCATGAATTTTTCTCCTATTTTGACCAGCAAGTTTGCCAGCGCGGATCTGGCTGAATAGCGCCAAGTTCACTGTGGGGAAATCTGCAATTGATAAAGCCTGTCTGAGTGAAGGTAATATTTTCTATTACCCCTCTTCTTTCTTGCTCTTGATTAATTAGTTCTTTGTGTTCAGAAAGTGTATTATGAATTAATTCTCTCTTCTTCTAAAATAAAATTTTATGAAAGATAGATCGAAGTACGATTCTATTTTTGAAATACTTGATACTTTGTTGGCATTCCTGGGCTCCAGTCGCCAGAAGGACACGTGACCCACATACTTGTTGGAGCTACTACATGTTGGCCCTAGGCTGCCTATCACGGACTAGCGCACCGCACATATATGCCTCAGCTGTCTACATGCTAATACAACCGCTTAGACGTCCCACATAATCTTGTCTTATTGTGCGGTTTGAGCTAGCTAGATAGAGAACAAGCAGGCTAGATGTTCCTTCCCTTTCTTGACAATCCTTCTGTTTATCTACACTTATTACCTCTTTTTTTTTAAGATTTTATTTGTGTTTTTTTTTTTTTTTTTTTTTTCTTTTTAAAAGAGAGGATTCCCTTTGTCTTCCTTCTGATCTTTTTTTGTTTTTGTTTAGAAGAAAAAATTTAAGAAACTGTTGATGAAAAATTGTAATTAACTCTAACATAGCAATCAGATTGTCAATTCTTATTCTTAATTTTTAAAAATTATTCTACTCTAATCAATTCTTAAAGACTGCAAAGCTTTAAAAGTTTATATAAAATTTCTTATTTATTTATTTCTTATATTCATTTTTTTAAAATTGATCTCATTTAAGAATCCCATCATCATCATTGATATTAATACACTGAGTCTGTTAAAGAATGAACAATCAGTAAAAGAGTTGATAGAGAAAAAGATTAAAAAATAAAATAAAGTGAATGAATTCTTCAAAATATAAAGAAAACAGTCATTTTGTTGAAGGCTTACACGTAGTTGCTTGTTATTAATGAGTGGGAGCTAGCTAGCTAGGTAATACACTATGAGATCACGTGCATACTTAGTCACGTGGTCACATGACTGAGGCGGCTCAACACATTTTAAAACTTTAATCTTTCAATCTAACAATAAAAATTTTTCAAAATACTGAAAAATCAATTGTTCATTAATTTATAGTTAAGAAGAGAGCTTAATTTGATAATCTTTTAAGTATTTATTCATCATAAATTCATCTCTTTATTATCTTATCTATTTTATATTCTTTTATTTTTATTTAATTTTTGATATATATATCTGAAGACTCTGATTTTCAAAATTTTAAATCTTCAAGAAAAATCTTACAATTTCTGTCATTATTATCGTTATAAATCAATTTATCATCATTTGCAACATCAATTATGACCTTTCAAACAGTTATTAGAGAATATTCTTTTAATATATCAAAAAATGTGTTTTTTTCTTTACACAAATATAAAGAATTCATAACTGAGAAGATGTTTAACTTCTTCTCTGAAATAGAAAGTTAAAATGAAGAAAAAGAAGATATCTCTTCATCAATTATAAAATATAAATACAAACAATTTTTGAAAAATTCAACTGAGTCAAGACAACAAATTTTGAAAAATTCATTAAAAATGATTTCAGATTTGACTTTCAATATTTATAAAAATTTCTTCAAAAAATGAAAACAATCTCGAAATTATTGATTGATGAAATTGAAATGAAAGTTTAGAAATTTCAAAGTTAATAAAATAATTTTGATAAAAAAATTGGTATCAATTACCAATCTTCTGCTTACTGAAAAAGCTGAAAAATGGATTTATATTAATCCTTCATTTATATAATTTCTTGACAATCTCATTGGGAATAATCAAATCATCTTTTTAAAAATACTCAAAAATCAGTTTCCTAAGAAAAGTACTGAAGATAAAATATTCTGTAAATTAGAGATGATAAAGTCATTACAGAAAGAAAATAATTTGACTGAATAGTAGCAATTCAAAATTAAGATATTGAAATGACTAAGTATTAAAAATCAGATTGTGATTATTTTTACAATGAATAGAAAATCAGAAATCCTTCTTCTCAAAGTCTTTATTATAAGAAAATGAATCAGAGAATTTAATAAGATAAAAATTAGAATTAAATTGATTGAAATTTTAGATGAGTTACCCCACTCATCTCTGTATATTACAAAACTTTAAACATTGAAAAAGCAGAAGTTAAACTTAAGAAAGATAAGTTAGTAAAAGAGAAGAAAAAAAAATAATATAACTTCGGAAATGCTTTAAACAAACTCTGAATATTAATAATGTTTTAAAATTTAAAACAATTTATACTAAAAAAATTTAAAGAGAAAAAGAAGAAAAAAAATAAGAGATATCAGAAACAATTCTAAAAAAAATAAAAGTTATAAAGATTATAAAAATCGAAATTGATAATTTAGATATTAACTGTCAGATGAAAAGAGTTATAAAATCTTTATTGAAAAGATCAGAAAATCAAAAACATTTGAATGATTTTATCAATGAAATTTATCAACTTAAAAAAAACAAGCTCTTTTCACGATGCATTGAATGTGAAAAGATAGAGTATATCAGCAAGACTTGTACTGATCCACTGTTAGAAGCTTGAGAAAAAGCAATTTTCAAAAACAAGGTTTTCAATTCATTAAATGTCTTTATTAAACTTCAATAAAGTAAAACTTTTCCTGTATAAAAAGTTTTTCAAATTGAATTTACAATCAATGAAAGAGTAAAGATTAAATCTGTTACTGTTGATGTGACAAATCTTCAGATTGATGATGAGTATATTTTATTAAAAATTAATTTTAATAAAGAGAGCTGTCTTAATGAAATAGCAGTTAATAACAGTTGAGATATTACTGTGAGGGGTGATGACAGTGTGAAGAGTGAATAGTAGAAGATAGTATATAGTGTAGTGGAAGATAATAATAATTATAGTAGTAGTATAGTTGAAGTTGTAGTTGTAGTTGTAGCTAATCGCTGAAGAGGAAAAGAAAGAGAAAGAAGATGTGCGAAATACATGCATCCATATATATATACATACAGAAATAGTGGTAGCGAGAGTATAATGGAAAGAGGTAAGAATAGACGAAGATATAAACAAAGATAATATAATAATAAGGAAATAATAAACGAGTGCATTACAATTGCCCCCCTTTTTTATAAGAGCTGCCCTCAGCGATTGTATAGATTGCTTGCTAGTAGATGTTTGCATTTCCGTATTGTAGATGCCGCTTGTTGATAGCAGTGTATCGATCGCGTCCCCTCAATAGCTTGTATACGCGTTCTTATCGATTCCTTAATGAGGTAGAATTGGTGGATTCTTTGGTTGCTAGGGGTTGCGTGCAGAGAAACAAAAAGAATTTCTTTTCCTTTGAAAATTTCTCTTCTTTTTTAACTTGACCATCATCAAAACTCTTTGCCCTCCTGCTGCGATTTTTCGTTCTTAATTCAATAAAATTTTCGTTCTCCCCCCCCCCCCCCTTTTGTTGAAATGGGCTCCCTCGGATATCCCGATTTTAAGTAAGTTGTTCTTCGCGTATTATTGTTGGTGTTCTCTGTCAGTGGCGTTATTAGCGTGGTCACATGCTTCACTAGCTTGTTCCAGTATAGCATCATTCGCTGTTCGCTTGTTCTGTTGCCCTAGCTTTAACCCTAATCTCGTGACGTACAACAGTCGGATTCCGTGCGAACGTTGTGCCTGGTCCTTCCAGGGCAGAGGTGTTAGAGGAAGAGGAGGGTGTGGAGGAGGATGTGGGGGTTTTGGAGGTGTTGAGCTCCGGGGGCTCCGTGGCGGAGGGGTTGATTGGAGAGGAGTTGACGGGAGAGGAGCTGGCTGGAGAGCCAATGGAGGAGGTTGTGAAGGCGCCGGTGGCCGCAGTGCCATTGGCGTCTGTGGAGCAGGGGGAGCGGGTGCCCCGGACGGTGGAGGAGTGGGGGGAGAAGATGGGGGGGAATGCCTTCGTTAACCGGATGTGCCGGAGAATGGGTAGGTTGATGGGGGAGGGGAGGAGTGAGGAGGCAAATGTTCTGTGGGATAGGCATTTGCCTATACCTCTGCGCCCAAAATGGGTGCCGGTAATTTACGAATACGTGAGATTTGCGCTTCTAGCGTTTTTCAACTTGAGATTCGCGCTTTTGGCGTTTGGGAGTATGTTGGTTTTGTATTTGTCGTTCATTTTCTTGTTCAAGGAAGATTTCGAATGCCTGAGTGTTTAATATGTTTTCTTCCGGTTCCCATGTATCACCACTAGGTCCCCAACCTGTCCATCTCACAAGATATTCCGGAGGTTTGTTTTTTCGTTGTCGTTTTTCAAGAATTTCCTCAACTTGGTATTCTTCTTCGCCGTCGACAAGTTCCGGTCCTGGTTCTGGTAAAGCTCCATTCCTGCGGTTGTATGGCTCCAATAAAGAAACATGGAATACAGGATGGATGTTTCTATATGAAGGTGGCAGTTCCAGTTTGTACGCTTGTTTTCCGATGGTATTCAGAATCTTGAAGGGTCCAACATATTTATGGTCGAGTTTACGAACCGGGCGTAGTAATCGGAGGTTTTTTGCATTGAGCATGACGTAGTCACCTATTTTAAATTGTTGAGGCTTATGTTTTGCATCGTAATAGGTTTTCTGTGCTTGTCGCGCTTTTTGTAGGTTCTCGATGAGCTTGTGGCGTGTTTCCTCAATATGTTTCGCGCGGCTAGCAGCATGTATGGCAACCGGTTGTGGTGGTTTGCTGACGTTAATTTTCAAATCAGGTCGATATCCCATTAAGGCTTCCGCGGGTGCTATTCCAGTAGAGGCATGTTGAGAGGTATTGTAAACAAACTGTGCTAGTGGTAGCCAGCGTGCCCAGTCATCTTGATGATAGTTGACAAAGCATCGGAGATAATGTTCCAAGGTTTGATTCTGTCGTTCCGTTTGGCCATCTGTTTGAGGGTGAAAGGCTGTCGAAAGTTTCCGGCGTGCGCCTAGCATGTAACAAAAGGTGGACCAGTAATGGCTTGTAAACAGCGAACCTCGATCGGATATATGGTTTTTAGGTACTCCGTAAATTGTATAGAACTTGGTATAAACGATTTCCGCTAGCTCATCCGCTGTAATGTTTTTGGTGCAAGGAATATAGATCGTAAACTTGGTATATATATCCACAATCACTAAAATCGCATCGTAGGTTTGGTGGAGGAATGTAGAGGCTGGCAAGCCTGTAATAAAATCCATAGTAATGGATTCAAAAGGATTTGATGGTAAGGGAATTGTACCCAACTCTCCATATTGTCTGTGCCGTTTTGGCTTAACTCTTTGACAAGTATCACAAGTGGATATATAATCTTTGACATCCCTGACTAGCCCATGCCAATAGTATTTGTCCTGGATGCTGTCTATGGACTTTTTTATACCAAAGTGACCCCCCTGCGGATCATCATGGTTTGCACTGATAATTTCATCAATGAGTGCCTTTTGTTGAGGGACATATGCGCGACCATCAGCACGCAATATATCATCCTCAGAAATTGTCCATAGCATATTTTCAGCAACAGTCATACCCTTCTCTTTTACCTTCTCTCTTTGCTCAGCAGCAAAAGAATCAATCTTCTGTGCTTTACTCAGAAATGAGGTGAAGGATTCAGGCATTTCTGTATATGCTGAGTCCCCAAGAATAGCCTTATTGACTGCAATCCGGGGCATATATTGCTCAACGCGCATCAGAGGGGAAGAGTTTACGCGAGAGGTATAAGACGTCGACGTATGGAGCGCTTTTCGCTCATTAAAAGGAGCATTTTGCTCATTAGAGACCCGTGCACAGACTACATCAGAAGAAATATCATTTTGAAAAGAAGTATCAGCTTCCCAGCCTAGCTTAACTCCATGTTTCAGTTTCTGTTGCAGGGTAGGTAACATAGTTTGGCCATTATAGGCCTCACTGTAGTCTGCGCGACGACTGGGCCCATCAGCTGGATTCTTTGATCCAGGGCGGTGCAGTAATACAAAATCATAAGCAGATAAAGCTTCCGCCCATCTGGCCTGACGTCTGTTCAGTTCCTTAGTCGTCATAAAGTACTGCAGATTGGCATGATCAGACCAGACTTGAATTGGATACTGGCTTCCCTCCAGATAGTGTCTCCAATTCTTAAATGCTGCTACAATAGCCAAGAGTTCTTTATCATGAGTATCATAACGCGTTTCCGCATCAATCAACTTTCTTGACCAGAAGGCAACTGGATGCCAGTGCCCGTCATCCTGCAATTGTGACAGGATAGCAGCGACTGCAAAAGTGGACGCATCAGGTTCAATCTGAATACGCCGAGCTGGGTCAAAATGAGCTAATAAAGGAGCACGCATAAAGCGCGATTTGAGCTCATTGAAAGCGCTTTGGGCACTTTCTGTCCACATAAAAGTGGCTTTTCTTTCCCCTTTCTTGCTCCCTTTTGTAAGTTCGAATAATGGGGCTGCAATAGAGGAGAAAGACTTAATAAATCGCCGATAGAAGTTAGCAAAGCCCAAAAAGGATTGAACCTCTTTAATTGATTTAGGTGTAGGCCATTCCACAATAGTGGAGACTCTGTCTGGCTCCATCTCAATACCATTTGTACCTATAACAAACCCCAGAAACGAGACTTTGTCCACTTCAAACTCACATTTAGAGAGTTTTGCAAATAGATTCGCACGCTCGAGACGTTCTAGCACCTTAGTAACATGCACTTTATGTTCCTGCTTTGAATTGGAGAATATGAGAATGTCGTCCAAATAAACAACGCAACATATATCCAACAAATCAGACAAGGCATTGTTAATGTATGCTTGAAATGTCGCTGGAGCATTAGCTAATCCAAATGGCATAACTACATATTCAAAATGTCCATATCTCGTTCTAAAGGCTGTCTTCCAACGGTCTTTTGCCGCTATAAGTATGCGGTGGTAGGCATCTCGAAGGTCCAGCTTAGTGAATACCTTGGCTTTTGAGAGCCTGTCAAGTAATTCACTTATTAGAGGTAGAGGGTATCGGTTCTTGATGGTGATTCGATTTAACCCTCGATAGTCTACACAAAGACGGAGTCCACCATCTTTCTTGGGGACAAAGAGAATTGGTGCACCAGCCGGGCTACTGGACGGTTGTATCCACCCTTTGTCTAATGCATTCTTTAAATATTCTCTTAGGGCAGCTAACTCAGTTTCAGAGAGGTTGTATATCGGCATGAATGGAGGTCGCGCACCAGGCTCGAGATCTATGCGGTGTTCCGCCTCTTCTGGTCTTTGCGCGCTTATAGCAGCTTCTTCTGAGAAGATATGCGCGTATGGCATAACATAATCGGGTAGGCCGGTCGGCAAGTCCGAATATGCAGCCGAGAATACGCGTGGAGCATGCTTTGGGTCTTTTGAACATTCTGTAGGTAATACTACAAGCATTCCTACTCTGGCTCCGGTGAGAACTTCAGCTAAAACATCTTGTTCAGAAATAATTTGAGGCTGTTGTTCATCTCCAGAGCTTCTGAAGAAGAATTGTCCATCTGACCAATCTATAAGAGGATTTGTTTGTTTTAACCAAGGAAATCCTAACACAAGATTGTAGTCCTTCATTTTCATCGCATGGAAGGAATGAGATGTCTGCTGTGCATTACCCTTGTGATCAGTGACAGTGGTTGCAATGTTATACTCTCCAAAGGAGCGCATTATGCATCCATCAATCGATTTGACCATCTTGGTTTTGCGGTGAGCAGCTTCTAGATTGTGGTCTTTTGCCCAAAATTCATCGACACAGTTCACTTCTGACCCAGAGTCTACTAGTGCAAGCACTTTTTGCAGACTCTTAGGCGTAGTGATTTCCACTGTGACATTGAAACTTAAGGCATTTTTGCATCGACTTTCCGCGCTTATAGTTGCCATTGCGAGCTGAATGGCGCGCTTTAAGCGTTTTTTGAGTCCTTTGTGTTCTTCGTATCTTTCGCATTGAGTTTCGAGTCGGATTTAGTGTTCTTGGATTCATCTTTGGGTCGTTTGAAGCATGAATCGACGGTATGTCCTGGTCGCTTGCAATAACGGCAATATTTCGATCGGGTGGAGTCATCGGACTTTGTAGTGTCATTCCATCTGCGTTTGTTTTGTGGCTTATTACCAGCATTATTTCTGTTGTTAAAGCTTTGAGTAGGGTTTCTGAAGTTTGACTTCTCTTTAAGTTTCTTCCGTCTTTCTGGCAGATTTGATTCTGCTATTGCAAGTTTGTGAAGAGTGGCATCATAGCTTAACTCTTCTAGTTTGGTTGCATATTTGTCAAATTCTCGGCGAATGGAAGGTAGAACTTTCATGTAGAGGTGTGATTTCCGATGGTATTCGCTATAAGGATGCCGCAGACGCCCTTCAATTGATTGTAAATGTGAAGCAAATTGTTGAACTGTCTGATCTTCTTGTTGCTCTGTTTTCCAGTACTGTCTATCTGCATCTCGGAAACTTTTATCTGGATCGGTGACTTGACATTGCATCCAGCTAACAAATTCTTCCCATGGTGGCAAAATCCGCATATCATGTGTATGTTGATACCAACGTTGTTGCATCTCGACATTGAAATGAGTGACGGCTTCGATGACCTTCCGATGGTCGTGTTCGTTGTAATAATCAAGATCACTGGCATGGAAAGCGATAGCAGCTGTAACAAAGTTTTCAAATTCTTTCATGCTTTGGCCTCGGAACTTTTCCACATCTCTCCGAGGAGGGTGACCGCTCATGCCGGGATCTCGAAGTTCTAATTGCCAAAGTGGTACCCGACTACGTCTCCCACTGACAGTAGTCACGGCGCTTTCCACTAAGGTGTTGGGCGCTTGTAGCGTAGGCTCCGGTGGTCCGAGGATGCTTGTGGCGTTTTCGCGGTTACAATTCACGCTAGTTGCGTCTCTACCATGGTTCGGATGCGCTTCGAGTGTATTTCGGGTGGCTGGGATGGTTTCATCCAATTCTTGCAGTAAAGTATTGCACCGGTGTTGGAGTTCTCGCAATTCCTTCTCAGCCTGTAACTTCTTAATTCTCCTAGTCACAGCTATCTTCTCGGCCTCAATTGCATTCAGATCTTCAGAAGAGGTGTCCCCTTCTGAACTATGCTCAGAATCCAGTTCCATAGAAGAGGTTGATGCTTGTTGCACACTTTCAGTGGGCAGGGGTGCGCGTTTCGCGGTTTTCTTCACTGGTGTTTGTTGCTTCTGGTTCGGCGGTAGCACGAGTACGGCGGATGCTGCGGGTAGAGGCCATGACTATTACTCAACGGACCGTCTCTCGAAGATTGAGCGATTAGAAACTGTGAGGGGTGATGACAGTGTGAAGAGTGAATAGTAGAAGATAGTATAGAGTGTAGTGGAAGATAATAATAATTATAGTGGTAGTATAGTTGAAGTTGTAATTGTAGTTGTAGTTGTAGCTAATCGCTGAAGAGGAAAAGAAAGAGAAAGAAGATGTGCGAAATACATGCATCCATATATATATACATACAGAAATAGTGGTAGCGAGAGTATAATGGAAAGAGGTAAGAATAGACGAAGATATAAACAAAGATAATATAATAATAAGGAAATAATAAACGAGTGCATTACACATACATACAATTTACATCTGAATAGTTTCAGATTCTAAAAACAATTTTTAAACACAGCTCTTTCATAATATTTCTCTTTGAATTGTTTAGCAGATGATGATCATGTCATTTTATTCTAAATAAAAAAAATTAAAGATGTTAAGATAGCTTTAATCACAGTTGAAGAAACTTTGTTTTTTATAAATACTAAATCTTTCATCAGAATTTTTATACATTAAAAAAAGTTTATAATCAATTTTTCAAAAAATTTGCTTTTAGAATTTACTGAAATAAACACTATATTTTTCATTAAATAGAATGAGATTTTACAACTGTAAGAGAAGTTTCAAGAAAAGATTGCTGCAATTGCAATCAAAATTCTTATCATTAAATAATTGAAAGAAGATATTGCATCTCTTCAAAAGAAAATGAAAAATCTAAAAACAGTAAATATAATATTTATTAATTAAAATATCTTTTTAAGAATTGAACTGTGTTCTGTATTACAAATTCTGCTATCTTTCAATGCAATTAACAAGCTTAATAGTGTTATTTAGCATATTTATTCAGTGCTCTCTGTCAATACAGCTGAAACAAGTAAAAAATCTCTTGAAAGAATTGATGCAAGAGATTTCAATAAAAATAAATAAGTTAAAATTTCAATATTCTCAATCATTTTGAGACAGAATGTTTTGAAAATACTTTAAAATATGAGTGAGATCTCTTCTTATAATAATATTAAGAATCTGAAAAGAGTTAATTCTTCAATGAAAGTGGGTCAGTAATGTCAAGAAATGTTTATATCAGAAGCTTTAAAAAAAAATCTCTGTCTTTTTTAATAGATTTAGAAATTATTTTAATTAATTTCATATCATCATTTTAAACCTTTTTAAAAACTAGCATTACGAACAGCAGATTTACTGACAGATCTTTAATAAAAAATGATAAAGAAATAAAGAAAATCTTCAATACAATCAAACAATATATTCTTTATTTTAATGAAAATTTTACATTGTGATGTAAAGATAATTATTATAATCTATTTAAAACTGAGATTTTTTATTCAAAGTTGTTGCAAGAACTTGACTTCTGAGGAATTAAATCAAATGAATTTTATTTTAGAAAAAAGATAACATCATTGTTTAAAACTCAGTTTTTTTTCACAATTTCTCATTTAAAAAAAGATTAAAAAAGAACTCTGAATAATTTGAAACTTCAAAAATATACTATAATTCAGCAAATCTTTTCTCAAAATTGAAATATTCAATTTCATAAAAATTTCAATGACAATTGAAATATACAATTCTCTTCAAATTTGAAATCATCAAATCATCATTATTTTGAAAAAAACAATACTTCATCAATATCTCAGACTATAAACTGCAGTAAGTGAAGTGATTGTTTTTAAATTTTTTATTTAAAGATTTTTAAGAAAAGATTGCTAAATTGTTAACTCTAATATAAAATCTTTAAAATGAACAATTGTTGTTTTACAATTCTTGTTCGGAAGAACTAAAGAATAAAATAGAAAAAATATTGTTAGAAATTGAAATATCAAATCTTTTAACAATTGCTGAAGCTGCTCTAAGTAATGATGAGATATAAAAAATCAAAATACTAATTGTCAATCATCTAATAACACACAATCTCTTAAAACAATAAAAGATATATAACAATATTATAAAATCTTTAAAATTCTACAATTCTGTTAATTCTCTTCTTGATCAAATTTGTACATACAATAGTCAACTGGAATTAAATAAATTTTAAAACAGTATATTTGATTACATACAATCAATTCTTCTATAAAAATTTTATTTCTTTTAAAGATTTTATGATTATCTCACAGTCTTCTATATTAAGATTTTAACATCAGAGATTATAGATGATTTGTGAATAAAAATATATGATCATCTAAACTTCAATAACAATTGAAAGAGATTCAATAAAATTTCTTTCAAAAATGAAGTTAATCTGATAATACAATTCAAAGATATATTTACATTCTTTAAATTATTAAATCATTAAAATAGAGAAAGATTGAAGTTATGATGAGAATAGTTTAAAATCTGAAATATTTAAATAAACTATTTATATAAATATTAAATGAAATTCATTCAGTGTTGAATTCTTTTATAATGAGATGAGAATGAATAAATTAAATATTTCTTCTCTTTTTTAACAATTCTTCTATTTATTTTTTATTATCTTTTTTCTCTTAAAATTCTATTTGTTTTTATTTTTTTTATTTTTAAAAAAGAGGATTCTCTTTGTTTTCTTTCTGTAACGGGCGTACATCGATTAACGATCTAGCACTATCCTAAATACAGATTACGAACTGATTAAGGAAAGAAAGAGAAAAGAGATCAGAAGGAAGGGTCGTACGAAGGGGGTTCTTATAGAGGGGAGATCGGGGCGGAAGAATATCAGAAGCCGCCCCACAGTGGAGCACGGAGCGGAAGAACATTGAGGGTTACGCGGAAGAATTGTTAGAACTACGCGAGCGCGGAGCGTGAGGCAGAAGGAGTTATGCGGAAGAATCGTTAGAGCCTACGCGAGCGCGGAGCGCAATAACAGGGATGAGTAGGTGCAGGAGGGGAGTTGGTTGCGTAAGTTAACTACTAACGGGTGCTAACCCGTCATACTTTCTGATCTTTTTTTGTTTTTGTTTAGAAGAAAAAAAATAAGAAACAGTTGATGAAATTGTAATTAATTTTAACATAACAATTAGATTGTCAATCCTTGTTCTTAATCCTTAAGAATCATTCTACTCTAATCAATCCTTAGGGACCGCGGAGCTCTGAGGGCTTACGTAAGGTTCCCTACTTGCTTCTTATAGGGGTAATCACGTGCGGGTGAGGGCCACCCGGGCAGCTATCATAGGCTACCTGTTACGGACTAGCGTACCACACATATATGCCTCTAGCTTGCCTACATACTAATAAGACGTCCCACGATTAGAGGGATCCTGCGAACACCTTTCGCAATAACCGCTGTCCTTGGTTATACAGTTTAACCCCACATAAAAATGGCGTTGAGGGATGTTTTTAATTAACACTCCTATCATATGTGTGGATCTGTACATATGGATGTGATGTTTTCGCACTGATCCGTCTTGGGGGCGACTAGTGCCCAACAGTTACCAGATACTCCGGTAGTGATCCCGCGTTTATTAAGCAGGTAGCCATTACTCTTGAGCATTAAAACAATAATAGAAAGATCATGACAGAATTAAGCTTTGTACTGCACTGTACTTACAATCTGTGTTGCTAAATTCATTGAACCACATCCTCACTTAGTAGGGACTTCATCTAGGCTAGACAATTGGTCTTGCAAACATGGCAAACAAATATATTGATGGGTTCCTTTTAGGTAGGCCACCCCCCAATCATCTCACCTCCACACAAATATTTCAGTACCCGGCCCGATCCTGCCCATGCGCCATGGTTTTATCGTTGAGTGGCTGGAACAACATGGCATTTTCAATCCTGCGGTTGACGTGCAAGATTTGCATGGGATCCATATTCCTCGTATTAACACCAAAGTCAGCTGCACCGCCGTCTGGCTTCTTTTCTTCAAATGGCCACCAATAACATCTACGCTCAGGCAAAGAGTCGAGGTCCACACACGACGAGTCGATCGTGACTTACACGCATCCGCAATTCTCACAAAATTTGAATGAGATATCTCTATCTCCCCAAATGTACTGGGAGAGTTTGGCGCCTTCTTTCATGTCCCATTTGATTTCGTTCACTTTGTAGTAAGCCCAAGCGGCTGCGTAGCGCCGACAGATTGTACATTGACATTCGTTGATTTCCTCTGGTTGATGAGGCACGATCACGGTGATGGCGCCACAATGGCAGGTGGATTTGATTGATTTGTCCGCCATCTTTACCGAAGGTCAGACCAGAGCGGAGTGAGACAAAACCTTGGAAAGGTTTGAGTTGGGGCACAGCGACTGTGGCTCCAGTAATTGTTTCTTTTCAAGGGACGAATCTTTTATTGTCGGGGAAGAAAAAGTGAAGCCATTGACAGATTCTCAAGATTTAAGAGTTTCTAATTCTTGAAAACTAGTATTTGTGATGGAAGTGGAAGCTTGGTTCAACACTGCTTGAAGAGGTGGCCCACGGTCGTGCGGCCTCTTTGCAATCCAAAACGCCCCCTCATATCTATTGAATTTTATTCAAATATTGACTATAAATTACTGAATATCAAGAAATTAATTCAACGATATAATGCAACGTGATAATGCAACCACTGGGCGACTTAGGCCTCCAGGAAATACGATACCAAACGGGGGAAAACCGCGCGTGAAACCAATGAACATCATCCGCGAGTTTACAAACGAGGAAATCTGATCAGGACGTACCGTACCGTTCTAAATGGCAGGTATGATTGGCATGGAACGCGATTGGGAGCATCATGCCGCGGAGAAAATCGGAGGAAATCAGGGTGCTTGCTTGGCCTTCTCTTTCCGACGGTAAGAGCTCAACACAATCCAGGTCTTCTGATGTGGTGTTAGTTGTTTTTGACCCTCCATTTGGATGCCCATTAATGTTCACAAAACGCCCACGGTCTTGCGATGTTTTAGGTTTGAAGTCAATCTTGGGTTGAGGAGAAGGAACGGTTATCGACATTCAGTTATCTATGCTGATATTAATGTAGCGTCAACTATTGAGCACTAACTACGAAACTCAACGGAATCCTCCCTTCAAGCATCAGCTTCAACTGCCACTCTCCTACTTCGTCTTTCATTGGAGCGGCGACTTGCAATTGAATGCATTAAATTGGGGCGTTGCGAAGGCCTCAATAAGATTTTCAGCAGAGGCCCAGGTGCCCAGGCCACACAACGCCAAAGCGCCAATCAGGTAGAGAAGATTGAAGACGTTCAACCACCAAC